TACGAGACGCAATCTCACGCTCCAGATTGGGAGCAAGCCTTGCTTGAAGGATGCTTCTCAAGGTTCTGACATGACGGGGGAGCTGGAGATGGCGCATGAAGAAGTCCATCGCCTCCCCTGGGTAACGATCTAGATATTTGCCAAGGGGCTCGGAGAAAGGACTACAGCCAGAAAAGTGCATCTGAGCTTCCGTATGGACTATGGCATTAACGAGGTGTTCCAAAAAGATGTTCGCTGCGGAAGGGAGAAGATGGAAGATGTTGGCCAATCGGACAAGCTTCGTGACGCCTTCATTCTCAGCTAAGGGAAGCTTCGAAGATGCTTGTAACATTTGGGGGTCTGCGACGATGCGGAAATGATCCAAGAGCTTATGCCCGATCTCAACTTTGAAGTAGTTGATCAAGAGCTCTAGTAATCTCGCAAGTCCCTCCAAGCCAGAGACCGATAAACGCTTAGGATCTGCAAGGTTCATCAAGATAGGGCGCAGGCCTGTCTGCAAGAGCTCTTTGGGGAGTCGGCTTTGATGTGTCAGAACCATACGAAGTCCTTCGTGCGCAACTTCCTTTACCTCCTGTGAAGGGGAATACAAAGACTTAAAATAGACGCCAGTGACCCTGCATCATACATGTCAATGGCGCCGGAGACAATGGGAAGCATGACTGACCTCTGTCTAGTTTGATGTTGCTTTGAAAAGAAATCCGTCATAGGCATAGACGCAGTAAGGAGCTTGATGCAAGCTACCCTAAGCTTGATAATCTCGAGAGATCCTTGGCGAAGATTTCCACGAGCGAGCTGGACGTCGTCAGCATCGGCGAGTCCGAGAGTTTCATGCAACAATCGGAGCAATTCATCATTTAGCTCCGGAAGGGGTGGATCGAGACTGACACAATATCGAACTGCATCAATCATGCCTACTTGAATGGGAAACGATAACGCCCTCAAAGGTTTGGTGTATATTGCTGTCAACATGCGATCCCGGTGCGGTAAGAGAAGCTCGTGAGCCGACTTGCCAGTGAGCTCAACGAAAACATCAATGCAGATTTGTGCTGCTTGGCGAACCACTGGGTTCGAATTTGAGAGCTCTGAGAAGAAGATACCGATGATGTGGACTAGCTTAGCACGAGCTATGATGGGGACGTCCGCCATGGCATCCAAATTCGTGTAGGTAACACGCAATACGCGTTTAAGGACCTCAATCACGTCGGTGACATCGCGGGGAAGATCAAAAGGGAGATCCTTCAGGATGTGGAGCAAGGTTCGCACAAGCTCAACTTCACTCATCCATTTCATACCGATATTGGGCAGAAACGTCAAAATCCTGATTCCAATGCAGCCTGCGCTCTTCCGCACCCATGAATCGTCAAGGCAGACGGCACAGAAGCGCGCAGAGATTTGGACCAGCATAGGAACAACGTCCTGTGCAGTAGCACCATTCTGCGCGCACATGACCACCAGGTTATTCAAGATTGACGTGACAAGTTCTTCACCCTTGTGCAATTCTTCGATGTTGTCACGTGAAAGAGCGCAAGGCAAGGCCTCCAAGTACGACGAAAGTAAAGGACTGGGATACCGCTTGAGGCCAGCTTCCTTAGTGGCGTTCTTGCGAAGCTCCATCGAAAATACAGTTCGAGATAGCTCACGAATGAACTTGTCTGCATCGTCCTTTACTTCGGGCATGTGTATCGCATCAAATATCGCTTCCAGCGATTTGACGAACACCGCAGATTCGTCCGGTCCATGGTCATTCTGTGATACACCATTAAATATTAGTCAAGTACGACGCTATCCAAGCTTGCTTACATCATGCAGAAGGGTGATAATACAAGTCTCCAATAACGAGTATGTTTGGGCACGATAAGCAGGTGCTGCCTTGCGCAGAGTTCGGACTGCTAAGTTGATCATCGGAGCCAGCTTCACGTTTTCCATCGAACCGCCGAAAGAAAGAGGAACGCTTGCGGCCTTCGAGAATGGGTTGTATTCGAGGGCAGGCTCTTTATACAACAAACGGCGATTGCGTCCACCAAGCTTGCCAAGAATACGAATGGTAGTGTGGGCATGATGATGACTGGCAGGTAGTGGTTTTAGGTGACTATGAAGCGCTTCCATGAGTTCTCGAAGAACGGTGTTGAGAGTCGGATCAAGAAAATCGGGTGTCAGATTGTCGATACAAAGCTCAAGGGTACGAAGACCTTGAGACACGAGCTCAGGAGTCCCACGTAGCGCGAGTGCGAGGGGGCGCATAAGATATGTGAGATGGGGTAGGAGATGTGTGAGGCGCAATGGCACCGTAAGGCAAAGTTCAACGATCATGTCCCTCGCGTACCCTTCGGAAGCATGCAACTGGCGGTTTAGACTTTCCAACATATCGGGAAGGAGAGGTAAAACCTCTTTATAGAGAAGCTCGTAGCGACCCCCTCCTCCGCCAATTGCGCGAAACAAGCCTCTCAAAAGATGGTAGTAGTTGGTTGACTTGGAGGCTTTGGCAGCGAGAGAGAGGGAAACAATCCATGATGAGTTTAGCTAAGTGCGCAGCCAAAATGGGTTCATTGGGCACAGGAAATGACGTGACTGCGCCAAATGCCATTTTGAACAGCCGGATGGTGATGACCGCTGTCTGATCGTCATATTCCCCAAGAAGTGACAGACGGTCAATGAGGAAACGAAGGACGATCGCTACCAGAGTAGGCGAGACGTTTTCACGACTGAACAAAATTTGGCAAATTTGTAAGAGTGCAGGCCTCTTGCGAGCTGCTTCGAAAAAGAACTCAATTTTTTGGGTCCAAACCTCTTGGAACACATGCAGATTAACCTCCAGCAGGACTGCGCTAAACCAGTCCATAGCCTCGGTAGCGTCGCGTGGCTCGGTATCAAACAGGGCCATACATCTCATGCAACTTTCGAAGAGACGGAGAATCAACGTGCCTTCGGGGACTGGGGCATCACATTTTTTCAATCCCACGAGGCAAACACGGAACCCATGAAGGAGGGTTCGGAAGAGAAAGCGACATTCTATGACCAATGACATCAAAGCGTAATTCGTGCACATCAAGAGACTTCTTACCATGAATAACCTCTTCTGGCTTCTCAGTTGCATAAGCCGCACCTGCAACAGGTCGCGTCTTCTCTATCAGCAGGAAATCGACACCTTCCTCTTCGTCATTTTTGGCTTTCTCTAACCTCTCAAGTGCGTTGTCCAAGACCACTGTCATTGCCTCGACCTTGTCGACACAAGTCTCGAACATGGCAGTCAGTACCCGTGCGGCACCTTGAGCGGTGTCCTTGGTTGTAATATTCTCGATTAGGCCGAACATCATCTTGGAGAACAGCGTATGCAAGTTATGACTGAGGTACGGATTATGAATCAACGCGGAATACAGCTTCGCCACACGCGCGAGCTGATTCGCCGAGAGGTCGCCCCGGACGTGGTGTACAAGGTCCGCGACCGAGGCGTAAACCGACGGACTGATTCGTGATGGTCAACTATAACTCTGTATTGGCCGATCGACTGAACTCACCGCAAAGTCTCTTTACTACCCACACCATCTCCAAGCAGAATGCGTTCATCAAATAGTTTGTCGATCTGTGGTAAAAGAGCCTTCCTATGCTGCGTGCCAATCAGATGCCGCAGCACCACTATCAGATCCTAGAAGATGTATTAGGTCTTGTAACGTTTTTGATTCATGCAACTCACCTTTCGTGCCTGGATGCCGTTTGAAGGCAAGTCCTGCATTAATCGGAGAGCAGCAAGAATAAGCCTTTCTCCAAAGGAATCGAACTGTTCTCCAAAGCCTCGCATGACATATGCAACATAGGATACCATCTACGCAGTGAGTAATCTCGAATGTCGAAATTGTTACAGGGACGCATACCTTGATTTGCCCGGTGATAAAATCCATATAGGCTTGAGGATTCTTTATGGAGGGTGCCATGCCAGACCAGTAAGATCCCATGGCTTCATGATCTTCTCTAGCTTTTTTCTGAGCGGGTGATTCTAGGCCCAGAACTTCGAAATTAAGACAGAGTGTTGCTTGAATAACGTGAAGGACAAGGGGGCGATGGCTCTGAGAAAAAGTGACAACTACCATTCCCATCTCGGCGAGGACTTTGAAACTGCGAATGCTGGGAAGAACGACATTGGGATCAAGAACAGCGGAGTCCTCGCAAAGTGTTTCAAGGACAAGTCCCCTCATGTTGCGAAATACGTCTTGAAGAATTCCCATGTATTCGGCAACCAGCTCCTCTGTCAGCGATCGAAATGAGCGTAGAAGGTCGATAATAATTTTGCATGCAGTGACGCCGTTTTCTTCATTATCATGGCGCAAGGCATGAAGCATGCCACCAAGCAATGGCAGAGCCAGAGGCCGTATAGTTTCCCCGTAGGGTATGCGATGTATGATTTCAAGCAGCACGCGCCTGAATTGGTACTCCATGGTGTCTTTATGATATGCAGCTTCCCCAGTGTTCAGAATTTCCAAGAGAACCGGAATCATTTGAGGGAATACTCGCGCAGATTCAGCATCTCGGACAGTGTCTATCATTTCTCGTAGCTCGCATGCAACATTGTGCTTTGTTTTGAGATCTATGACCAGTATTTCAACAACAAAGAGCTGAATTTTATCGCGGAACACGTACCTATGCCAGGGTCTGCAATGCGAGCAGCCCGCATCTCGAGGTCTGCAGCTGTACCCAACTGCGGTGTATTGTCCATGGTGAACAGCAGGAAGAGGTCCCAAATTGCATCAAGCTGATTCAAGCCAGTAATCTCAGGCTTGACCCAGAAAATGTGTTTGGCTCAATGTTTGGTCAAAATTCACGTGATTTTCACGTGATGTAGTGTTACCTCTTCCAGACCCCTCATTCGGGGGTAGCCTAATATTTATTATCTCGATGGTGCGACTGTATTAGTAAGTAAAGGTGCACCACGGGATGAGTACTTGGTTGTGACATGTGAACTGTGACTGCAGCGGCGGATTGACACTACACTAGGACCACGATCTACGATGGCGTCCTCTGAACTGTTGAAACAGATTCAGATGGGCAGGAAGCTGAAGAAAACCGAAACACATGACCGGAGTGCTCCTGTGATTGACGGAAAGGCGAATGGTGGTGGTGGTGGTGGTGGTGGTATTGCTGCTGCTGCTGCTTCACGTGGAGCGCCATCGATGGGAGGAGGACCTCAACTTGGTGGATTGTTTGCTGGAGGTGTTCCTAAATTGAAGTCTAGTAATAATTTGGGTATGTCGGTGTCATTCATCTTCTAATGCTTCGATTGACCTCCCACGCTAGGAAAGCCATCCCCTACTGCTAGGACATCTGCACTTCCTCCTGCTAGAGGTCCTCCTCCTGCACCTGCACCACCCGTGCTTCCTAATCGATCTGCTCCTTCACCTGCCAAACCGATCTGCTCCTTCACTGCCAAACCGATCTGCATCATCACTGCCAAACCGATCTGCTCCGTCACTACCTTTAAGATCTGCTCCTTCTAGAAATACTCCCACACCACCTCCCCCACCGCGTCGACCACCACCCCCTGCAAGGACAGCCGTCCCTGCTCCTCCTTCTTTCCCGGCCCGTCCACCGCCACCACCTGCTCGTCCTGCCTCTTCACCTGCTCGACCTTCTTCTCCCCCTGCTAGTCCAGCACCACGTTCTAGTCCTCCAGTTCCGCCTGTAAGGAAAGCCCCACCTCCTCCTCCAGCCAGACCCTTGTCAACTACCGGCTCTCCGGCTCGAGCAGTCCCCCCTCCACCCTCTCGTAGGCCACCTGTATCCGAAGGTCCCAGAGCTCCTCCAGCTCGTATCCGACCTTTGTCAGAAGCTGGTTCCCCTCCACAATTTCCGCCTGTACATCGCCCTCCACCTTCCCGTCCACCTCCCCCTCCGTCTGCTCCTCTAAGACCTCCTGTATCTGCCCCTCCTAGACCCCGTACCGTTTTAACACCAGTCATTGAACCTCCCGCTTTATCTGTCGAACGGCCCTCCATAAATGGTAGTGCTAGGACACCTCCATCTCGCAAAAGTAAGTTGTATCTGTGCTCCACTGTGGGCCATAATTTATCATTGTTCACCAGTACCTTCTCCCCCTCCAACTTCTGGTTCACATACATTTCCCGTAACTGATTTCCCTCAGCCACGTCCGTTCGTCTCAGCCACAAGGCAATATGCCAATGGTCGAAGCACTGGCAGCGATTTCGACCTGTCCACTTTATAACCTGACCCTCGATGTACATAGTCTTACTCTAATCGCATGATACATGATACATTGAGCTTTGTTGTCAATATAGTTGCTTGGACTCTAAATTATACAGTAGACTACGTGGCACTCGAATTTGTTCCAAAGCAGATTATCCAGAATACAGTGCCACTTGGCACTGACGACCTTCATTAACAAATCGGCAATACTAAATCGCGCGAGTGACACGTATACACCTACTTGCATTATAAAACCTGCTTCGTTACACTTTATTGACAGTCAACTTTCACTAAAGCATCGTCCAATGCGCCTCTCTTCTCTCGTGTCCGTGGCCTCCGCCATCGCTTTTGCCTCTTTGGCATCAGCTGAGGACTCTGCTGAGTCCTCCGATGTGCTCGTCCTTACAAAGGACACCTTTACTTCTGCTGTCAACTCAGAGCCTTTGATTCTAGTCGAGTTCTATGCTCCATGGTACCTTTTCGTTGTCCTTCTGCGCAAATTCTCGCTGACTGTCGCTATAGGTGTGGCCACTGTAAAGCTCTTGCTCCCCACTACGAGGAGGCGGCCACCGCACTCAAGGAGAAGGACATCAAACTTGCCAAAGTCGACTGTGTCGACCAGGCAGACCTTTGCCAGTCCCATGGCGTCCAGGGTTACCCGTAAGTCCATATCGTTTGAAATCTTCCTTCTCGCACACTGACCATCCCTGCACAGCACCCTGAAAATCTTCCGCCACGGTGAACCCACCGAGTATTCCGGTCCCCGTAAGGCAGACGGCATCATCAATTACATGCTCAGGTACGATATCTACCCTTCCGTCACCCGTTCTTCTCTACTAACATTACCCGTAGACAAGACCTCCCTGCCGTTTCTGCCGTCACCGCCTCCAACCTCACTGAATTCCAAAACGCTGACAAGCTCGTCGTCCTTGCCTATGTCTCTACCACAGCAAAGGCCCCCGCTCCCGAATTCAGCGCAACAGCAGAAAAGCTTCGTGACGAGTATCTCTTTGGTATTACCTCTGACGCTGCAGCTATTGCAGCTGCAGGCGTCACTCCCCCCGCCATCGTCGTCTACCGCAACTTTGACGAACACGCCACCGAGTACCCGTACCCGCCATCTGCAGCTACCACCGCTGAGCTCGAAGCATGGGTTCAGCAGCTGGCTATTCCTATCCTTGGTGAGGTGAACGGAGAGACGTACGCCATGTACGCTGGCAGCGGCAAACCCATCGCATACTTGTTCTTGGACCCCACAGACGGGAAGAAAGACGAGACGATAGCTGCTCTCAAGCCTGTTGCTGCCAAGTACCGCGGCAAGGTCAACTTTGTATGGCTAGATGCGACCAAGTTCGGGGATCATGCAAAGGCTTTGAACCTTGCTGAGCCCAAGTGGCCAAGTTTTGTCATTCAAAACATTGAGGAACAGCTCAAGTACCCCTACGACCAGAACAAGCCTCTGGAGGCTGAGGCTGTGTCTGCTATGGTCGGCGAGTACCTTGCCGGGACGCTTCCTCCTAAGCTCAAGAGCCAACCGATTCCTGAGAGTCAGAATGAGAGCGTGTTCACGCTCGTCAGTGACCAGTTCGATGAAGTTGCGTATGATGAGTCCAAGGATGTGTTTATTGAATTTTATGCTACCTGGTGCGTTGCAATGGTCATGGTTCATGACACGTCTCATTCAAGACCTGTTTAGGTGCGGTCACTGCAAGCGCTTGAAGCCCATCTGGGATTCCCTCGGTGATCACTTTGCTGATGTGAAAGATCAGTTGACCATGTACGTCCACTCCTTTCCTCCAATATTGTCAACAACAACAAACCTCATTCATATTTGCAGTGCAAAGATGGAGTCCCAAGAAAATGATCTCCCAGCTTCAGCCCCATTCCGTATCAGCGGATTCCCCACCCTCAAATTCAAGCCTGCAGGATCACGGGAGTTCCTTGAATACAATGGGGACCGGGAGTTGGAATCTCTCATTGCGTACGTGCAGGAGCATGCCAAGAACAGCTTGAAGCCTTCTGCCAAGGCTCCTGAAAATGAGTCGCAGGCTACATTTAAGGCACCGCAGGAGGTCCATGACGAACTGTAATTTGTGTGCAGTGGTTTCACCTCTATTGCTATCTTATCTCTTGCATGTATTCAATATTCATGAGAGCGCAAAGTGGAGCAGATTCGTATGATTGCTCTAATATAAATGGCGGGAGGCATTGATTCAACATAAGTATTACAGTTTGACTTCCTTGAGACCGTGCTTCCAGAAGGTGAAGTAGGCTGTTGAGGTGTGATGATCATGATGACGGTGCTTGACAGAAAACACGTACGGGTAACCCCATCCTCCTGAGATGATAAATCATTTGAGAATACGACATCGTTTATTCTAACATTGCAACTCACCCGGTAGTTCAACAGGGCTACCATTCCATCAGGGTTCATGTTCTCGCCAATGTACTGAAATTTCGTTCGTTAACGCTTATAAGGGGCAAAGCACAACGTACGAATTCATAGTCTTTGAAATTACCGACTATCTTCTTGGCAAAGTCATTTGCTTTGGCCTTGAATTCAGTGACAGCATTAGGATCTCCCTTCTCTGCCAATTTGTCCGCTACAGCCTTCATGTAACCCTAACATGAACATCCCCATCAATTTCGATCTCCATAGGTATAGCAGTGATGACACGATACCTTGAGATGAGAAAGATATGCTTTTTTATCGTAGACGGTGGCTTGAAGACGGAAGGAATGGGCGATGTTGTTGACTTTAACCGCTCCTTCCTCGAGTACCTCTTCCTGTTCTTCAGCTGAAGGGTTAGCACCTAGAAAACCAAGTAGATGAGCCATGTTCTTTTTTCTTTTGACCGGACGCATACCGATATCGACATCGCCCTCCTTGACTACGATCATCTGACAATCGACTTCATAGGCGATGTTGTCTATAAGTTTCCTGGTTTTTTTTGTAGTAGTCAGTATATGATAGTGATAGGCGAGCGCCAAGATTGGAGCATACATGGGGAACGCATCGGAAAACATCTCATCGCCGGAGATGATGTCTTCGTAAAGAAGCATTTTCGAACCGATATAATAAAGGTGTAGAGAAAAGAAAAAGGGGGTTCCGACGAAGGAGATCGAAGTTGAGGTAAGAGATATCTTCGAGCCTTTGATCTTTATGTACAATCACTGATCATCATGCCGTGGGATACAAAAATATTGTCATCCGAATCCCGAATTATCTCTACTACATGGACTATCAGCCGGTAGTCGTACAGAGGCATGCTCGGCCAGCTGCGGCTAAGCATAGTCCAGAGTCAAGATATTGGCGTCAATTCAAACACCCAGTGTTCATCAAGGAATACGCACCAGTCACATCTATCCAGTTCTCTCTTTCTAAACCTCATAGGTATGCTGTAACAGCAGCAACGCGTGTTCAGATTTATGCACCCCGAACTCAGAAAGTGACAAAGACAATCTCGCGCTTCAAGGATGTCGCACGCAGTGGTAACATCCGTCCTGACGGGAAGCTCGTCGTCGCAGGTGATGATACAGGTCTCGTGCAGGTATGATCGCATACTCACGGTATATTCTCACTGTGCCATCCCTGATTAATCCGCTCGCAGGTCTTTGACATCAATTCACGCGCCATCCTTCGTACATTGGACTCGCATAAGCAACCAGTACACGTCACTAAATTCTCCGTCCTCGCACCCACCCAAGTACTCTCCTGTTCAGACGACACAACCGTAAAATTATGGGACGTCCCCTCACAAACTGAAGTAGTCACGTTCCATGCACACACCGACTATGTCCGCTCTGGTGAAGTTTCGACGTCGAATCCGCACCTCATCCTTACTGGTTCTTATGATGCGACTATGAGATTATTCGACACGCGCACCAGTCAATGCGAGATGATAATGGGTGGCGGGGATACCTCGAGTGCAGTACCAGTCGAGCAAGTCAAAATGTTCCCATCTGGTACGATGGCCTTGTCCACCGCAGGTCCTATCTTGCGCCTCTGGGACTTGGTCGCTGGTGGCCGTTGTTTACGTGCATTTTCGAATCATCAGAAGACTATCACCTCGCTAGCATTTGATAGCTCCGCGGGTCGTCTGTTGACGGGAAGTTTGGATCATATGGTGAAGGTTTATGATGTCAGCTCGTACAAGGTTGTGCATACCATGCGATACCCTGCGCCTGTTCTTTGTCTTGCCATTTCCGTATGTAAAGTTCTACTTTATTGTCGTGTTCCTTTCTTAACATTAGTGCAGCCGGATGAAACTCATATCGCTGCGGGAATGTCAGATGGCACGCTCTCGGTTAGACGCAGACAGCCAAAAGCTTCAGAAGCCGCGGATCAGCCCTTCGCTGCTGCTTTAAAATCTGGGGCCTTCGAGACATTCTTAGGGGGCGCCCTTCCTGCAATTGGTCAAGGACGCACAAAGTCAAAAATCAAGCCTAAACCTACCGGAGATGTGGACGAGTTGAGAATCGAAAGCAGAAGAGCAAAGCGTCTGAAAGAGTACGACAGGCTCTTGAAAGGGTTCAAATATTCAGCAGCTTTGGATTCGGTGCTCAGAAAGGTGATGCTCGTTCATTATGGTTGCGAAATTCGATGTTGATCCGCCTCATAGAATGTCCCACCGACAACGGCTTTCTCTCTGATACAAGAACTGATACATCGTGACGGCCTTCGGAGCGCATTGGCAGGTCGAGATGATGTTCTTTTGGAACCAGTCTTGTGTCTTCTTGTGAAGCATGTCACTGATCCCCGTTTTGGTGAAATGGTGTCCGACGTCTCAAGTCTAGTCATCGGTACGTGATTGGTCGTCTTGCATCTTTGCTGGCTTGACATATCTATGCAGAGATGTACACACCGGTTCTTGGACAGTCACCTCTCATCGATTCACTCTTCATGCGACTTCGAAAGAAAGTCCTTGCCGAGATTCGGTTCCAAAAAGAACTTGTCAAAACAAAAGGCGCACTCGAAATGATTTTCGCGTCCGCTACACTGACTGCTGCATAGCAGGCCATACAACTTGTATTCTATGCACATATTGCTATATATTTTAATGCCCCATGTCCGTCATGAGCATTCATGCAGGAAGTCGATAAGATGTTGGAGGATCTCCTTTTGTGACAGTGCTCCGCCCTCGGGAGCGTGATCAGTGGTTGCGCCATTGCTTTGAGTGTCAGCGTCGAGGTTGTCGCGGTGTATCTCAAGGGTTGAGATGACATCTTTCAGGGACTGGTTCTTGCGCTCAAGCATTTGTGTGATATGGCCGCGAATCTGGAGTGTCACGGTTATTCGACTTAGCTATCACGAGTTGTCTAAAAATGTTGCTTACTCCATCATCCTCCATGACTACCCATGCGAGGATGTAATCGACTGTTTGCAGTGTGAATAGTCCGCCTTCCAGTCGGCGCAGATAAAACAGATCCTCGTCTTCTGACTCGATTTCACCGCCGTCAGCAAGTGTTTCCTACACTTCAGCGTTCGGACTGGATGTTCGTTAGCAAATGTTACAAGGTACATACCTTTTTCTCCGCCGCGATCTCCGCGTCCACAACTTTTAGACGATTAAGAGCATTTTCCCGCACCTCGAGTAGTTTGTCGGCTTTTTCATAGTTATTTTCCACAAACTTGGCAAGCAGACGTATTCGATCTGGAGAGTCTGATGGAGTGTTTGAAAATAATGAGGAGATAATGCCAAGGATATGTGAGGTATCTTCGGAAGCTGCTGCTGGTGCATTGGATTTGGATTTTTTTGAACCCTACGGAATATGCTTGATCAGTTTGAACCACACTGAGAGCACTGCATCTGTACCTTGCCCATAAAAGCAGCAAAGAGCGTCTTCAATCCAAGGGCCTCGATAAAGTTTGCACAAATGGCGGTGCCTGCTGCGCCGGACATCGCATAGTCGAGAGTTTTGATTGCTCTCAATTTTGATTGCAATTTCTCTCTACCAACGGCACATGTCAGTAATGCGTCAACATCTCAAGGATGCACTCACCGCATCATAAGAAGCATGAGGTCGACGCCTTCGCTCGCGAGGAAAAATGACTTGACTTCAGGCTCGGCCAACGCGGAACAAAGAGCGTCGAACAAATTCTCCATAAATTCGGTCTCGTCCGCATCTACTGGGTCACGCCTTCGAAATTGCTGTATCATAGGAATTAACAACAAAGTTTGTAATAGTCAACTGCGACCTACAGAAAGAACGTTAAGGATGATCTCGACACCATCTTTCTTGCCAAAATCTTGACGGTTCACTGCATTATTCTGTAACAGAATAGAAAGCATTTCTGCGGAATAGCCACGGTTTTCATCGTGAGTCTTCGACTGTACGCGATTGAGTAACCACTCCATCATCTTGGTCTTCGATACTAGTAAAAGGGAAAGGTCAGGGTTAAAGCCAAGTATGTTTTCAAATATGCCTGAAACGTAGGTCAGCAATGAATGATGAGAGATTCGGGCACGAATACCGAGAACATGGAAGACACCCTGTTTGTCTGCTTCTTCAATCTCGTTTAAACGCGAAAGGTTATCAACGAGTAACTCCAAGATTGAATTCTCTAGCTGCGTGGGGTGGAACACTTGAGACAGAAAACCATGTCAGAATGTCGGAACAAACCAGAGCTTCAATAAGGGCCTTCAGCGCTGCCTGCGCTTCCTGTAGTTCCTCCTCGTCTTCTAATTCATTCCCAACATCTTCGTCGGTCAGCTCGTGAATCACATCAACAACATCAATGACGATATCGGCGTTTTCATGGCTGAGGAGTCCAATGAGTAAAGTGACAGAACCGGAGCGCACGAGTTCTGGGTAGGCCAGCACAGGAGACTGTGCCAAAGACAAAAGAGATTTAAGCGCACTATCGAGGTCTGCTTCAGAGTCGATGAACCTGCAACAGCGTAGGTATAATCAGCCCTAAAACCATAAGATGTCCAATGTAAATTACTTTGACGGGTCATCCGGGTACTTCGAGCGTTGGTCTTGGTTTTTGTTGGCAGCTCGCTCAAACTTCAGTAACGTCCTTCTTATGCTTGTGATCGATATTCCTTCTGGCTTCATGTCATGTCAATATTTACGCATTTCGCAAGATTTTTGTATGCCCTCACGTCTTCTGTCGTTCCCTCTCCTTCAGCACTCTCAAAGATACTCAATATTTGCTTCTGTTCCGAAGTCAGTCCTCCTCCGTAGAACCGCCCTTCTTCATCCTCTTCGGCAAAGTAGTCCGCGTCACCCCCTGGAGCAAACGAGTTGTCAATCATATTGTCGTCCCCGTCTTCTACAGTTGCGCGTCGCGACTGTCGGCGAGGCGCCGAGCTGCTTTCAGGGATGTCAACGTCCATGGCCGAATCCCCATTTGAGGGAGTGTCGATACGCATCTTCTTTAGCATCTCCGGGGTAGGATTATCTGGCATCTTCCGCTTTGAGCCTGTAGGAAGCCTGGGCACCTGGAACGCGTAAACGTCACAACATGCACACGAGAGTGTAAGACGACCCCCTTACTTTGAAAAGCTTGTCAATGTCCATGATTGAGTATCTGGCTAATGGCTGGTGCACAAATACATGGTCCTACTTATTAAGTAGTATATATATTCCATCATGAAAGCACGTGCTTAATATCGTCCGAGTCGCACTGGTCGATTGCTCTTCAAAACCTTCAAAGAAAATTTGACAACTATCTTCATTCTTGTAGTCTAACAGCTATAAGTCTATGCATACGACTACAAAATTTCTACAACAACGAGCATTTGGCTGTAACTTAGTCAAGACTGTCGTCCGCTTAGCCGTCACGCCAAAAGGCAGTAATACTGAAAGCTTATGCTTCAGTATCGCGGACAGTATTTATGTAGATTTATGAGAACCCCAGTAAGCCAGCGTGCTTACAGCAACTTCACGCAGGTGGTCGACAGTGTCCACCTTGCTTACCTTGCATATGCTTGCTTAACAAGCCATTCAAGCCATTTGAAGAAAGCGCGCGCATAGTAGGCCTGACTGTGAAATACAGAAAACGAAGCGGATATGCGAGGAGTCAAGGAATAGTACCCACTATCATTGTGTGGCCTTAGCATGGTGTCCATCATCATAATTGCATAGTCGAAATACATAACACGGTGAGCTGCGCTCCAGTATCAAAAAATAAAACATACTGGCAATGTCTTCGCAGACCAGCCACGTCGTCCAAACGCACAGCGGCAATCGATTAGTATGGCTTGCCTCTATTCTTCTTCAAGTCCTTTTCGAGCTGTCTAGCCTTTCGGTGCCCTATCTCTACAGGTCGGATAGCAGTATCATCCGCCTTCTTGAGCTTGACTGGACGGTTACCTACATATTTGCCTGGAATATGGTTGTCAGCGAGATCGCAGAGAATTGGACAAGAGTAGTTCTCACCATCCATCTCTTTCCAAGCTTTGAGGAAATCTTCTGGATCTGAAAAGGCGACAAAGCCATACTTGGCCTAATAATGTCTTGTCAGCAAAGTTTGTAGAGCACAGGGAAACGTCCAAACCTTCTGGCTTAACCTGTCGCGTATGACGCGGGCTTTCTGGAAAGATGTATATTTATTGAAGGCATTTGCAAGGACATCATCGGAAACATCGTTGCTAAGATCTCCTACGAACAAGCGGAACCAAGCTACGATAAAGGTTATCAGTGACTGACTTTCGTACCAAGTGGCACACTTACATGGATTCCATTCTAGAAGAGTCTGATCTTCCCAGACCTTTCCACCACCCTTACGAAGCACGGTGGTGCGCTTTCCGCCCTTTGCAAGTTTCCCACCAGCACCTCCACGCTTGTCGATCATAGCCCCAGGAACATAGACACTCTGTTGCGCAAGTATGCCGACATCATATTCGTACGCATTCGCTGGAACAGGTGCGCTGTGGTTCGACGAAGATCCGGGCAAAGGATACATGGGACCTTGGTAAGGCTGGTGGTAAGGATTAACATCATAAGCCTGTTGCTGTTGGCTGAATTGAGAATACTGCGAGTCCATGGTGCGTTGATGTTGGTACAGTGAGAAGTCGGTTATCCCGGGGCTATCACCTCACTTACCACATCGATAACCAATAAAAATAATCAAAATCTAATTAAATAGGTAAATAAACAAAGGTAAATAACCGCTCTCGAAAACTTTGATTGAAAGGCGTACTCGCTGTCCCCGCCGTCCTCAAGATCCCCAAGGTATGTCTCTATGACTGTTCACCGTCCTGTGGAACCGTCCAGTCCTTAATAACTGGGTACAATGATGGGGTTGTATAAATATTGCCAGCTCCCGATGGATGGACGATAGCTGCCCAGGATGCATATGTGCAGTCAACTGACAATTCCCACTAGATGCCGTTCGTCAAAAAGGTGAAGTCCGATGCCTACTTCTCCCGCTTCCAGGTGAAGTACCGCCGTAGAAGAGAGGGAAAGACCGACTGTGAGCATGCTGTGCATTTTCTTGATTGCATGTACTAAGGTCTACTTAGACTATGCCCGCAAACGCCTCGTGACCCAGGCTAAAAACAAGTAGTGAGTTATCGCAGTATGAAGAACTGCGACATGTTCTAACAGCTGGAAAGCAATGCACCAAAATACCGTCTAGTAGTGCGCTTCACGAACCGGGACATCATTGTCCAGATCGTATATGCACGTCTACAAGGCGACTTCGTCTTGACTGCTGCACGGTCACAAGAGCTGTCAAGATACGGAATCAACCACGGTCTCACTAACTGGACTGCTGGTACGATTTTTCCCTGTAATTCGCTGTATGATATTTGATGGATACCTTAGCATACGCAACTGGTCTTCTGTGCGCTCGCCGTGCATTGACAAAGCTGGGTCTTGCCGATAAATACGAGGGTGTTGCGGAGCCTGACGGCTCCTTGACATTGACTGAGGCATTAGACGATGAAGATGCTCCACGACCTTTCAAGTGCTACCTCGATGTTGGTCTCAAGCGCACTTCCACTGGCCACCGTGTTTTCGGCGCAATGAAAGGCGCAAGTGACGGTGGTATATTTATCCCCCACTCTGACAAGCGTTTCCCTGGGTACGACCCAGAGAGCAAGTCTCTCGATAGTGAAGTGCTCAAGAAGTACATCTTTGGTGGCCACGTTGCCGAGTATATGGAGTCGCTCGAGGAGGAAGATGACGAGCGGTAAGCCGTTCCATACGGAACATGAGAAAATGTGACATTTATGGTTTTTTCTCAGCTTCAAGAAACAATTCTCTTCATATCTCGCGGATGATATTGGTTCTGAGGATATCGAGGAAATCTACACTAACGCATATGCCGCTATTCGTGAGGACCCCACCTTCAAGCCTTCGGAAAAGACCAAGGACTGGAAGGCAGAGAGCCTGAAGTACAAGACGTCCAAACTCTCGCTGGAGCAGCGCAGAGCTCGCATCCAGGCGAAGATCGAGGCTTTCAAGGCTTCAGGAGGCGAGGTTGCTGCCGACGACGAGGAGGAGGAGTAAAAAATTTCGTCTTCTTACTTACTTTCTGGATTCACATTTTCATCCCCCAGCCAAGTAGGTCATATGCTTATGATATCATGCAACACGATTATTAGCCAAAACATTTTTAACATTCTGCTATGGTCTTCTCGAGCAGCTCTTGCAGCCATGCTACGAGAGAAACTGAGGTCTCAGGAGTGTATGTTTCTAGTAATGTTAACTGGTGACTTGCTCTGTTCAGTCGGTATGCCGACGAGTGGATAGCAAAGTCCTTGTCGAATATGACGCGGAAGTTCCTCCAAATCTCCTTAGCCTATGCTGGAAAGAGGAAGAGTAATAGCAATATGCTCACAATATATTTCCTTCCCATCTTCCGACTGCTTTGCCGCTAACAAAATCAACAAACCATGTTGCACCGATGTGTTCACAAACTTGTGAGCCCACTTCGCACAACCGGTTGAGAAGGCACCTTTCGACTTCGTCTGAAAGGAGCTGCACTAGCTGAGGGATGGACGCAATCGGCAGCGTCGCTTGTGGCAAATGGGCTGTAAGAGATGATGGCGAAAGAAACGTCAAGCGAAGAGTTTGCCTATTGTGAGGAACATGATTATATGCTCAGGAATGGGCTCCAGGTCGCAACTTACCTAACATCGATACGGAGAAGAGCCTCGCCTCCTATCCTCCTTGCCGTTTCATTGGCGACAAAATGCTCCACCAATTGATGCCCACTCTCACCTACGGCATCGAATCGTAACGAGGATGAAACACCAGCCTTGAGCAAGGCAGAGACCATTTTATCTAGCTCTACTCTGATTCTGTCACAAAACACCTGATATTGAAGGAGGTCGATAATGGGCTGCAACAGAGGAGCCTTATTCGAGGAGACCGAGGGTGGATGTTGTGTGTTGGCTGATGATAGGCGTTGAGATTTCTGTGAAGCATGCAGAGACAGGAGGAGTCCCTGCAGTGCGAAGTATATGAGATTACAAGTAGTGGACAAACGTTCATCACTCTTATTGGATTCTTGAGCATTGACAGCATCACCGTCAACCTACATAAGTTGAGCGCCTCATCTCGGTCTAGGATGATAACTCACGAGTTCAAACTTGAGTTCCATTCCTTGGGCGGCGTCAATGACGATTAGCCGTTCAGCCACTTGTGCTGACGCTGTCGGTAGAGTACTAGCCTCTTTAATCAAGACAGAGAAAAGTTCTTCCTCGACCATTTCCCTTTGCGCAATTTTAAGCGAATCTTCCAACGACGCATCCGTTAGGCTTGTTATGCCGTTGGAAGCAGCGCGAAAGAGGCCGTTGTGATCGGTTATGATAAGAGAGACTTGAAGGCGGACTCGCTGACGGTGAGGAAACACAAGAACATGTGATGAAGTTTCATATGTTGCCATGTGTCCTACCGCTCTTCGTCTGAAGTGAGCTGGGGCTGAACACACGGTTAAATTCAAGACAGTGAACATGATCAGATGCTTACATTCCTCTAGTCCGAAAGAGACAAAGAAGTCCTTTGACGTTTTATCAGCACCCTTGCCTGTAGGTGCACCAAATGGGAGGGGTGCAGGCACCAATCCCCAATTGGCACGCCGGGTCCTGAGTGCATCAACCCAGTACCTTTGACCTCGGAGGCGGCTTCTCTCCAGATTGCTTGCAGCGGCCTTGAATATACTTGAAGCTTTTCTCAGAGCCTCGTCCTTTCCACCGATAGTCAGCTGAGCATGAAATGCGTCCACTGAAGGTATAGGCAAAGGTTTCGTGACAATACTTGCAGTCAACGTAGAAGAAGGTAAAGAAGGGATAGGGGACGGATCAGTTGGCGCAGAAGAAGCCAGTAACAATGACAGCAGCTCCCTGGCATGCGTCATCTCTCCCAGCGCCGTACTAGCTTGCGAATGAGACTTCCGACGTTGCCGCCTGGAGGATCACATACAATAGCTGTGGCATGATTTCCATGCGCATTTTGAATAATTCCTCCGGGTTCATATGGGCTTTCGAAATACCTTCCTCCTGCTGATCTGATTCAACCTTGTCATCTTTGGTATCCGGCGCCTGAGGAATGGACGAGTCTCCGGTAGCTCTCAGGGCATCTTGGCGCTCAAAAAAATCTGCGCCACGCTCAAGGAATATGCGTCTCAAGTTTTCACCCAAGAGTTTCGTGGGATCTTGTGGACTGATGCGTGCTTGGTTAGCAATAGAATACAGCGACGGTTTCGTGACATACGGCTCGAATACTTGCGCTCCATCTGGAGCTATGTCTAGAAGGACGGGTATGCGCTCTCCCTTGTCATCCTTGTAGGGTCTCTCCAAAGAGAGTTTAGTTTTCTTCCAGGACGGTTGTTCCATCATGACCGCTACGTCCGAGTCGATTGGTGTTATCGAGGCCATCGCGATAAACAGACTATATTATATATATGAGATAACCTTTGGTGAACGATCCGGACAGAGTCAAGCCGCTCAATGGCAACCGGGGCTAAGCGCTAACGACTGCCAGCAGTGCCACCTGCACGTGCAGATCGGAGACGGAGTCATTGATCTGCCTGTCACTCCCTTCATCTTTCTATTCAATTTCCAAGATCATCGTCTGCTCATCCATGGTCAAGAACACTTCTTCAGCTTCGGAAACCTCTAGTCTTAAGAGGAGGAAGACTGAGGATGAGGATGGCGATCATATACAGGTCAAGAAACCCAGATCTAGAGTCAGGTTTGTCATTTTTCCTTGCGCGCTTAGAGCGACCCAGAACCATTTTGTCCGTAGTTTCTCCTGTGGTGAATGTCACCGTCGAAAACAGAAGGTTTGTCCATACTCTCATTCAAATCATATTGCTAAAATATTCCCCATGGCAGTGCGACCGGCAGATACCGTGCTCTCATGTATGTCTCTCATGCCGTTTATTACCCGCTCGTCTGACAGTCTTCCCAAGTGTATAGCACGAAAAGTACCTGAGCTTTGCAAAGCATACACCCCCGGAAAAACAGACCAAGATTTGAGCGTCCGCTTAGCCAGGCTTGAGCACATCATCGAGCAGGCTTTGCCCCAATACTTCAGTTCACCGTCTCATTCTTCCTATTCAGCTGCAGACAGACGCCAAAGTTCTACATCTGAAGGCCCAGATGACGATAATCGTTCGATAACTGATGAGCAGGATCCAAGTGGCGGTACCTTCCACAGTGGAAAGTGGTATGGCAATAGCGCCTCAGGAAGTGTAGCACCCGCCTCCGTTCTGGAGCAAGTGAATGTTTTGATGGTCATGCTAGTTCTATTCTCTGACATCCTTTTCACTAGCTGGCAAACGTCGTCGTTGCCAGTTCGATTCAAGAACAGTGGGATTCTCCACATTCCATTTCTAATCTCCATGCTGGGCCTTCCGGCCAGCATGGGACTGGTCACGGCGAGCATAAATCAGCCTTAGCAACTCCCTCGATAATCGAGTCCGTGCGACAGGACTCTGAACCCTCAGCAGCTGACAACCTCAAGAGTCTTGTCCAAGAATGCGGTGTATCACCGCACAAAATATCGGAGCTCCTTCAGGAGCTCCCTCCACAACGGTTTTCCGATGTACTCATCGATCATTATTTCGCTGCAATGTTAGTTGATGTCCTATATGTTGTCTAGTCTTGACCTTTTCCCCCTCGATTGTAGCAATTGGACGAGATATCCCGTTTGCGAGGCCGACTTTCGGACTGCCTACGCGTCTCTTTGTGCCAACGGGGTGGGTGCCAATACTAACGATGCACGCTTCCTTCCGTTGTTGTTCGTGGTGCTTGCGATTTCAGTGCGATTGGCACCTGAACATCTCGCTGGTGACGCACGAACGAGAAGAGTGACATCTTTGAGATATTACTGGTCTTGTACGTCATTGGTGGACTATGATGTATTTTATGCCCACGCGTTTTCTGGATAGCTCGACGTTCTCTGCTTATTGCCGCAGCTATTCAACCGGATTCACTGGATATCGTTCTCACTCGCTTGCTCGTAAGTATCGAAGTTTATCTACGCGGCGCCGAGTTCCGACATAATCACTAGAGCGCACGATTCTTGACTTTTGATCGTCGCATTACGGAGTGTTGGAGTCAGTTGGGTGCTGCTGTACGAACAGCTCAAGCACTTGGATTCCATCGTGATGCTGCACCTACGGTAAGCTCGTAAATATCTTATTGGTATGCCCATTTTGATTTAGCTTGCATAGGGACTTGATCCTGCTCAGGTCGAAAATAGACGCCGCATATGGTGAGAATATCAATGCCTCCCTGAAGGTCTAAACTCAGGGAATTTTGAAGGTCATATCTTTATCACGCCGATCGTTCCTACGCACTTGTGCTTGGAAGACCTCATGCTATTCAGGACGATTACACTTCCACCCTCCCGCCTTTGAACATCGATGACGACTTTTCCCCTGCCATCATTCGCAATCCACCTCCCCTTTCAAGCCCTACACTGATGACCTTCGTCATTCTCAGGCATCAGCTTGCCACTATTATTGGAAGAATGGTACATCATTTTCAAAAGGTCAAGTCACCCAGTCATTATTCTGATGTCTTGGCGCTGGATGACGACCTTTTAAAATTCGTTTCCAACTTACCATCTCACTTTTCATTGGATCCCGACACATCCCTCGACGAGACGAAACAATTCATTCCGGTTCACCGCTTCCTCCTCATTACCGAGGTCTTGTTCGTTCGCGTTGGCCTCCATCGTCCATATTTATTGCGAAAATTGAGTTGCGATCGTTACCTGCGTTCCCGAAGGGCATGCTTCGAGTCTTCGATCAAGGATTTCCAAGTTCGCAAAGCCTTCCGCGACTTAATGCCAAAAGAAACCCGCGATTCTCTTAGCAACGCCTACAGAGAGTTTCAAACAGCGATGATTAGTGGCATTTATCTAGTTTTGCATCCCAAAGGCAAGGATGCAGACATGATGCACACTATTTTGGATGGCTTCCTTGCGGACCACGAGGGCGTGCGCGAGATGGATGAAACAACTCGGAGGGAGCTCAAGACTATTGAGTTTCTTAAGAGCCGCGCATCACAAATGGCAGAAAGTGCATCGCATGGCGTGGATAGAGCAAGCTCACCTACGGACGGGCATCCTGGGGAACAGCACTCCACAATCTTCTCCATGTCGATGTCTCGTTCTGTTCTGCCTGCATCCGCGCGCCAAGCTTTCACGATGGATACAACGTCGCCAAATACCTTGTCTCCCACGATGTCTTCCCCTGTAGTATACACGTTATCACCTCCTTATACGCATTCCCCTACTATTCAGCGTCTGCAGCACAATGGATCTAACGACGGTACGGGTACGCTCAGCTCGCCCGCTGGCAGTGGCAGTCCGAGTGGGGAGGAAGAATCCGCTGCTCAGTCTCTCTTGGATCATTGGTGTAGCACTTTCAGCGGAGGTCCTGCGGTCGACGCGACAGCAGGCATGCCTTGGGGAGGGCCTGGTAGTACTGAATTCTCAGGCTGGATAGGACCTAACAACAATACAATGACCGGAGATCCTGGTTTGATGGAAGTAGATGCTTCGGACTGGAGCTATTGGGAAGCACTGGTCAATCAGATCAAGGCTGGACCACAGCTTTAATCTGTGTATTTGCCATGTCTATATCAGTTTCTGTTCATATTATTTTATAGTGCACTTTTACTTTGCACTGTAGATGTTTAGTCTCTTTTTCTATTGCTTATTTTTACAGGCAGGTAGTAGTACAGCCATATCTACGTTGTTGATCTACAGAATCATCAGCCACAATGTTGCAAGAGCACATAGGATATGCACGCTCAGATCAGGGCCTCCGCGGCTACCTCTGCTTGAAGGTTTTCTCTCTCGCATGAGCTTGACTTGGTCTGGTACGGTGGGGCGCGAGGCCATGCGTTGTCGAAGAGGGGGGTTGGCGGAACTTTTAGTTTTGGAGGACGAAGCGTCTTCCAGGGATGTCATGCATTGATGATTTGGTGATTCGCACGGACGGATCGGTGATGGACGGCCGCGAGGTGAAATAATTGTGCTCGACGGATTAGTGCTCTTGGGGGTTACAAGATGTCCAACGCCCCACGGGATAGGGGCCCCGCCAGGTTGCTTGGTGTGTTCAGGGAGAGTGGTGTTGCCAGAATACGAAGCAATCTTAAAAGTTTCATAATCAGCATCTGCACGAAGAGGATTTACCACTGTGCTTACTGTGAATCTAGAGGTCCAAGTGGATCCAGTCGCGACCCCGTTATTCGAAAACTTGTGTACCTGTCTCAGTGAAAGACCGTATGGGGCTATGCACCATACCTGGTAGAAGTAAATGGCTGCATTGGGTGCCACGTCAGGGCATAGCCAGTTATACGATGACATGCTAGTCTCATCTAGGTGCTCGACGACGGTCGTGACCATTGACATGTTCAGGTTGGAGCCGGACATGAGGCCTGTATAGTAACCAATGTCAAACATAAAAATAGGACGAATAATGCAATTGCATACAGATGGTGGCGTTTTTCCATGGTTGGGTGGATCCGGACCGGTCGGTACCCCAAGAGATGGAACAAGTTGATCCAGATCTGAACACGTCGCCAGGACCAGGGGACACAGGTTCTATGGTAGCACAGGCGAATGTCGGAAGGAGAAATAGACTTAGGAGCCGTTGCATTGCGAACGAAGTGAACCTGGACGGATCTAGCGTCGGTATTTACTGCTTCACCCTCGTGAGGAGCGGCCAAGGTGTTCCGGAGGACCATATTAGAAGAGTGCTGTTTATATGCTTTGATGAAGCAGTCAGCCGCCATGTCAGCCGCTAGAGCAAGCTCGTTCGGACTGGTAAGTGCCAGCGATTCAAAACGTCCAAAGCGCAACATTCATGCAGCACGATATTGAAAGGTCTAATGAACGATTTGCGACTGCATGGAGGTGAAAAGGTCGAAAAATAATGTAGTGCCAAGCCCAAATACCCTTGAAAACCGAAAGAGGCAACAACATTCTGCTACCCTTCCAGTTGAGCTATCACGGCACTCAATCTCCCATGCAGACCATTAACCGCTTCTTCTATGGACCGACACCCGAAGAGAGAGTGCGTGCATGGCAAGGAAAGCTGCGTTCAGAAAGCCGACAACTGGACAGGGAGATGAGGCAGGTCGGTGCCGCACCTGTTCTGTAGTGCTCATATCCCACGCTAATTCCTGGTACAGCTTGAAGCTGCGACCGCAAAAGTACGCATGACGGTGAAGCAGCTTGCTACCAAGGGAGATGTGAAGTCTGCGCGAATCCTCGCCAAGGAGGTTGTACGTAGTAATAAACAGAAAGACAGATTGTCTGTTAGCAAGGCGCGCTTGGGATCGATCGGTACCCAGCTACAGCAGCAGCTGGGTGAGCGAATACTCTTAATTTGAAGTATAGCTGATTTACATGCTACGACTCTGCAGCCATGGCCAAAGTTACAGGGTCGTTGCAGAAGTCTACGGAAATCATGAAACTATCCAACTCGCTTGTCAAATTGCCCCAAATAAGTCAAGCAATGCGGGAAATGAGCATGGAGATGACAAAGGTGTGGGGTTTCTCCATAGCGCTCCCTTGACTATCTGACTTGTTCCGCAGGCTGGGATCATGGAGGAAATGCTTGAAGACACGTTACAAATGGACGAAGACGAGGAGATAGAAGAAGAGGCAGACGCTGAAGTTGACAAAGTTCTTTTCGACCTTACGAACGGGAAACTCGGGTTAGCTGGCTCAGCCGGAACGGAACTACCAGTATGTCATGCTCTCCTCTTGAGTAGTTCTACTCTGAGTTTTGTGCCAGACACCACAAGATCAACTGGAGGACGACGAGGCGGAGCGGGTAATGGAGGAAGCCCGAAAACAGCTGAACGGTCTATTGAGCGGCTGATCTCAATAAATACTGATACCTCCGGGCAACTTGCGGACAATCCCTTGGCTATAGTCTGTATTTTAGAAACTAAGTTACGGTACTGTATTTCTGAACAATTCGGACGTGCTGGCCACAATTCATGTATCACGGTTAACAATAAATTGCAGTGAGATATAGTAATGTTAGAATGGCGCGAAGCACAGGCTTGCAAAAGTGGATATAAACCCAGCAACAAGTCATGCATTATAACCCTCGTGAAGAATGGTCTCGGTCCTCGCCATTTAGTGGATCAACATCGAGCGATTTGGCTGACCACCTGGGTTTAAGATAGACCTGAGATGTAAGATGAAGAAGACGAACAAATTGTAGGATGAGAAAACTGATCAGCTTTAGGGCCGGTCATACAAAATAAATTTAAAATATAAATTATAAACTTACGTTGAAAGCGAATTAAACTGTTACGTACGTCAGCGTTGTTACAATCATCTTCGATGGTTTACGTTGTGAACTTTTTCCCTGGGCCCCGAGCCGGGCATATAAGTAACACTGACTTATGAGCTCAGAAAGTTGACTTTTTCCTTATCCGACCCCTTGTTTGCTTTACTAATATTGGGTTCTTCAGCCCACGGGCTCCTTACTTCTGTCAGCCCGTTTCACAGCGACCTTTCACAGGTCCACCCTGGTCCATCACAAGCACTGCCTGCTGGTTGGCAGAATCCGAGACCACCAGCTATTGCGCAACAATCTTGAATCGATCCTATAAGCAGGTCCTGTAATCGACACTCCTGTGTTATCAATGCAACCGTCGCCATCTGCTATACCCGACTTCTACTATGCGCTTTTCGCGTTCTACGAACCCGCTTTGACGATACTTGGGTTCATAGGGGCAGTGCACGACCCTGAAACAGTTGGCCCTTATTCTCCTCCTTCATTCGAACGTCTAATGACCATCTGATAGGCACATAATTCACAAGCACCATGGCCAGAGGATAATCTCCCACCTGCCAACCTTCCAAAGGCATCCATCGTGACTGTGATCCAACTAGCTCACGTCTGTGCGCTCATGGGGGTTGTTAACTTCTTCGTATTAACGGCCATCCGGAAGCATCTCTCGACGCAACTCGCTATACAAGAGAAGATCATATTTGCTCTCATGACCCCCCTTCTCATGGGGGACTGCATGCACCTCTTTGTTACGCTGTGGGCTCTCGGAGATGAGAGATGGGATATTTCACAGTGGAGTCCAATGCTTTGGACCACCATTATCCTTGGATTTAGTCTTATGATACCTCGGATCATGTGGCATCTTGGAATTTGGAGATATGTTGATACTCGCGACAGACAAACCGACGTTACTCCAAATGAAAAGAAATAGTGCGAGAAGAGAATTTCAAGGGAATATTACATCTTCATTTAGATATATAGAGAACTTCTGCGATACACCTATCCTACGTTACTGAAGACGTTAGTATACAGTCCGCAATATACCAACTACCACAGCAATCACGTCAGAAAATGCTGGCTAGTACGGACTGTTCACGATGCTCGACCGACTCTGAAGACTGAGCATAGGGGCAGCAAGCGAATTTCTCGTGGGCCGTTTGAGGTTCTTCTTGTTAATTGCAAGAACGTTGTTCTGCAAGGCAACGATCTGCAATGATCTACATGAGTGGGCCGCGGCTTCATAGACTCCAGAACACTCACAATTTGCTTATCATCCCCAAACTTGAAATTGTCTTGAACGACCATGTCTTCGTACTTCTTAATCTCATACTTGTCAAGGTGCCCTTTCTTAACCTTCGCGAAGTCCCATGCGATGACATATTGCCCTGTTGCAGTGACAATGGCATTCTCTTCTTGCCCCTCGCCTTGATTGAAGCTGCAATTTTGGTGATGTCAGTCAGGGTCGTAACAACTCCTAAAGGCACATACCGTGCAACTGAGAAGTTGATGTCATGATTCATGTATGCAACGTGCTCAGACCGAAGTTGAAGTCTTCGCGGCATAGGTTTGGCGTTAGCGGGGAAACTACGATCGAAACCCAGATTTCCGGCGTATCTCCCTTCGCCGATAAGAGTGTCAATGAGCAACAGGTAAGTCTTTGTTGTTGCGACAATCCACCGGCCACTGGCAGTGACATCGATGCCAAGGATAGGATCACCGAGAGGTGGTAAAGCTGTCTTCGCATTCTTCCCGATTGTATCGAAAAGTCTGATATCTCCTTTTTCGCTTGCAACTGCCAACTTCCCACTGGCCGTCGTGGCGACCCCAGAAAATTTATTCTTGCTGACGTATTGCTTGTATTGGCTCTCAACCATCTTGCTGCCGGAGATACGCGGATCTACTCTGAATAGCGCATTGTGGGAAGCACCAACAAGAGTCTGCTCGCGAGTAGTTTGAGCGAACTTATTGTCGGGGGCAATGTGATCAACTGTGATATCTTCATGGATCTTCCACTCTTCGACCACTTTCCCTCGTTCAATGTCCATGCTGAACAACGAATGAGGATCTAGAGGGTTCTTGAGGACCATCTTGGTGTCCTGATCATGCAACATGACCTGCACGAAAAGACGATGATATCAGGACTTGTCATTATGCGAAGGAATTGAAATTAAAATACCTCCTGTGGCTTGAATTCTTTGCCCTTCGGCGTAGAAATTTTACTAATAGTTGCATAGTACTTCACTTGATCGTCGTTGGAGTGGCTGAAGACACCAATATTACTTCCACGGACAACATAAGAGCGGTCGCCCTTATATCCGATCGTTAATTGCGAGTTGCGTTCCCCTTGTGGCATAGGAGAAATAGCGTCTCCTTCCTCTTCCTCTTCCTCCTCCTCACTTGCTTCTAAGACGCCACTCAGGGGTTTCCTGTGTGCGATAGTAGAATCCACGTACCTTCATCAGGGTCAAGTTCCGACTCAACCTCTTCTTCGTCTTCACCTTCGTCTTCCACGTCACGCATTTCAACATCTTCAGTTGTTGAACTGATGATGTAGGCTTGCTCATCAGGCTATGTGCACAGTAAACAACTTGAAATATTGAAATCGCGAGATTCCTACCTTGGCCTTTCGAAATTCAACGCCATGCAATGTTTCCCACAGACATTGAGCGAAGGCTGTCTTAAACGCATCGTAGGCTTCTGTAGACGCGAGCTGCAGGGCCCAACTATCATATCTGCTGCCATTGGCGTAGTTCCATGTTAATGATGAAGTCTTTTGAGCCCAGCGAGGATTCATATCCGAAGAAATTTTGTGAGAAACGAAGTCGCCATCCTCATCAGTGATTATGAGCCAGTAGTTGAAGTTGCCAGGGGTGCGCTTGACAATCTTGGCAAGAACAACTTGCTCGCGCTCAGCAACAAAGCCTTCTACTTCTAGGTTCCAGGAGAAAATAAGGCCTTCTTGAGAAGCAACTGTCGGGAGTGAGGAACTCGCAAATGATGGACTCGCCGCTGTACTGGTTGTTTTAGTCGGCATCGCTTGTGGTTGCATAGTAGAGTCATCCCCGGTGTCTGGTGGAAGGTCCAAGTGGTCTTGTTGATTCTTCGGCGACTTCCGGTTACTATTGCCTTTGCTCCTAGCTTTTGTGACAGGTCTGAAAACGTCATCAGGGGAGCGATTAAGGGTGACATAACGTGAAGCGCTTACCGCCATATAAACTGTTCCAAGTCAGAGTCCTTTGTGTTATCCGCATTGGCTTTGAACTTGCGCTCGTACATTGCACGATACATGCAAGTCTCAAAGAATACGCGAGTCGGTTCGTTGGTGCCTGAGGCTACGAATTCATATAATTCGTCCACATCCCCATCGAGGTCGCGCCAAATGAAGGTTGGTTCATCATCCGTCACCCCAGAACGGAATTCAAGTTCTTCACTGATCAAGAACACCCTCTCTTCATCAGCTAATCATTCTTTACGTGTGAAAAGCTGTATTAGATGACGTATCCAATAGATTTACGCACTTTCATCTTCATCTTCAAGAAGCTCTTGATCGCCATCTTCGTATACCCGTGTGATGACAAGCTGAAAGTTGTGGTCGAGTGCGGGGACACGGCGTATGGTCGCTATTGCCTCATTGTATCTGCAATTAAATCAGGGATAGGTATATGATGCACCGACACAAGCTCGCACATGCATTCCCTTGAAGACCGGATATTGCCCGGCCTGACAAGGTACAGCTGACCCATCTCGATCTTGACGACTTCGGCAGCATTGGGATCCTCTGAGAGTTGTAAAGTTAGGCTATCGGACATATCTTCTAGCAAGATCGAACGTACGCCATACTTTTCCAAGGACTACAACAGAGGATATTAGAAGTAGACAGACCAAAAAACGACTGCACTCACGACTCTTGAAGATGTTCATAGTGGCAATATCGAAAGGGAGATCGGAGGCCACAGGACCAGACGGCGCGGGCGTGACCAGTCGCGTTATCTGTAGCGTCACGCGTCAATGTCACACACGCCAATAAGTACAAGTTCGTGCAGTCACAAATGTCACAGAAAGTCACAATATCGTGGTGTAAACTCCAAATCATCCGCTTCAGGTTCTGCCATCCAGGCGCACGCCGCGCAACCAATGTGCCAAATCAATTTACAAGTTTTGCCCATAGGGTATCTATAAAGCAAGCCCTGTCCACCTTAGAGTAGTTCAGAGCCCCTTCAACAAAGTTCGCATCAAATCGCATAAACCATGCATTTCTCCGAGTCCTTTCTCGTCTTCGTTACCACTGCTTTGGCAGCATGTATGTCTGTCGCTGCATGCTCTCCTTAATTCGAGACCTGCGCTAGAGACAGTGATTGCTGCGACGATCTTCGCTGTAATTTACGATCGGTGAGTACTGTAGTACTATGAGTGGTTTGCTTTGCATCCAGGATTCAACCCCAAGTTGCTTACCCCATGCACTTTGCAATCACTAAGTAGACTGCTCACCGATGGGCTAGCAGCAAATCTGGACAGCGAGTCGTGTTTCTGCTTTCGCAGTGCTATGGCTGATGGCACAACACGTAGTTTGTTGGTGACTTGGTCAATGTGGTTATTGTTCCTGGAGTATGGACAATTTCCCCTGCTTTGTGAGCAATGAAGGCGTTTTTGAATTATTTTGAAGACTGAATATCGATCGATGTGAGGAGTCAAGATTTGTGCCGTGGCATTCAATATTGCCAAAGTCTGCATTATCTGCATAACGGCTGTAGCAGTCGAGACGGGACCATTACTAACAGTGGGCGCGTCCAAGGCCTCGGACTCACCACGACTGACATTATTATTGACCCAGTTGATGCGTGTGTTGTTCACCATTCAACTCAAGAGTCAAGACTAACTAAACGCTTCCTATATCTAGACCCTTGACGCGCGGAGGACACGAACGGCTAGCTCCGCTATTTCAACGATGCAATTGCCGAATCGAGCTGCGCTGGTCCACAATTCGAACAATTGTGGACTCTTATTAAGCATTCAGATCCACAATATGGCATTGGTCATTCGTCTGGTGACTTTAGAAAGCTAACCACCAACCACTACCATCCAATACGCTTTTGAGTCTCACAGACCACTCTAACTTCGTTCTTCGTTCTTCGCTCTTCGTGAAACCCACTTACTGTTATTCATACTATGGACGCATTCGCATCCATCGCATCGCAGTTTTACCCATCGAATGATGGTTTCTCAAGGGATTCTGACGGACTCCCCGTTGATCATGAACATAAACCAGAGCTACCTGGTATATTTTGTGTCATTGCTTGATGTCGATCATCGACATGATGTTGCTTGTACAACAGTGTAAACTTCTTTTCATTGCTCGCCAATCAATTCAGTACTGAAGTACACTTTGGCAGTCACCGAGCTTCCGACTACCGCCTATTCATCTTCTCTCACCATCAATCTCGTGTACCGTCCACTCTTTTGTCGTCGTTTTCCAGTCGTGGGATATGCTGAAGTGACTACTGAAGGTAAAGACAATAACTTAAGCTACGCGATACATTTCTCAACCTTTGCACGATACAGCAGCACCACAATCACACTCGGTGACCAATAGACAGGAAACAGCGTTCGCGAAAGCAGCCGGGTACACGTTATGTATTATGCAATCCGCTAGCACACATACATTGATCCTGTTTATGAAAGTCATCTCATCTTCGAAGGGCGGCGCGTCTAAAACGGCCGGCGGGAACGGCGGACTGATGGGGGTACGCCTCACATCAGGGCATTCGCGCGCCCAGAGATGCGTCGGGGACACTGGGGGTCCCCTAGAATAGACCGTATTTTCCTCCTTATAGTACTACTCTCTATATGACGTGAAAATGTATATGTATATGTATAAAAGACATGGAACAGGCTGAGATTGGCACACCGGCACAAATAGGAATAGAACTTTACGCGTACCAAACGAGAATGAAGCAAAGTCTTCAACCATAAGCCTGAATACTGCAAATACTTTCTCTACTCGACCCCGGCCTGCTTATGTCAATAGAGGACTTGCATCGTCACCCTCTTGTGTATTTATTCAAATATTCCGAGTCTGGCGCTGCGAGATTGCACATCTGCCGTGGCCCGTCAAGATGTTCTTTCCTCCTTTAATTTCAAATTCACTCTTTGCCAGCGAGCAGCTGCGTACTATAACGTAGTCCAGGTACTCCGCATTTGCTATAACGCCACCTGTTTCACGACACGGGTAGAACCTGCTGCCTGTTTTAATTGAATCACCTGCGTGATTCGATCTCGCACGGTGTCGCGACGAATGCACAATTCCGAGACAGATGCAATCATGAAATGTCAGATCATGAAAGTGTATAAGAGCGATTTGTGCACAGTACCGAGACGTATAGACGAAATAGAAAACATAGCAGCCACATCTAGTGCGGCGGTCGAGCATACCAATTTGAAGTACATGAAGAGTCCATCATGATAAGCATGAACATATGAATAACCATCCTTTGTCCGAGTCCAATGCCTCGACGATCCAAAAATCCCTGACCCAGACACACCTACTCCTCCCTCTTCCTTTTCCGTCCCACTTCAGTAGTAGGTCCATCGCCGTCGTTGGCTTCACTGGTATGGACTTTGGCGATGTAAGCATATGCTTGCAAGGGGACGCTCGAGGATACCCCTTCATTTTGATTGCATTCCTCTGATTCATCACTGCTGATGATTAGGAAATCCTTCTGAAAATCTTCATCAGTACTGTCCTTCGGTGAATAATTACTAATACTGACGGAATGCTCGTCGTCCTCCTGATCCTCCTGGACGACGTCATTCGCTTCGGGAAAAGGGTGTTTTATGATGACCACTTCTTGAACATTAGCTACCAGCTGATCGGGGTAAAATTTGGGGTAATGCGGCGAGACCGTCATTGGCTTGACTTCGATCGAATACGTCGGGGTAATTCTGAGAACTTTGCCCTCGAGCCTGGGCCAAAGTTTCAATGTGACCTTGTCGTTGATTCGAATGACCTTTCCGGGGATCATGGCAGTTAGAAGTGAGCACGAAGTAAGAAGTGAAGGTTTGTTCTGCGACGCAGCGTTTACTGGGGTGAGTTTGGTAGCTACCTCGCAGACCCCCATCTTTTAAATAAGTTAGAGCTGTGGACACATTATTGTGGGCTTGTGCTCGCATCCAAAACGGACTTACAGCGTTGGATTCGACTATGCTTTGGATGGTCATTGATCGCCAAATCTGTGAGGGCTCGTGGTTTGATCACAGTGATAAAAATGATGGACGCTTGTGTAAGTGGATGCTGTCGGTCAATGCGGAAGCACCTCCACAGGCTCCGCTAGCATTGACATTGACCATCGCACGTGACGGTCCAGTGAGTTATCCGCCCGCTGGTTCAAGGCATGCATACAACGACTTCAAGTCAATGAAGCATCAGCACTAGATTTTTGGTGACGAAAATTACACACCTCACGAGCGGCTTTGTTGGTTGCATGTACGTGGTACGTGGCATAATGAACAGCAGCAACAACTAGCTTATAGTACGCCCAGCCTGCGAAACTTATTGTGTATGGTTCAAAACGGCAAGGAAACGCACTGCATTGGATTGTTGAGTTGGATTTCGAACAAGCATAGAGCACAAAGATTGTGTGAATAGAAGAGTGAATAGTTGAATGGAAGACTGCAAGGAGAATGCAGCAAAAAACATAATCATTTGATCCATTTGCACTGAGGAGCACTCAGTGTAAGTGCGGATGCTCGAATCGTCAACTTGTTCTGAGACTTCAGTTTGTCGTGCTTCACTAAACAACACACCAAGACAATATGTACTTTACGAAGCACTTGTCTCGTATGAGAAGGACAGGGTAGGACTCGCCTCCTGTACCGAGTTGCAGCTTGCAAGTTCGTGATTGTGTCTGAGACTCTAGAAAAGCAGTCGAAGCAGTGAATAAATTGTACATGGGTTTTGTGGAAACCCTCAGACAAGCGAAAAAGGGGCAGCTCTGAGCTCTCGCATCATCAGAAAGTATTTTTCGAAAACTAGAGCTTTTGAAGTATCAGGTCCATCGTAACAACGTCCAAAACAATACCTCACGTGACCCCAAAGTTGGTGAGGTACCAATTGGGTACCAATACTTAGTTTCAACTTGCATGCAACCGCAATCATAGAAGTATATAGGCACAGCATAATATGTCATCTCAACAGCCATACGCTTCATCAAGAAATAAGCTTCACGGTCAGAAGTTCTCTGTGCCTATCTTTCCTATGTTGAATTTCGGTGGCACCCTAGACAACGGCTCCGGAATGGGCAGTGCCCCAACAACCCCAGACTTGCGAAGTCGCACACGGCATTCCACAGGGGTTAGTGCACAGGAAAACTTCTGAAATGCTCTACTGATGATGCATGTCAAGGACCACGCAGTTAACTCTCCAACTTCAACTACTATGTCAGAATCTGAAGGCAGTTTCTACCGCATGGACGAACCCCTGCGGCCCACACTCCGCAGTCTACCTGTCAACTTGAACGCTCCTCGCAGAATCACCATTCGCTCGGACATAGCGCTGGTCACCTGTTTTGACCCGGCAGACAAGGAATTGTATGCTCTTTGGGCACCCGGACCTTGAGAAAAGGCAATATCAGCAATCTTATTACGGACACATCGTTATTCATAAGCTCTCAATAACAAGTAAGATGTTAATTTCATATATATTTCTGGTACTGCGGTGAACTTCTGATGAATTTTGTACTGCAACTATCCTAACCCAAATAACATGAACGGCATATGACGCCGTGCTGCGCGGCGAAGTTTTTGACGGTCCCTTCTTCGCCCTGCAACATAAAAACTGATATTTCTTCGATAGAGGGCATTCATCTTCATATTCTTCATGGCTCGCTTCATCCTAACGAGTACTTTGTTTCCCTTGACTCTTCTTTTGACTTATGTCACTTCGGCTCGGGCGGCCAGCAATTCTACCCAATGTCCTTCTGATCCTTACCAAGACCCGAGCAACGACCCATGTAATGCCCTTGGCTATATCGCTAGCAATACGCTAACTGCTGTCGCCATTAGTGAGTATCCAGTAATAGGCTTGGAGACACACGTAACTCACTGTGCGAAGGTTTTGCGCTGCTGATCGCTGTCATCCAAACCTACCGAATCATCTATAAGGGTGCGAGATGGATGTGGCCCATGGTCGTGGGGGAATACAGCACGTCTCCATCTCATGCCTGTGTTGATTATTCCTGATGGTTGGCTTTAGTTTATGCCATAGGCTTTGGGTTTCGCTTCGCTTTGCATTATAATCCTGATTCACTGGGGATTTACATCGCCGAATACTTGATGATCGTTTTATCTGTGAGCCAGCGTCGAACCGCAACAATGGTTGTTTGTTGATCCTTTATAAAGCCCTGTTTCTTCATTGCCGCGAATTACGTTCTCTTCGGTCGCCTTGTCAGGGAAATCGGCTGCGTCCATCAGGTCTTACTTCCAGTGAGACGGTTCACCCTCACGTTCGTCTTGTCCGACGTGACTACCTTTCTCGTCCAGGTAGGTAGCGTGTTTTTTTCTCAATGAGCTTCTCTGATGGTGTTTTCCCAAAGGCGGTAGGAGCCTCAATAACTACGTCTACCGTTTACAATTCTGCTTTGTTAGGACTTCATGTATGTTTCTTTTACCGGCATTTGTCTCGATATGAGTGAGGTCTAATCATTTGTCAGGTTTTTTTGGCCGGCCTCGTTTTGCAACTGGCCTCGTTCATTTTCTTTTGTGCCATTTATGCACGATTCATCTACAAGGTTCACGCAGAGCCGGCCATTTGGATGCGAGACTCAAAGCAACACTGGAATAGCGACTGGCGGACACTCGCTGCTGCCATGGTGGTCAGTTGTATCGGCATTCTGGTTTGTCTTCCATGCATAAACCTTGTCGCTTTTAACAAACGCTTTTTCAGATTCGTTCATGCTACCGTGTTGCGGAGATTGCTCAGGGATTTCACGGCAGCCTAGCATCAAGTGAGACAGCCTTCTACCTGGGTGATACACTTCCCATTTTTGTGGCCATCTTGATCTACGTTCCATTCTGGCCCGGAATGTTCATCACGGCCAGGCTAGCGCCCTCTGTCGACGATTTGCAAAACGGTCAAGAGTTATCATTTTCTCGCAGTAATTTAGGTTACAACCATGAAGTGCCCAGCGGTGCTAGATAACTACTGATCACACTTGTTCCACTTTTATTTATTACTTAGTTTACTTGTGATATCAGGGCACACATAGCACGCCTATACAGGGACCTTGCGGCTCAGGTAGTGTTAGTTCACGGACATTGTTTTAGTGGTAGTGCTCGAGTACTACGGGCCTGAAAAGTCTGGCGTGAACACTCCGAGTCAGGGGTTCAGTGTGACCAGGCGCGTGACATATAGAATCACGCGTCAATTCACAGCCGGACTTCAAATTTGATCATAATGATGGTACTATGTCGGTTGGACAGCTTTAGGATCCCGTCGGCCAACAGCCTCCTAAAGAAAGATTCGTGTTTGGCAGTATGTCGTATTTTTACTCTCTCTAGACCTGTGCTGCATTCTATCATAGTGTCTAGACGACGCCATTGGCAGCGGCCACTGTGACACGCCCAAGTAACTGAGCAACTCCAGCCTGTTGGCACATACGGTGACGTTTAAATTGCCGTACATGTGACTACCTCTCAGACTTGAACTACTGTATCAGAGCCTGGAGGTAGTTTCCAGGACTACGACCCACACTTCACAGACTACAATGTTCAAATTTGAGCATACTTCGTATATTTATCATTTATCCAGACATAGCTCTGGTCAATTGATTACTTGCTTTGATTTCGCAGACAGAGAGTCATTGGGCACCTGGACCTTGAAAACCTCTAAGGGCAATATCACAACATTGCGACAGGCACATTGTTTGTTCTGAAGTCTAAGAGGTATGGTTTTTCAAATGTCCTTGCTGTTCATTGCTACGGTACATCTCTGATGAGTCTATGCGTGTATGAGGCGTCAAAACTCACTGCATCGCAGTGCGCATGGATATCGTTTGGCGCCGCGTTGCGGTGTATAATCTCGGGTGCATACGTTCAAGCATAAAAGCCAAGTTCATTGAACTATGAAGGGTATTCTTCATCTTCATCATCTTCCTCTTCTTCTTCTTCTTCATGGCTGGCCCAATTTTAGCAAGCACTTTGTTTCTCTTGACTCTTTTTATCACCTCGGCTCAGGCAGCCACCAATTCTGTGATATGTCCTTCCAATCCTTATCTAGACCCACGAAACGATCCATGCAATGCCCTCGGATATATCGCTAACAATGCACTCACTGCTGTCGCTTTTGGTGAGTGGCCACTAAACCAGGGAAGCACGTAACTTATGGTGCAAAGCTTATGTGCTGTTGGTTGTTCTCATTCAGACTTATCAAATAATCCGTAACGGCGGGAGGTTCATGTTGTCTATGGTCATCGGGGAATACAGCACGTCGCAATCTTTTGCTTGTTTTGATTCTTCCTCATGTTGGTTGTAGTCTATGCTCTGGGCTTTGCATTTCGCTTCGCTTTGCACTATAACCCTGACTCATTGGAGATTTTCATCTCTGAGGACTTGATGATCGTGTTGTCTGTGAGTCGGTACCAAACCGTGACTATGAACATGTATTGACCCTCAAAAGCCCTGTTTCTTCATTGCTGCGAATTATGCTCTCCTTGGTCGCCTCGCTCGTGAAATTGACTGCGCTCATCATGTCTTGCTTCCAGTGAAGCGGCTTACCCTCATATTCGTCTTGTCCGACGTGATTACCTTTGTCATCCAGGTGAGCATTGATCTTTTTGAATGATCTTCACTGATTATATGGGTCAAAGGCGGGAGGAGCCTCATTGAGTACGTCCAAGGTTCAAAGTGCAGCGACTACGGGACTTCACGTATGTCCTTGCACCTGCCTGTGAGAATCTGGTCTAACTCTATTTGCCAGATTTTCTTGGTTGGCCTCATTATGCAACTGGTCTCCTTCATCTTCTTCTGTGCCATCTATGCACGATTCCTCTACAAGGTCTACACTGAGGAAGAAGATGTCTGCATGCGAGACTCAAAGCAACCCTGGTATAACGACTGGCGAACACTCGCCGCCACCTTGGCGGTCAGCTCCATCGGACTTCTGGTTCGTGTTGCATATAGACAGTAATCTCATAATATCTAACTAATGCTTTGATAGATTCGTTCCTTCTACCGTGTTGTAGAGGCTAGTCAGGGCTTCCGTGGCAATCTCAGCACAAGCGAGACAGCGTTCTATCTGGGTGATACGATTCCTATTTGCTTGGCTATCATCGTGTACGTTCCATTCTGGCCTGGAAGGTTCATCAAGCCAGAGCACCCCTACGTTAAAGATCAGAAGGAGTTATACATTTCTAGCCCTTCTATAGTATAACCCTTGAGGTAACCACGCTCATTTCATTTATTCAGCACATGATACACGAATATCACAAATAGGTACTTTACGGACCTTGGCACTCTGGTAGTGTTACAATGATTCATATGCTCAGCAATGAGTACTGGCGAGAGCCAGCCACATGCATTGATCCGAGTCTTGCAAATCCAAGTTGAATCAAATGTCAAAGCCCAAGTCAACATCAAGTCAGGTATAAATGTTGAGATAAAATTGCTCCATCATAATGTTTCGGTGCACCGTACTGTACAATATACATTCAACTCCTACCGATTCTTGCAGCATGGTACAAGAAACAAAACTGCACTCAGTATGTATGTGATTGATAGACCCCAGGAAGTAATCAGTATTTTACCTTCTTCGCCCAATTCTCCCAGTCTTCTCCTGTAGTACGCTGCAGCATCTTGTCCTCTACTGAAGGTTGGCTGATGGAAATCTAAAATCCAACGACAAGAAAAAAACGTTAACCACTACTAGTACTCTCGCGAATGGCGATTAAAGAATCACAGACTACCTTGGTTTTCGTACATTATGACGATCCCAACTTTTTGGAGAAGGAGACCAGTATAGCTCGGGTGGCGAACCACAAAGTACGGCTCGCTCGTCACAAGTCTGTGCTCTTCTGATGCTGAGTTGGAAGTTCCAATGTTTTCCTAACGTCGATATGCAATAAAATCTCAACGCATCCCGCGGGACTACCCGCGATAAAAGTGGGAGTGATTTGGCACCCTAGATGCCCCTAGAACCTGTGGGAGGGGTATATGCATGGCAAGGATACTGGCCACTTCAACAGACGATACTGCCCATACACTAATCTGTCATACTATCAACAGATCCATGCAGACAGTAGAAGAGCGACCACTTTGATAAGCTCTGGACCGCAAAATGCTATAACGGAGCATATGAAGGATTCGAACACGGTGGACGTCCCTTCTCTTCAGATGACGGTAGTTGAGAAGAGGTGAAGGAAAAATGGGCTGAAGCAAGAAGGAGATCCTCAATACACTTATGTTGCTCTGCAGGACAAAATTTGGAGCCTGCGACAAGACATGTTAGATGTCTTGATATCGATAACACATGTGCTCCCAGGTCATAAATACCAGAACCATGATTAAATGTGGCGGCTCTGAAATGTAAGGTACGCCTAGTAAGCTTGGGCAACAACAAGGGTTTGTTACACGCGTGAGGGTTGCTTGCAGATGTTCTAAGTCTGTAGACGTATCCCCTGGATGCAACCTATCAAACTTCTCCCAAATAGTCTAGCCCATCAGAGGAGCAATCTTCTGCATCTCCTTGCCTAGCCGCTTCATTCCAAGTGTGCTCAAGCCTGAGCATGAAGGAAGAGATACACATCCGCTAAAATCCGTCAGGCTTTGAGAACATATGTAGTGGTATGTAAGATTAATAGCACACCTATTTATCATTGTAGTGAGCTCAGGAACGATGCAAGGCCATTTGGTGGTAATTTTTGCTGGGATTTTGTTTTTTCAGCCTCTTTCTCTCGATTACGAGCCAGCATCTCCTGCAACACCGTTGTCTTCTTCTTGGGCTTTGTGTGCAGGTCAGATGCAGTTCCGCGTGTCAAATGTGCCACAGAAGATAAACCGACGGGCGCGGAGGAACGTGACAAAGACGGTACCAAGTCATTTTTTGGTTTGCGTTCTGATTGACATGAAACGGGTACTGATGGGATCGGCGATGGTAGTGATAGTTCGGCTTCAGTGGTAAGCTTTGATTGAGGAGATGCCTCTCTCCTATCAACCGAAGTATAGGAAATAAAGCCACAGCGATGACAAGTAATCTTGACAGCGTTTGATTTCTTGTCGGCAACCTTTCTCCGTTTTCTTGGTCTGCGGAGTTCTACAGAGCCACCGGCGGCCAACAGATATGAACCGCACCGCATACAATTCATGGTGGATAAAGAATCCGATTCTTCTGGGTAGAGAGAACGCGCTCGAGAAGCATGAAGGGCAGCAAGACTGGGTGAAATTGGTAGAAGTGCGAAAGGTAAAGCGGTCTGGAATTTTGTGGTAACTGGATGAGCCATGGCACGTGTTGTCAATGTTCCCACGGGTGATTAAGTCTTTATTGTCCCAAAGGGGCAAGTGTTGTGTGCACACTATGAGCGCCGATCATTTTCTTGAAATCTTTTTGTTGTTCGGATAACTAGAAACAACAATTTGGTTTAGCATCTTTGTCCATTAGCTTCTTAACGGTCTTGTATTCTTTGACCGTCTTCATCTTCTTCGTCGTCCACGACTCCCCTTCTTCGACTTCCACTGATCCCTTCATGATTGTTCCAAGTCGCCCAACAGACTTAGCTCTGCATCATTTCTCTTTATCTTCTGCGCCAGTATCACCTCAAATTACGCCTAAAAGAGGCCACAAATCTTCAGTCTCGAAGCCAATGATCTGGCTTACTCGCAATACGAGTTCTTCTTCCAATACTTCGCCACATGGTGTCGCAGCTGCACCAATTCGCATATCAGAACCTAGGTTTGACACCTCCTTGGATATATTTAATGTCAAACGTAGTGGACCTCTTGGAAGCGGCGCCATGGTTGTGAGAACACCGCAAGAGGCGCTGTCTGGAGCGAGCGTCTTGTTTGGCAATGAAGATGATGGCAGTCAACGTGGGTCCGCTTTTCAGGCCCCCTCTGAGGAGGCGATGGACTCGCCTACGCTTTCAGGTGGTCCGCCACCCGTACCGTCGAAGTCTTCTCTTGAGTCCTCAACTTCAGCTATATCCACCTTGAGACATAGTGGTTCATCAAGTCTTCCAGCGAAAGACACATCCACACCGCCATGTCCAACCCGACCTCCTCCCCCTGCGCCAACGACATCATCTACGATTCTTCGTCCAGTCATTAAGGCAAAGACCTCCCCTTCTTTGGCAGAAGACCTGCCCCCTGTACCACCACTTCCCGTTAATGTCTCTACTACTCCACCCCAACCTCCCTTTGAACCCATTCTATTGTCCCCTATCCCTGGCAGTGCGATCGATCCTTCCAAGATTATCGTAACCATAGAGACAAGTTCAGCAACGCACCGCACGACACTTGGTACTCTTAATTCAAGGCCTTCTTACCTCTCAAACTATGTCACTTCCCTCTTACCACGAAAATCAGTTGCGGCATCGTTATACTCCAATGCGAGCGATATTTCTGAACTTCCACACAACTCATTCAATGCCATGTTTCATGATCATTTAGCGTCTTCTGGGTTTATATCCCAATCAACCATGAATATACATGTATTCCTCGACAGGCCAAGTGCTCCGTAAGTATCCCCGCTTCTAACTGTACAATCCTTAATGTTATCGTTCTAGATACGCGCACATATTGTCGTACCTCCGCACTCCCCCTTTCATTTCGGAACACCCAGCCATCATTCCTAGAGCCGTTCAACTTGCGTCTTCGTCACGGGCAAGACTTGAGGCATTACTCGAGCTTCGTGACGAGGCCAATTATCTTGGTCTAGATGAGCTGTTCAAACTATGCAATGACGAGATATGCAATAGGTGTAATACACCAATCCATGCACGGGGTGGAAGCATGAGTAGCTCCGCTTCCATTCACTCCCTACACACCGTCCAGGAGGGCGGTGACAATTGCGAAATGGGCCGTTCATCTTCTCGCTCCAGCAGAAAATCGACGCGAGCGACGCCTCCCCCTCGCGAACGTAACCTGGGCAGAGCAGAGAACCGAGCGAATACCCCGAACTCCCGACAACCTACAATCACTTCTTGGATATGACATGCGTGACGATTGACATGATTGACTTTATTTTCTCGACTCTATTTTCTTTCGTAACTATCTGACTTATCCACGGGCATCTTGCATATGCATATACTTATTCACATTCATTTACTATAGTGCTTACCGTTATGATATTGTAGAGTACGCAATCTATTCATTCGCATTCAGAACGAAAGAAAAGACATTAGATTTCATACCACTAACAACGAACTAATGCTATAGTATGGCAAGACACAGACTGTGGACAACAACGGCATCATGGCGAAGCGAAGGAGAGAATGTAACGAGGAAATCATGTGATGACCGAATACTAGTACAGACCATGAGTTAGTAACATAGAAGGGAATCGGAAAAGAGAGCATGATGGAATATCAAACGGTTATCGTACACATAAAAAACGTTGTCATCGGCGATGCAGAATATCACTTCTTCTGCTCCGCGTAAGGGTTGACGCTATACACCTTGATGACAGGCGGACTTTTAGTCAAATCAGCTGTCACGATAACCTTGCATACAAGTCAACGAAGTGTGTGCGTATCACTCAGGAGAAATACGCACGGGAACGGTCATGAGCTCCTTGATGTCCTGAATCTTGTGGCCAGCCGGTGTGGACCTCAAACCCTCAAACACGGGCTGGACCTTGGCGGCAGACAACAACCTTTGTTTCGAGGTCTCAGGTGCCTTTTCAGCGTCCATATCCCTTCCTAACACAATCTCATCGTCATCGGCATCATCCTCGTCAAAGAGGGCCTTCTCATCATGCACAGAGCGAGATGCAACTTCCATTTTGACAGCGTGAGCCTCAGCATTCTGCTTAACCTTCTTCAAGTGCTCGTCATCGCTGTTCTCTGCCAACCAACTAAGGACGTCCCTGTTCGACCAATAGATTTGCAAGGTATGCGAATGCTCATCATAAACATGGTTCTGGTCCAAGCCATCAGATTTCTCTTCACGAGTCAGTTCTGAAACTCTTACGTCAATAGGCATTTGGTCGACATGGACCCGCTTCTCAATGCCAAACTCGGGGACAAGGACGTCAAACGCAGCTTCAAGGACACCAACAACCGTGGCTGGACGAATAACAGGACCGTATCGCTGGGTGAGATCCGAGATTAAAACACACAAGTAGAGATGGGTCGACTGCTCCTGCGCCAACTTCGCCGAGTCCTTTTTGCTATTTATAAAAGTCAGTACACCAGACTAGCTATTGATAGAGCGAAACAAACATGTTGCACTGTTGAGCAATCTTTGCAACGGCGTCACGGTCCATGGAAAATTTGGGTTCCACTACGATTTTGTCAGAAACATAACAAACGGCTGCGAAGTGACTCACCACCTCCGCCCTGCAAGACTGATTCGAGCTGACGGTGCACAAGAACATCGGCGTAGCGCCGAATAGGAGAGGTGAAATGAGTGTAGAGAGGCACACTCAAGGCATAGTGGTTGTATTTCGCAATGTCGAGCATGCCAGCGCAGAAATATTTGGCTCGCTGAGTAGCTTTGAGGGAGATCAGCTCCAACACCATGCGGGCAGTCGGGTTTGTGATCGCCTCGAATGACTTCATGGTGGCACCACTAGAGGAGACATCGACTGCGATATTGAGTCGATTAGCACGTTCGACGAAAAGATTCTGTAAAAAGTTGTAGCTGGAGTTGAAATTACAGATGCGGTGATAACTCACGAGGCGTCGCTCGAGTGGCGTATCATGTCTGCGAAGCAGGGCCTGCTCGGGAAGGTGGACGGCAATGCGTTGCGCGACCGTAACATTGGTTAGCAGCATGAACTACAATTGCTCAAATCAGATTTCATTATAGCTCAGGTACAATTTAAACACAAACCTCTTCAACAATGTTGTGTGCATCGGTGTTCTCGGTCTGCTCGCAGTCTACTGGTCGACCGTGCTCGTCCAGGGTAAACTTAAGTTGCTTGGATGTTAGACTGACAGCGCCATCTTGGAAGCGCGTAGCACGAAGCTGCTTTGCAAGACCATTCAAAACCTTGATGTCATGCACAATTGCTGGTGTACTGTGTTCCGGAGCTACCACGAGATCACCTAGAATGTGGCCGTCGATAGCACTCTGAGCGTCCGTATAAGACAGTTTCGCGCAAGACCTAGCGATAAATGAATTCAATTATGCAATGCGTAGAAGTATGACACTTACTTGATGACGGTCTTGCCCAACCACTTGTTGACAATTTTGCCGTCCTTGGTCATGGTAAAGACAGACGAGAATGCTAGACGTTCAACACCTGGGTTCAAACTGCACACTTCTTCGCTGATCGTGGGAGGAAGCATGGGGACGGCACGCTGCACCAGATACACGCTAGTTGCCCTCTTGCGAGCATCGCGGTCAAGAGCAGTGTTAGGCTTGACGAAGTAAGAGACGTCAGCGACGTGCACGCCCACATCATAAGTGCCATCGTCATTGGCCTTAATGGACAGTGCGTCATCAAGGTCCTTTGCAGTTTCAGGATCAATGGTGAAGATGCGCTCTTCACGTAGATCTTTCCGAACCTCGAACTCCCTCTCTGGGACACTGTAGATGTTATCATTAGCTCATATCTTGAGAGAGGTAAGCAGGAACCCACGTCCAGGGTGTAGGAGGCAGGCATTTAAGAACACTATCTGAGAACTCCTCTGTAGGGAAGTTGCAGTCCTTCAACAGAGCACTGGTTTCAACTTCGATGTCTCCGATGGGGCCAAGCTCTTCAGCCAAAGTACCGAATGGGTGGAGCGAACTAATGGGCTATGGAAGAAGTGTCAATAGAGTCGACATACGATTGCCAAAACACACTGACGTGACGCTTGATACAAGCAACGAACAACTTGTCTGCATAGGCCTCCGAATTCTGAACGAAGTCTGCAGGTGCTTGTTCAGTCGGAATGGCAATGAGCGGTACCCGCTTGTCGGTAGGCTTAAACCACACGATCTTCGGGCGTTCTATAGGTCCGCGCCTGGGCTCGTCGCCACGGTCGCCTTCGCGTTCTCTGCGCTCAGCCTCCTGCTTCTCTTTAGTCGCAGCGGACGAAGGGCGCAACAGGCCAAGAGTGCCAGAGAAAAGTTGGCCAGGCATACGCTCAACAACGGCAACGACATGTCCGGCGAACTGAGGCTTGACATCATCGGTAACCCTGACAGAAACAAACGACTAAGTCAACGGTCCAACAGGGAAAACGATGCAAACGTACTCCTCGTCTTCGAATAGCATCAAACCTTGGCCCTCTACCTCAACGTCATCCTTTTTCTTGTCGTCCCGGCGTACTGAAGACGACTTCAGGTCATAAGCAGAGTTCTCTTCCTTCTTGCGTTTCTTCTCTTCCTTCTCCTTCTTCGTTCCCCATACTTCATCAACATCAAGAAGCTCGACAGCGACTATATCACCCTCCAGAGCACGATTACGGTCCTTGGATCCACAAATATAAATGTCAGCGTCAAGAACCTCAGTAGCAACGTATGCATCCGAGCGATTGCGTTTGTTGACTCGTAAAATCCCAACTACTAGTTTTCCTGCTGCAAGAAGTGGCGGCAGCGAAGCCTGAGGTAGGTAAGGAGCGAAAAGAGATTTGCGTTGAGGCTGGTTGGATTGTTGCTGAAGCTGCGATTGGAACTGCTGCTGTTGTTGCTGTTGCTGTTGCAGTAAGCTGACACCACCCATGTTCAGGCCCATCATGTTCGCAGCCATCATGTTTGGAAGCATGTTAGGGAACGAGAAAGATGCCATCTTGTGATGGTGACCACCAGCCGCAGCACGGAACTGTTGCAAACTCTGAAGCTGCGCTTGTGCTTGAGCAAGATCCGCGGCGAATGCATTGTTGCCTTGGATGGCGCCAACGCCTCCATCTAAACAATCTGAATAATAGATCCGCAAGCAAACGAGTATAAAACTTACTGATGCGCCAGCTAGAATCAACTCGAGAAGTGGTGCGAGAGTGACCACCAAAGCCAGGAGGGGGTGCAAAACCATCATCGAAACCGTCCTGACCATTGTAAGGGAAGCTGATTGACCCCTGAGCGGGACTAGATTTGTTGACAACATTGACGCTGTGACGCCTGCCGTGGCCGCGTGGGAGACCGGTTGGCTGACTATCGAGACCAAGACCGAGGTTGCTCATGCTATTGAATTGGCCCATGGGAGAATTAAAGGCATTGACACCTAAATTTCCACCCATATTGGTGGGTAATGTGCTTTGGACACGCCTGTGCCTATTCGGGACCAATCCTGGAGTTTGGAGGGAGAGGACCTGGTTGGAAGCGAGCTGTTGCTGGTACAAAGCCTGTTGTTGTTGCTGAAGCGCTTCGATCTGGTTCTGGAGGGCAATCTAGGATAATTTCAGGGACACAAGGCACACAACATGATTGGCTACATACCTGTTCAGCCATGATCCCTGTGAAATCACCTTCGGGCTTCCTATGAGGTTGTTCATCGGGAGGAAAGCCAGATTGTTGCTGAGGGAACTGGAATCTGACATCTTCCTCGTTGATAGGCGGACCAACGGGAACATTAGAGCTAGCTCTCCTACGCGCTCCAAACATGAAACCAGGGGCAAGCTGCGGACGACCAGTGGGTCCAAGAACATCCTGTTCTTGTGCAGCGAGAGCAGCGAAACGAGGAGCCATGAAACTTTGAGACTGAGAGCGAGGCTGGTGCCCTTGTTGATGCTGGTAAAACTGCTCAGGGATTTCGCCATCTTCAAACAAAGCTCCGGTACCATCTTCGGCATCTTCCATCATCGCGCCCAGGTGAGGCGAGAAGGAGTTGTAGTTACCAGGAACACCAACGGTGCCTAGAGATACAGCTTTACGGTGTCTGACAGCATCTACGAGGTTGGACCCAGGGAAAGAAGAAGCACCTGGCTGGAACACTGGTGCATTAGCTGGAAGATTCGAAGGCTGTGGTTGCGGGGCGTGCATAGAAGCAGCGAGCGAATTGCTGACGCCAGGAGATGAAGATTGGTTTGAAGGCGACGTTGTCTTGAGGTCTGCAATGACTCTCTGTAAAGAGGACAGTAAAGCATCGCTTGATTCTAATGCGGAAGGGGGTGCAGGCGAAGAGGAATGGGCAGTCGTGGTGCGTGTACCCTGAGAGACAGAAGGTTGACCTTTGCGGGGATTACCGTTTCGTGTAGCAGCACCGGTCTGGCTTTTGCTACGAGGTTCGGATTTCTTAGGCGGCTCAGGAGCTTTCTTGTTTGTGTCTGAGCCAGACTCTGTACCGCCCGCAGTAGACACCCCTGTTGGAGGTTTCTTATTACCAGACCTAGAGGAAGGCCTTGGGGCACCTTGGAGGTTTCCGGCTGCGGAAGAAGGTCTAGCATTAGATGAAGTTCTCCTCGAGCCTCTGTTTGATGCAGAGGGAGGTTTCTTCTCGTCCTTCTTGGGCAGGTTATGCGTTTGAGTGAATTCGTCGGTCATTTCGTTCGTATCGTACGGAGGCAGGAAGCTATTACAGGGAATTGAACGATTTTTTTTGGATTATGTGTTTTCTAGAGGAATGTGAACTAGAGTTATCTAGACAAGAGTTGGACGAGGTTTGGTTCTGAAAAGTTGGGCAGGAGTGTGAAAGTAATATTGTCGTCTTTGCCCTGTAGGGCGAGTGAGGGATTATGAAGAGTGAATGCCGTGTGTAGGCGTGGAAGGGATCTTAAAGCTGGTCGTCGTAAGTCAACATTTGACTGAGTTCATTTTCCTATCACATCCGCAGGCTACTATTTCCCACGCAAGCCAAGTCGGGACCGAAGATTCCAATTATCTGGTATATACGGTCTAATCTGTCTATAAATCTCAGAGCTTGCTGATGATCGCACTCGTGTATTCCTTGGTCGAGGCCTTTCCACCCAAATCCCCCGTAATAGTTTTACCTTCGGCGATCGTCTAACGGGTAAATAGTAAGAGCTTAGCATACGCGTAATAGTTAAAAAAACCTTACAGTAAGAGCGGCATCTTCAATCTTGGCAGCGTGTTCATTCAAGTTCATGTGTCTATACGAGGCATCCCGGATCAACCTAGAAGCCAACAAACAGTTCCTGAAGTTCGCGTACCTCAGCATCATCAGAGAAGATAGAAGGAGTGCAGTAGGATTAGCTAATCCCTTCCCTATATTTGACACATCGTCAGTATTGGTTATACACCCAAAGTAAACATGTCCCGGACCTGCAATATCGGGAGCTGATCCGTGCACGGCTTCGAAAATCGATGCATCCTACGGAACACTTCAGCTCAAGCAGCTTAAAGTAAAATCAGACTTACACGACCAATGTTACCAGACGGTGTCAAGCCAAGGCCGCCAATCAATCCAGCGCACATGTCCGACAAAATATCACCATAGAGATTAGGCATCACCATGACCCTGTTAGAGTAAGGTTGGGGATTCTGCACAATCTATCAAGCCGTCCTTAGCTGTGCACGTCACTAAATCGGCCTCATGTTCATTTACCTGTAAACAGACACGATCCAAAAGGTCTTCATCGTAGGCGATACCCGGGAAGTCCTTCGAAACTTGCCGACATGCGGACAAAAACATGCCATCCGACATTTTCCTGTCTTGCATCAGTATTCATGCGTAATTCTTGGCTAATATACAACTCACATGATATTGGCCTTATGTACAGCAGTCACTCGCTTCCTTCCGCTAGCCTGTGCATAATGGAAAGCATAACGAGCAACACGCTCAGAGGCATCCCATGTAATGAGTTTGATGGATTGGACCACCCCATCCACAATCTAGATCACTCCCGTAAGGAATACTCGTGTATAATAGGATGAACCCCACCTCGTGCTCGATACCCGAGTACTCTCCCTCAGTGTTTTCCCGAATCAGAACAGTATCAACGTTGTCATAAGGAGTCTTGAAGCCCTTGATCGAAACACACGGACGAACATTCGCGAAGAGGTTAAATGTCCTACGGAGAGTCAAGTTCAAAGAGACAGTGGCCCTTTCCAACTTGAGGACGCTCAGATTACATGTGAATCACAGTGAAAAATAGTGCGCACTTGGAGTTGCCAGCGGTCCTGAGAATAAGATTTAGTGTCTTGCTTCTTTCCAGTCATAATCAAACGCACCTTTCAGAGCAACAGTGTTCTTCTTTACAGAGTTGATGGCAACGTCCGGGATGACCGTTTTCCCACCTTTCAGAACGGGAGTGACGCTGACTTCTTCCCACTCGATTGGGACCTATTGAACCTGTAAGTCGCGTTCGTCTCAAATGAGAGACCGAAAACGAACTTTTGCAGCAGCATATATGTCCTTGACCGATTCACTGATCTCTGGGCCAATACCTAAACTCTAGCGTCAAACAACTGAATCTCCACTGGACGAGCAAGCTGACCGTCTCCAGGAATCAAAGTCACAGTGTATTTGCCCTACCAGATGGGTCAGGGCTATAACTCGAATATTATTGCAAGACTCACGTTGCTACCCTTGTGGCCAGCAAAAGCAGCAGTGGGGGATGCAGAAGCATACTGTCTGAATGGCTAAAATGTAAACGTAAGTACCAACCCGAATAACCCGAAAACACAAATCGCTCGACCTGTGCGGACCTAAATGCGCCCTGTGCAACACCAACAAGCGACCGGTGAGCCAACATTTTTGTTTAAGAAAAGTCAAGGTGTGTATGGATGAAAAAGTTGTAAGGTCTTACAGACGAGTTCTATTCTGGGAACAGCGGAAATACCGGATGAATCCGGCGAGCATGCCGGGCCACTGAGTACGGCCTTTGGAGATTCTCAAGCCTGCAGGATGTGTCACACTAACTCAAGTCTAACTAGAACTAGTGGACTGGTTGCACTACGTTAGGTTCGGCTCACTACGCGAAAAGGTGGCATCGTCACGGTATCATAATGATTGTAACTCGACTTGGCATGATTATTTGACCTGCCGTGTTTGAGTTGTATGTAGACTTCATGGATTCTCAGACAGTGCACCGACTAGTCCAAGCATCAACTTGACCATGAATGATACTCATCGATGCGTGGATATACGGCGGCCTGCAAGGTACAGCCTTTCCACTCTTTGTCAGTCAAAGTGGAATGCCTGCCGGGCCGCTGTCACTTCGCGGGCCCACGGCCGCCAGCTTTAAAAGCTACGCGTCGGTGGCAAATTTCACAATTCATTTCAACGGTCGCAGTAGTATTTCGTTCACCCCGCCTGCTACATGCTGACGTTGGCATGATGACATTTGACAACTGTCGGAAGGGCAAAGATTTGAAATATGGGCTGTCAGGTGGTGGGCTCGTGGTGAGCGAGCATAGCATGAACAGCCTGGGATGAATCGAGCACAAAGCCGTACTGAGGTCCCGGGCGCAATAATTCGGAGCTGGGGGTAAATCCTCACACTGCTATTTGCAAGCTCATGTGTGTGGTAAACGGGCTAGATTGAAACTTTGTGACATAGTACACACCCGTGAACAGGACATGATATCAAAGATGGGAGTGAGGGCTCCGACGTCACTGATGATGTCAGAACATTTTGGTGTACACATCAAGAGCCGTAAAGCGCCAGTAAGCATCTCGGCACCCTTTTTTTGAAAAAGAAATGATTAATTTTCGCGCCATTGAACAGCGCATCCGGCACATCTGGGATTCGATTATCAAACTGGGTATCATATATGCCAGTAATGCTGACCTGTAAACTGATCCCATGAAGCTATGGATCAGCACCGAGTATCGTAAATTCATTTGAGAGGAAGCACATACATGTCGTCATGGGCTCATCCGCAGATCGGATCTGTAACTGATAGAAATATGCACGGGGATGACCACACTTGTCACAAGTGACTGTGGATTGTGTATCAACATTACCACTTCCTACATCGCGAAGGAAAAGAAGTGACTAACTTGCAGTAGAATCAGCATCTCGCCACGTCTCTTCTCCTCCGAGCACATCATCTGCTTCCTTGCGCTTCATACGCGAGCGGGAAGTCATCTACAATGAAGTCATGCAAGGACTATTATCAAGGACTAAAACACAATTTTTAAGATGAATCGAGTACACACCTGCTTCGAGATCGGGAATTCGTATGGACACGAGTTGCATGCCCATTTATTGTACCCTGTTTCAGAGGATATCACGAGCATATTAGCGCATGTCGGGCAGAACAGCATGTATACAGGCTTGTTGAGGTTGTCGAACAAAACCTTTCAAGCGAATCACGGTGAATATGTGACACCTCCGGAATTCAAATTGGGATGATGAAGTTAGGACTCGAAATTGGTAATCAAACTTTTTCCAATTCGACTTACTACCTGAACAGCCCAGGGTGCCTCCATGAAGTAAATCGAGTAATAACTCGTTGGACTGAACGACCCATATTATATCTCATTCCAATGGACATGAGCTCAGAGCCGCAGCAGGACTGCTAGTCACTGCCCTCCAACAACATTGAAAGGCTCGGATCTTCCAGATGGGTTGACGCTCGTTCTCCGAGGGGCCTCGTCAGACCCCTGTTCTTTGAATTGGGGCCCTGGTTGTACCCAAGGCTTCAATTGAAGTGAAAGTAGCCTGGAGCTGCCGCTGCGAGCCAACCTCGTGTCGTTGCCGCAGCACGAGGCATGCGCCGAGTCCCGTCAGGACAAACCTCATTCCTAACGGCTTCCGATATTTCGCGTCAATACCATTGTCTCGTTCATAATCAAGCGTCTGTGCTTTCCGAGTACATACGTTTACAGCGAAGAGACCTCGCACTCTCCGGCGCAGCAACCTATCTCCGACAACATTGCGATTCGCACTACAAGCTTTGAAGCTCAACCGCCTCGATCTCGGTTTTACACGCAATATTTGGACCTGTGACTCCAAGAGCAGTTCGAGTTAATGAGCTGACCATGCCGCTACTGGGAGCTTGATCATCTGTTCGCACAGTTCGGATGCAAGGGACATTGATTATAATTAGTAGCTTTTAGCTGTTCGTGTCTTTCTTGTAGTCACTATTGGTCACTTTCACTTTCATAAATCGCTCAGCACTCAGCACTATCCATAGCCTGGTTTCTCATTGGCTGAACCACTGGTCCATATCAACTCCCGAGTTTGAACGAGAATTTTTGATATTCGGTGTAACTCGGCACTACGTAAGTATCGAACTGACCACGTACCCTCTTTTCCTGTAAACTGAAGTTGACCCAAACACTGACACTGGGAAGAGTTCAGGGATGTCTTTGTTCCTTGTACCAGAACATCACCTTGACGTGGGAGCCCTTCTCGCTCGCCATCAAACCATAGACGATGCAAACACTCTCGCTAGTATCGACCGTCCTCCATCCGAAGCCGAAGAACTGCCACCTGCAAAAATCTATCACCCCCTATCAATCCATGTGCTAGCCCTCCTCATGCCTGCATCAATGTTCGGAGTCCTCGCGCGGCTTGGCTTGCAAGCGCTTACAACGTACGACGGAGAAAGTATTTTTCCATTGGCTTATGTCCAGGCCACGGGGTGCTTTATCATGGGCGTTGGGTTAAGAATGAAAGTGCCATTTGGTAATTTGTATGTGTACCTTCTCTCTTTCACCACCTGGCCTTTCATACCTCTCCGCAGCTATGGTCCGTTGTACACGGCCTTGACCACTGGTCAGTGCCTCCTGGTATCATAACATAATACCCATTAACCTGACACAGGTTTCTGTGGATCATTAACAACATTTTCTGGGTGGCAGGTGGACATCTTTGATTCGTGGGTGAATAGCGGTCAGTTCTCCAGAGGCGGACTTCGAGATGTGAGCAGACCCTTATTTTGTTGCGGTCCGAATCATGATGGCGTGTTTCTTTTACGTCTGACAGTTCATGGATGGTTTTACGCGAACTTGGGTCACCCTCGTGTTGTCGTTGGGATCATTGAAATTTGGAATATATGTCTGTGGAGTAGTTCAGCCGTATTTCTCGGCCCCACCACCGCCAAGGAAGAACGTCCGGTACACGCTTACTATCCTTGCGATCCTCACATACGCAGCGACCCTTCCTGTGTACTTCTTTCTGCCACGCAATTTCCGCCACCAAGCGACCGCTGCCCTCCTATTCTCGTTCCCTGGCACATTAACGCGGTACCTTCTATCCATAAATTTGAATCCCCGCTTGAAGACTATGCCTCTTGGAACTTTCATGGCGAACTCACTTGGTACCGCTCTCCTAGGTTTTTTCCATGTACTTCAAGGTTTCTCATCTCCAGTTTCCCAAAACGCTTGCTCGTCACTTCAGGGTTTAGGAGATGGGTATTGCGGTTGTCTAACGACTATCAGCACCTTTGCTGCGGAGATTGGCGCATTAGAAAGATGGAAGGCTGTTTCATATATCATCATCAGTTGGAGTACTGGACAATTATTGCTGCTGGTTATCATGGGATCTTCATTTTGGAGTGGACATGTACAAGAACAGATGACATGCAGTTTCCAGACGTCGTGAGTTGCAAATAAAGCCAAGTATTACATACAAATGTGCTAGGAAGAGGGTTCATGTGCTCGGTGTGCTCCGAGGTCTGTAGCTGTTCCCTGTGGCCTAAAATCTTGCTAAAGTTTGTTGTGATCGAAGCGTTGTAGCTGTGAACACCAAAGCGGAGTTTGAATACAGATCTGGAACTTCTGGAGAAACAGAATGCAGACCCACAGCCCGTCAGCCCGTCTGACTTAAAAGTGTGAACGTCATGTCCCGTCCACCCGAGCTTGAGGAGGAGCAGGTCGAGCTTGAGGAGGAAGAGGTCATTAGTGGTATTGGTGAAGGTGACGAGGTTATGGAGGAAGTTGAAGAAGGCTACAGTGCGTATCAAACCTATCATTCATTCCGGAATTCATAAGCTGTAAATTTCTTTGCGCGTTTTTTGGAGACGGGGAAATCTATCGATAGCTCGCTAACTAATTTTCAGCATCATCTACTCCTACATCTACCCTTACGTGGATTAGCTGGTTTTGCTCCCTGCCAGGACACGAGTACTTCTGTGAAGTCTCGGAAGATTTTATCGAGGATGATTTCAACCTCACCGGCTTGAATGCCATGGTGCCATTTTGGAAGGAGGCAATGGAGATGGTGTTGGACGTGGAGCCTGGTACGTTGCCTTCTTTCATTCTGTGGCGTTCACGATCTTATTCGCTCCGAGACGAAGATTCGTCAAAAATACCCGACGTGTCAATCGTCGAAGCATCAGCCGAACTATTGTATGGTTTAGTACATCAGCGTTATATACTGACGCGTGCTGGATTGCAAGCAATGGTGAGTCAACCATATCGTGCACTAACACAGTTGATCGACTCGATCATGCTTTCTCACAGGTTGATAAGTATGAAAATGCCCTCTTCGGCGTCTGCCCGCGTGTATATTGCATGGGTTGCAATGTTGTTCCTTCCGGTCGCTCTGATCTGCCGGGCCTCGACACTGTCAAACTTTTCTGTCCTAATTGCAATGATATCTATGCACCACCGAGCAGTCGTTTCCAAGGGGTCGATGGTGTGTGAGCTGTGTCTCTGCTGACCGTTAGTACTTCTCACCGAGATCTTGAGGGACGTAGGGGCCTTCTTTGGAACGACATTTGCGCACCTATTTTTCCAGAGTTATCGTGAACTCGCCCCAGCGCCGTTTTACAAACCTTCGTCATCGCCGGGGTCATCTATGTCTCCCGGGCGCTCGCCTCACAGTGGCTCGGGTAGTAGTTCCTCGCGACCTTCACCCTTTTTCAATCCAAATCCGCATGGGGGGCAGAAACGCCCTGCAGGCCACCTTTACCAACCGCGGATATATGGCTTTAAAGTCAGTGAACGAGCCAAAACTGGACCCCGGATGCAATGGTTGCGGCTGAGGCCGGAGAGCCCAGATGAATTGGATATGGTAGACTGGAGAGGTCGGTGGATAGATGATGACGAGTATGACGAGGAGGAGGACATTGATGAGGATGATCGGCTGATGGAGGATTTTGATGTGGTAGGGATACGTAATCTCGGCGCGGAGACATGTTGGCTCACGCAAGCTGCTTTGCCTCTTACAGGAAACTGTGGAAGATGACGAAGAAGAGGAGGAGGAGGAAGAAGAGGAGGAGGAAGAGGAAGGAGGCTCACGGAGGCACCTAATCCGAGGTGAGCAATACGCCGATTCGCCCCGGCCACCTACACCTATCCACCTCCCATCTTCCGCGCGGACATCGCCGACATCCATTGCAGTGCCTCATATAGAAGACAACGTTGTTACCTCGGGGCGCGCCACAGGAAGGGTGAAAGTCGTGCGGCAATACTAAGACGAGTGTTGTGGGACAGAGCTAGCTCATGACACTTTTGCTGCACAGATTATCTAGGTTTCGAATGTCTTATTTGCGCATCCATGACTGCAATCACAGCATAGATCATATAATAGTGTACAACACCGCATACAAACTGCATACACCTTGTCTTTGACGTTCTAATCTTCATGTCTTGGTCAAAGGTTGTGGGAATATATTGGAAGAGAAACTGTACAGTACCATCAGCCACAATACAACGCACGTGACTGCTGTAAAGAGGCAGGGCAGACTTGGACGCCAGCAACAACCGCATCCTCAAGATCTCGTGAAGAAAATGGTACGAAGCAGTGAGTGACTTGCTTGAATGTTTGGTATCGTAGCGCTCATTGGGAATAGACCTACGTCAGGGCCTGAACAAGGGCTATCCCACCACTGCCATTCCTAAGACCACACGCCCGAGTCACCGCAAGGGCATTCAATCGACAAAAAACAAGTTCGTGCGGTCTGTCGTGCGGGAAGTTGCTGGCTTTGCGCCATATGAGCGTCGGGTACTTGAGTTGTTGAGAAATGCCAAGGTGCGTTTGATCTTATCATGTATCAGACAAGTTCTTACAAAATTATGCAGGATAAAAAGGCAAGAAAATTGACGAAGAAAAGAGTGGGTATCTCAGTGTACTCATTTGAATGTCGAACTGATGGATTGATTAGCTTGGTACACTCCTTCGTGCAAAGCGTAAATTGGAGGAACTCGGTAACATTATCCAGGAGAGCAGGAGAGCGCATTGAGGGGTATGCTAGGCTTGTTACAATTTCATGTTATGCTATGAGCCCGGGATGATTTGTCACAATGACACATCTGAGTAAGTCGTGATGACCGGTATACTTGCGCCCTCCGACGTATGCGATAAAATGAAAACCCGACCAGTATCGGGGATTGCTCATACACAGATTGTTTGCGTCAGACTTGATTACGTATATATTTAGTTGTTATTTTTTCAACCTTGTCATTTTTCTCCCTTTTACTTAACTGCACCGATACTGATGAACTCCTTGGCTGTACCACCGCCTAATCGCAGTCGTGCCTCCTCAACCAACATACGTCCCGCACTCACCATAAACACGTTGGGAAGGCGTCGTTCTTCTTCACTTATTCTTCCTATACAGCAATCCGAACCATCCACACCATCTGTCGATATATCACATCTTGAACCCTCTCCTCAAATACTTGCCTCACCCCAACCGGACCAAAAACATTCCATGTTCGCAGTGATCGCTTCCAGTTTTTTAGATCTCTTGCACGTGCCTACAACTCACTCTATAAACTGGTCTACTCCTTCGTCTCCGCAGTCTACCGTGCAGGACGAATTAGTCTTACCAATATCTGCATCCTCACAGCAGACAACTTTCGCAGATATTCTTAACGACAACGATGCACCTCGTACGCATGCTCGTTGGTGGCGCCCTCCGTCGGTTCGTTCTACACCCCTTCCCACCCTACTCAATCTCACTGATCCTTACCATTTTAGGTGCACGCTCCTATACTGCTGGTGATGCTGCTTTTCCCGCTAACAACGGCTGCCGTATTGTTGTCCCTCTATTCTTTACCCATTTCCGTTGCTTTCCCGCGAACGTTACCCGAGCTTGCCGCGCTAGGCCGTGAGCTGCATGCATATTCACAAAGTGGTCCGCTACATTTAGCTCATGTCATCGGCGTCTTGTCTGTAACTGCAGTGTGGAAGCATGCTTGGTCGATCCCAGGCAGCGTCATCTGGGTGAGTAAACCCCATCTCATCTTATTTTTGGTTGGTAGATTTATCTCGCTCCTTTTTTAAAAATAGAATGTATTAGCGGGGGCTCTGTTTCATCCTGTGCTGGCTACGCTGCTGCTATCTGCATTAACTACATTGGGTTCAATCTTTGCAACCCTTTTGTGTGTACCTTTAGCACCATCTCTATCCCGACTATTCCCTCGTGCACTGCAAATGACCCGTATCGCTCTTGAGGGCGAATCCAATCTGTCTACCGGAAAAAATTCAAGGTCGCCGACCTGGGCACGGTTGTCCGTCCTCCGCCTCGTTGGCGTGGTGCCTTGGTCGGGAATTAACATCGCTTGTGGTGTGTGCGGTGTTGCGATCTCCGATTGCCTCCTCGGTGCCTTCATTGGGTGCCTCCCTTGGACGGCGGTCACTTGTCAGGTAGGTTTTTGATTTACTGGACTTGGAGTGCCCAAATGACCATTGACGTCAGATCGGTGATATCCTTCAAACCGTTGCATCCACGACCTCGCCATCCCAGCAAACAGTATCGTCACTGCTGACCTCACCAGACATTCTGGTCAAACTTGCCTTTTTGTCGTTTCTCTCACTGGCACCTATCCTCGGACGCGAGCGGTTGCGTTCTTTGATTTCGGCATCTTCCTCACCACAATCTAATAGATCAAGCATCACTCAAGAGGAACGTGTCTCAAGATGGACATGGGTGCAAGAATGGAAGGTTCGGTTATCTTCGCACTCACGTACGCAACGTGAGGAACACCAGCTACTGGAAGCTCTCATCCAAGAGAAGTCTAGTCTTCCTTGAGGAATCTGCCGTGCTTCATATCACATCGATTATGACTTCATCTATTCACGACGGGATCCGGGAGCCGGGAGGATGTCCGTCTTGCCTGCAACGACAATTATAATCCCACGACAAGAATGCGTTATCATCTGGCTTGGACTCCATTAAGCATCACCTTGATACCCTTGATTCATCTTTACCCACCCTCAATACGTCCTTCGACTTCGACTCACGCATTGCTTCCATCTATCTATCCATCAAGTAACGCCATTTAATGACATAACTTGTACCTCGTACAATTCAATCGCATACAAGCTACGCAATTCACTGACATATAGCTATTCATCTTCTTGATCCAATGGCATTATGCTTTACTATTAGGGTGGTCACTGTTTGCCGACTTTTTTCATGTTCCTTCGCATGCAGTGGATTTTGGGCGCCGGGATATGTTGACGGAACTTGTGCTCCACTGATCATCATGATATATATATCGTTGTGCTTATCGGGCATGATGGCAAGCACATCGGGAAAGTTAAGAAGTGCGGAGTCAAAGTTCAATAGAGTGAAAGTTTCATTCCACTAGACATGCCATAATTGGGGTAGACTAACTCCGAAATGCTCAGGATGCACTTCCTCCAGATTCCTCACAGCCTAACAAGTTACAAGCTCGGAGTTATCCTTGGAGATCAGGTACGTGAACACAATGGCTCATCAATCGTGGCATTAAGACTACGGCTGCGGAAATCGTTCTTTGTCCTCGACTAGTCAATGAATGCCGGTGGCAAACAATTTTGCAACTGGAACTACCCTCTGACCTGTGTGTCAGGATTCGCGCTCGTCGCGATCGGTTGTCTCATTGTGACTGTAGCCAGTCAGACGCAGCCACACGTGCGGTATACATGAGGTGAGCCTTCTGTACGTCCAAAGCGTGGCTGCTGACGAGAGAGAGGAAATTTCCCAAGCCTTAATGACTTCCGCCTCGGGATAAACTCGAGGCGTTTCTATATATGAAGTCCGTTCCTTTCTCTCTTTCATCATTATTTTCTTTAATTGTTATACAACTGCTTTGATCTTAGGCCCACGCAAAGCAACAAACCATAATTGTGGCATCATTGGTGCCACATACGCCTCGACTTAAAGAGGTCGTCGCACATAAGTTACCGTCTCCCACCACATTTTGTCTATCCTGTCACAATGTCGGCACCGAAGCTGTCCAGCCGAACTTCGAGTTATAGGAAGCCCGTCCCAAAATTTATTCCCTCGCCTCCTGCTTCTCCCCGCGGTTCACCGACGAGCTCCACAAGACGGTTTTCTTTTTCACATACGTCTATCAATCAGGATGCCCCTCCTGTAAGTACACGCACACGTTTTCTATTAAAATAGCTGAATATTCACCGATATATTCAAGCTACCCCCCGACTGGCGTAACGCAATTGACCGGGCGGTATCTAGGGAGGGAAGAGCGACGTCTGGCTTACCTCCTATTGACACAGTCGTGGGACCATCGAGCCACGACGCTCACGGGACCGACACTGACTTCTCCACAGAAAGGCTGTCACCCTCAACGCCTGTACGCTAATCTTTAGTGATCAAGGAATCCGAATTTTACTCATATACTATAGGACTGGGGGACATCGGGAACTATGAACTTTACCCCTCCTACACCTACTGAGAGCTACCACGATGAGGAACTCGTGTCTCGTCCGAGTTCGCCCACGCCTTGGGAACATTTATCGCGTTCCACAGCACGGCAGCCGTCTTACCAAGAGGTGCGTGTAATCTTCAAATATTTCCAGATCGAGTCTTCATACTTTATAGGAATATCGCCCACCTACACCCCCAATCCCCAACCAGCGCAAAAGGCCCAGATCAGTTGGATCTGGATGTGACTCGCCAACGCCTACTATCATATCACAGCTAGTATGTATAATGTGCCTAATCTTTGAATAAGTGCTTCGGGTTGACAACTGATGCAAGGCACCGCACTCCACATTGCCCTTGGCATCTCGTGAACAATACCATGACGCGGCTCCGTTGATCTTGATTGAGAAGTCGGGACCTCCACCTGTACCTCCCAAGTCCTCGCTACCGACACCCCCTGCCAGCGTGCTGACTCACTGCGATGTTTCCTATCCTTCGAATCATGCTGGGCATGACAAGTCTTTTCAACCTCCCACGTACTCTCCTGGTCACGATAGGCGTCCTTCTACTCTCAACTCGACTCTCAATTTCACTGTTAATTCTGAGAAATGGACTGAGGGTACTGCGACTCCCTCTGCTCAAGGCCTGATTAATAAAGAGACTCCTCGGCATGCATCTGAGTTTCCTGCCGTCCTCCTTGAACGAGATGTTGCTAGCCATGCAAAGCGCAGCTGGTGGCAGTCGTTCGCAAGTGGCTTCAAGCGTTTCATATCTGGCTTATGTTGTCTGTAATGCGGTGGGAACTTCAAGTTTTGTGCATGTGCTGTTTATTGGGACTCTGATGGACTATGAAACTATTTTACTGTAAATTTACTGTACTTCGCATTCGTTCATTTCTACACTAGCATTTCTTTGTTAAGACATTATGCAGCACTTTTTTTTTTCAAGACTGATTTGCAAGACTTCACATAACTGGGAGGTTGGAGCATGACTGTTTTAAATTTGGTTCGGCAAGCAGTGGTAAACAGAGCTCCGTCAGTTTTCCATTGGTCTGTCCTACGCCATCTGAACGTTTCAAAAACGTGTAGGATGTCTCTATGAATTCTACACCGACCATCGCAATCGGGCATTACAATCTATCTATCTCGCCCGGCTTGAGTTCATGGCGGACGCTCTAGGAAAGCACCCCACGAGCCGCGAACTTTACGAGGCCTGTCTCTCCGGCGCCCATGATCGGCCATTTATTCCGCGATTGAGGTCCGACCCTCCTTCCTTTCACCCGGTTCCGCATAATCTTCTCGAGTTTCGACAGCAAGAAGGGAAGGAAGAGCGAGAGAGGCGCCTGCACGAACTGTGGAAGCGCTTGCCTAATTCGAGCTACCATGGATCGGAAGTGACTGCATCAAGAATGTTTCCTGCTGGGGACCCACTGGCGGCACAGAAAGCGCAGGAAATGAAGAAAGTATATGAGGATGAGTTACTTGGGAAGTGTGGAGGTCACACAACGAATGAACGGCCTAGTCATATTAGGTGGCCTGAATTTCGGCGGTATGCCGAGACTAAGGAAGCTGGTGAGTGCGTTGTCTTACGGCGTGCTGAGTGTATCTTAAAAAGACGGTTTAGAACTATGGTCGATATTCCACGACGAACTGGATCTTGATGGCAATGGCCACATCGATGAGCAGGAATTGGCATTAGCATTGAACAAAGCTGGTGAGATTCGTGTGATTTTGCATGGCTCTTTCTCATTTTTTTTCAAGGGATAACCCTTCCACCGTCCACACTGACTGACTTCATAACCTATTTGACTTGGTCGCCACATTCGCATACTATAAGCTTTCGGGAGTTCAGGGATTTCTTATTATTATTGCCTCGAAAGGCTTCTCCAGCCGAGATATACCAATACTACGAAGTTAAGAGGTTTATGGGAGATGATGGAAGGGGGGCGGTACGGGTAACAATGGAAGGTTTGCCATTCCATCCTTGTCAATGATTCGAAGCATAAGTATTGTTTTAAGGTGACGTCAGTCTCAGTGCGGAAGACAAGCCCCCGTCTCTACTATCACTATGGGACAATTCCGATGTGATTGGAGATGACGAATTCGATGACTTCAATGAAGAGGAAATTGAGGAACACCATGACTGGTTGCAGGCTCCTACTGCCTTCAAGTTTCTCATGGCTGGTGGAATGGCAGGGGCTGGTACGTGATTATAACTCTTGGCTGCGCCGTGAGTTAACGTTCGCCGAAGTGTCTCGAACATGTACAGCACCTTTTGATCGAGTGAAAATTTTTCTCATCACTCGCCCTCCTGAGATGGGCGGAACCGCAATTCAACACAAGCCAGGGATGGGAGGATTAAAAGCGATCGCAGGTGCAGTGGCACGCATATATTCCGAAGGCGGTGTACTTGCGTTCTGGACGGGTAATGGCCTTTCCGTGCTGAAGATATTCCCTGAATCGGCTATCAAATTCTTGACATATGAATCAGCTGTATGTACCTTGTTCTTGCTTCCTGCCTATCTGGACATTATATTTGCAGAAACGAGCTTTCGCACAATACTGGGATCGTGTGGAGGACACGAGGGACATTAGCGGAACGAGTCGTTTCCTGTCTGGAGGTCTTGGCGGAATTTCAAGCCAGCTTAGTGAGTAACGTGGCTTCCCTTCTGTTCGTTCCTTCATCTCATCACCACAAAGGCATATACCCAATCGAGACATTAAAGGTATGTAGCAAAGGACTTCCCAGATCGACAATATAACGAGTCTGTGCCTTACAGACACAAATGATGAGTTCGACAGGCGACCAGAAACGAAGCCTCATGGATGCTGCCAGGAGAGTGTGGCAACTTGGCCGCTTCCGAGCCTTCTACCGCGGTTTGACGGTTCGTCTTGCGTTGTTGGTGTCCTTGCCTTCCATCTGACTGGAGACAAGATCGGTCTCATTGGAGTTTTCCCGTAAGCATGATGATGCCTTAACAAAGTCATACCATTCATCTAGGCATAGATACTCGGCGATTGATATGAGCACCTTTGAGGCATTAAAGCTGGCATATCTGCGATCGACTGGGAAAGACGAGCCTGGTGTGCTTGCTCTTCTTGCCTTTGGGAGCGTATCTGGGAGTGTAGGCGCCACGAGCGTGTATCCGTTGAATCTGGTACGCACGCGGTTACAGGCATCAGGTTCGTCAGGACATCCGCAGCGCTATAAGGGTCCTTGGGACGTTGTGACAAGGACATATCAACGGGATGGGTGGAGGGGATTTTATCGCGGACTATTCCCAACATTAGCGAAGGTATACTATTGTGAGGTATGATGTAGCTACCATGCTCACCACTATCATAGGTCATCCCTTCAGTCTCTATATCATACCTTGTCTATGAACATAGCAAGCGAAGGTACGTTTTTTTCGGCCCTTGATCATTCATGACCGGTTTGATTTTTTTTTGTACAGGCTCGGTGTATAGACGTCTCTTCACATTTCTGCTACCCTAGGTTAAATCATGATCTTTTGCATACTTCATCACTTTGTACGGCCTTCAATACATTCTTTCACAAATCCACAGCACACTACGGCCCGTCGTGTAGTGGGTGACCGATCTGTTGTCCACCACTGGAAACGTCATTGCTTTTTCCTAGGTTTGGAAAGAGCCTAAGAGCATTTTCGTGCATAATATTAGCGAGCTCCAGTGGTCTTCCAGCGAAATGATTCTCCAGGTTCTCTGTGTACCACTCGACTGTCTTGGCACTCACGGCTAAAACAGTATCATTATCAATTATGTAATGCATTGCGCAACCGATGCCAAGTACCTGGAAAATCAGTTCCGAAGAGGAGGCGGTCAGACGGTACGAGTGTCGCCATTGCGGTAAGCGTCGTTTCGTGCGAGCTAAGAGCAGTCTCGTAATAAAAGCTCTTGAAATCTTCTATGATCTCTTCCGGAGTCAACGGACAGCCCATGTAATGTGAAAGGGCAGCAACACGTGGAGCAAGGAATGGCGTGCTTCCACCTAGATGTGAGAGGATTATGTTCACATTATGAAAACGTCGTTTTTTTCCGCTAACCACCAGGTGGGCAGCAGCTTTGTAGGTCTCGTTTGGAACCTTCTTAGAGTGAGCGAGAGCATTTCTTGGGATTCCTCCGGGCTCACCTCAGAAACTGGCACGCCAAGCCAAGGATGGGGGTATGGAGTAGAGGAAGGCGTCTGAGCACCATGCAAAAACACGACAGCGTGTCTTCGATCTAATTCCTTCCAAATAGGATCATATAAATCGTCGGCGACATACTCTAGAGCATCATCATGTCATTGTTTGCAGTGCGTTGCATTCGAAATGCCTTACTCGCAGAACTGCCATCCCCATAGCTCGATATAAGAGCCACTCCATCTGCACCAAGAACGTCAAAGGAGAAGGCGATCTCCTCTAACACACCTAAAGGACGTGAGGCCAATGACATGGAAGGAAGCTTTACAGAAAGAGGTACCTTCAACATCATCCAGGAATGGGAGGCCAGCGAAAAATCCAAATCTACTAGGATATGTGGCGCATAAATGCGACGAGTAAATATTCTGCTGCCTTACTTCCACGCGGTTGTCCGCTCCACATGAAGTAGATGAGACTGGAGGGGGAGAGAGAATCGTTGTTTGAACTCCCAGCTTGTCCATTGCAGCCAAACTAATCTGCGGTGTCCAAGGTAAATTCTCATCTGGTGTTCGCCAGCCTACTTCCAAGTTTTTCTTTGCCTTTTTCTGAGCGTCTAGAAAGACATGATGGTGAACGTCGATGCGCATATTCTGGAATGACTAGGTGAGTATGGTATGGAGTCGACCCGGACTCGTAGCGCAACTTCACCTGAGGGAACATTTTGCGGGGGCTAGGCTAGGTGGATCCGAGAGTTCTCAGATAAGCTGTGTGATACGCACAAGCGAGCTGCATCATTTCATGGGCCCAGGATTATGACATGTCGATAAAGTAAATTTAGAAACTATGTACGGGACTGTACTAGTAGCACACGTGGTGATCTTGTTCTACATCAGTCACAGTGACACAATCATCAGGGCCATAAAATACAACCATAAGATAATGCAGAGGGTCGAAGGCTACAAAGCCCTTTTTCCAGTGTTGTGGATACAAATCATCATCGATAGACCACGTCCGGGAGTGTAGGATTTGTGTTACACTTCTGAATGTAGAAATAGTCTACTGCATTGGGTAACCACCAAAGCTCACATTTCACAGATTGGCATGGCGCGTAATCCCATGGCACCAGACCATTTTGTGGCAATCACTGCTTCAAAGGTGGTGGTCTCATGGAAGTCAGGATTGGTAATGGCGAGCGTTTGACCTCCGAGAATGACTGTTGTTGTGGAAAAGCCGAGCATAGGGATAATCAGTGAGATAATGTGCATATGAACGAGAATCCGCGCACTGAGTGAGGATGTTGAGGACGGATTAGATCGTACCACCGAAGTATCCTGAGCTGAAACGGGTGATAATCATGGTACGAAGACCAGTTATAGGACCGAGGGTAGCGATAAATGCTGTTGCCATGTCACCGAGAGCACCAAAACAGAAAATAGTTGCTACAGCGTTGCTTGAGAGAATAAGCGTGGTTGTAGGGGTTGGCATGTGTTGAATGACATACCCACAAGTTAAAATGAAAGCCGACTGCGTGCTCAACACTGCATTAACGGACCTACGCAAAGATCGAGAGAAGGGAACATCGATAGAAAACAATGTGTTGGATCAGATCAGACTGATCACCACATGAGAAGACTGCATTGCCAGAGGGTCAGGACTCGTACGAGCGCAACACGACATATACGCACTTGTTCCAGGCATTTTTGGACTATCTCTAGTTTTCCGGTACACGTTCTACTCCACAAGCCTCGACACCAATAGCAAAGAAAGAAGCAAGCTGAGTACACCAAAATGGCTTGCGATCACAAGATCTGGCGGTAACGAGAAGAAAAAATCAGGTCCAACCAGGAATCGAACCTGGGTCACAAGAAATCATGTTTCAGAATCTTGGGTGATAACCGCTACACTATTGGACCGTTGAACAGAGCGCGTTTTTAATAAACATGACATAATAAATTTAACAGAAGACATCATTTTCATCCGCCCAAGTCAGATTATCTATCCCCTTGACAAATTTTGTCATGTTCCCATTTCTTGGTTTACTCGACAGCGAACACGTCGAGGAGGAGCTCCTCCTCGCGGTCTCGCGTGTTTCTCCAGTCATTGCTAGATCTGGATCAACCCCGGAAAGCACAATCCGTTATCTTCTTGCGGAAGATAGTACATCTACTGATGTCAATCAAATCATCACCCTCCTTGATAATGGCACCGACAAGGCCATTGTGCCTCTTTCTCTTGCCAAAAGTCTGCTTGGGACGGTGCCCCCTCATCGACTGCTCCTTCTCCTTGATGCTGCTAACGTGAGCGCTGTCTCCGACTCCGTTCGCAACGCTGTGTCTGGCGTCTTGCTTAAAACATCTTCTTCGGGTGGCTTTGGTTTTGATGTGGATCTTGTCCACTCCGTATCACGCTTCTTCGTCGGTGCAGCAGTACACGTTCTAGCACCTGATCTCCCCACCCCCTCGATCATTAGAAAACTCGCAGCCGTTGGCGCATCTGTTGTCATTCCTTTTTCCCAGCTCACCCTCGGCTCTACTTCCCAGACCATGATTAACGTCGCAGATGCATTCCTTGCACCCATTGTTTCAGATCGCTCTGACGGACTTTTCCCCACAGTAGTATGTTCTGACCCCCATGGCAAACGCTCTCTAGGCCTGGTCTATTCGTCTTGTGAATCGGTTGCTGAGTCAATCCGCACAGGAAAAGGGGTGTATCACTCCAGAAAACACGGTTTATGGCGCAAGGGCGAGACCTCTGGTGCCATGCAAGATGTCGTGCGCATTCGCGTCGACTGCGATACCGATGCGCTCGAGTTTAGCGTGGTACAGCACGGTGCTGGTTTCTGTCACCTCAACCGTGCCTCGTGCTTCGGCGATTTAGACGGACTCGCCGCTCTCGAGCGTACTTTGACCTCACGTTTAGTTGACGCGCCGGAGGGTTCATATACTCGCCGGCTCTTCAATGACGAGGAACTCCTGAGGGCAAAGATTATGGAAGAAGCCGATGAACTGTGTCGTGCAAATACGACGGAGGAAGTGGCATTCGAAGCTGCTGATCTCATCTACTTTACCATAGCACGCTGTGTTGCTGCCGGTGTGAGCATCAAGGATATTGAGCGCTCACTAGACAAGAAGGCGAAGAAAATCACTCGAAGGCCAGGAAACGCGAAGCCACAGTGGATGCCCAAGACTGAGCCCCCAAAAACAGAATTATCCAAGGTGGAAGCGCCTAGACCTTCATCGACACCCTCTAGCAAGGCGCCTCTTGACCGAAATGGGCCCATTGAAATGCGGACTGTTGATATCTCTACTGTTTCCCCCGAAGACCGCGCCAAGCTTCTCAAGCGACCTGTCCTCAGATCTGATGAAATGATTGCCAAGGTCAAGCCCATAGTTGATGATGTCCGCGCTCGCGGAGACTCTGCTCTACGTGAGCTCACCGCCAAATTTGACAAGGCTCAATTGGATACCCCAATTCTCCTTCCGCCATTCTACCCTTTTGCCCCAGAAGCACAGGACCTCGATCCTGCTGTGCGCGATGCCATTGACGCTGCTTACAGCAACGTTTATAAATTCCACGCCGCTCAAATTGACGGCGCTCCACTTGTTGTGGAGACCATGCCAGGGGTGACATGCACCCGCTTTGCCCGCCCCATCGCGCGGGTGGGACTTTATGTTCCAGGGGGCACTGCCGTTCTCCCTTCCACGGCACTCATGCTAGGCGTCCCAGCCCAGGTTGCTGGCTGTGAAAAAATCGTCATGGCTACGCCGCCCAGGCCTGATGGAAGTATCTCCCCAGAGGTACTTTATGTTGCTCATAAAGTGGGCGCCCATGCCATCCTCAGAGCTGGCGGGGCTCAAGCAATCGCCGCTTTGGCATATGGCACCGAGACTGTTCCAAAAGTCGACAAGATTTTCGGTCCAGGGAATCAATGGGTTACAGCTGCGAAGATGCTCGTACAGAATGACACGGATGCACTGGTGTCAATAGATATGCCCGCCGGGCCATCCGAGGTACTGGTAAGTTGCTCTGACTTTTCAACTGCGGACGTACCGTGTTCGTTGTCCTTGGAAGACTAACGAATACGGTACTTCCCCCTAAGGTGATAGCAGATGACACATGTAACCCTGCTTTTGTCGCGGCCGACCTTCTTTCACAAGCTGAACATGGTATCGATTCTCAAGTTGTCTTGGTCGCTTCATCTCTCTCGGAGACCATGCTCGCGGAAGTTGAAGAAGAGGTGGATAAACAAGCGCGTGCCTTGGGTCGTGTCGACATTGTTCGGGAAAGCGTGGCAAAAAGTTTGATCGTGAAAACACAAGGGCCAGATATCGCCATGGAGTTTTCAAATGATTACGCTCCTGAGCATCTCATTTTACACTTGAGAGACGCGCCGGCTTGGGTCGACCGCGTGAAAAATGCAGGCAGCGTGTTCGTAGGGCCGTACTCTCCAGAAAGGTAAGCAGTTATGTCTCTGCGACATACGCCCTCTGCTGATTGTATGATTGTAGTTGCGGAGACTATGCTTCGGGCACGAACCACACCCTTCCTACAAACGGATATGCACGCCAGTTCAGCGGCGTCAACACACAGTCTTTCCAGAAGCACATAACTTCGCAGGAGGTCACTATAGATGGACTGCAGACGCTAGGACCTATCGTAGCGACTTTGGCGGACTGCGAAGGGCTGCAAGCCCATGCAAATGCAGTTCGTATCCGGCTTGGCATGTAGTGATACTCAGGGAATTCTGGAAGGTGGCGATTATAGTAACAAGTGTGTATCAAAACGGGTGTATCACATGAAATGGAAATGACCTGTATTTTGTGCCTCTGTCACTGGCAGGTCTTCTCCAAAACTGTCGTGTGCGTACATGGTAGGCTCCTGTCGTTGATGAGACGAGTGTCAGGTACAAACTTCATATGCTCAGTCAACCGCTTCGATCGCGATCGTTGCGGTTACATTTCGCTTATTGGGTCTTTTCCGATGGGAATGGAAAACCAGATTGTGTCGATGGGTCCCATTCCTAGATTTTCATCGTGGTCGCTCTGACCGTTGGGTTGGTTCGAACTGGAAAAATTACACGACCTCCGAGCCAGTGTTGTAATTAAACTTTAACTAAGTGATTGCAGGGAGTCAGGTTCTGTGCCGAGTGGAGATTCCGGACATCACATCCTGTCGGTTTGGATCTATGTCCTCTAGAAGAACTCTATTAGGATGCTTGCATCAATCACAACCATATGAACATTTATACCAAGAATCTGATGTACATGGCCTGCAGACATTTGCGTTCTCATTAGCTTGACGAACTATTGTAGACAATGAGGAGAATTTTGATGAGTTGATCCACCTTGCTGTTATGATGCAATCCTCCAGACATGGATATTATGTGTACTATAGGTTGAGAACAGTGTAAGAGCTTGACAACCATCAAAAGCAGTGGCATACGGAACTCAAAGAACTGTACGCAGTTCAGCACAGTGCAGGCTTCTAGTCAACGTCGGTAGATTGGTTACATGCCGGACCAAAGATATATAACCGGTAACCGATGAGCTGCAGTGCTCCTCGCGGATCCCGTAATAGGAAACCTTGTAGCTGAACACTCTCACCTAGGAAGAAACCGGAGGTGGCACAGTTAATTCAAGCAAAACCCTCAACTCACGACGCTGACATGGACAGGTGACATGACGTGAGTAGCCAACCACGACTTGGCAAGAAACGGACTGGGCATGGAAGCCGGTCTGACCATCTCCAATCTAGCTGGCTAATATGTCTATTGCGGCCAGAGGACCATTAACGTGTAAGTATGAAAGCAAATGCATGCGATAGCAATATAAGTGTGCCTAGTTGGTCCTGTAAAGTGCCCGCTTAGCGACCTTGACGATGAGAGGTGTATCGGGGAATGCGAGTGCCTCCAGGTTGGTGGCATACTAATAAAGAGGTAAGTATTGGAATGCAGTAATATCAGGATATCTTGAGACGTACAGGCGTAGGGACATCAGCACCAGTTACTCGCTCAACTGGAGCATCAAGGTAGTCAAAGGCTTCGCTCTCAATGATCTGTGCGCAGATTTCGGAACCAACACCAAAGGCGGGGAAACCACCTTCGACGATGAGGAGACTGTAATATCATGATTGAGTAAAGATCAATTTGGCTAAATGGCTGCCTGACCGGTTGGTCTTCTTGACTGATGCCTTGATGGTGTCAATATCCAGAGGACGGATGCTACGGAGGTTGATAACCTCAGCCTTGACACCCTCCTTTGCCAAAATGTCGGCAGCCTCTAGACTGTGAGTGACCATCTTGCTATGTGCCACAATAGTAACATCGGTTCCCTCACGCTCGACCTTTGCCTTGCCGATGGGAAGGGTGAAGTTGTCTGACATCGCTTCTGAAGACATGGGGAAGGTGACACCGTACATCATCTCATTCTCGAGGAATACGACTGGGTTAGGATCTCGAATAGCAGCCTAAAGAGTTATTAGCAAGACAAACAGAAAAGTGTGGAAAATAAGAACCTTGAGAAGACCCTTGCAATCCTCTGCGCTCCAAGGGCTGACAACCTTGAGACCGGGGATTGAGCCATACCAGGCTGCATAGTCTTGGGAGTGCTGGGCACCGACACCAGAGGCAGCACCGTTGGGACCACGGAAGACAACAGGACAAGGTACGTTTCCACCGGACATGTAGTAAGTCTTTCCAGCAGAGTTGACGATCTGGTCAATGGCTTGCATGGCGAAGTTGAAGGTCATGAACTCGCATCTTTGAGCAGAATAATGAGAAAAACAAGCCAGAAGGAAAAAAAAAAAGTGCGTATTACATTGGTCGTAGACCTGAGAGTGCAGCACCGACAGCAATACCAGCGAAACCCATCTCAGTGATGGGAGTATCAACGACACGCTTCTCGCCGAACTTGTCAAGAAGACCTTTGGTGACCTTGTAGGCACCATTGTAGCGAGCTACCTCTTCACCGAGGATGAAGACATTCTCGTCGCGCAACATCTCCTCCTCCATAGCAACATTGAGTGCGTCACGGACTGTCATCTACGACATGATTCAGAATTCACATGATACATGAGAATGACGCGCAAGTCCTACCGAGTTTTCACTTGCTGTCGCATATCCGCGAGCGAAAGCAGCACGTTTTAGAGCCAACGAAGGACGTGCACGAACATTTGCGATAGCAGGAGCAACACGAGAGAAAGCAGTACGGGCGGCAGCCATTGAGCCTTTTGGAAAGGAAACTGAGGGAGAGAGGACTGTAATGAGAGAGAGTGAAATGGGAGCAATTTTGGCACGGACAAACGCGGAATTGAAATAAATGAAGTGAACCGATTACACGGCGCGGCGGCTCTCTTCGTATTTTTCCTACAATTTATGTCTAAAACCAAAACTAACCGACCCGTTAGCTGCAAGACCACTCCGTTTCTTCCCTTCATTCCACAACGTCTGTAAGTAATTATGTTCCGCAATGCCCTGTTGGCGGCGACCCGCCCTGCTCTTCAGCAGTCGGTAGGTAACTGGATTTATAAGATGGCGTGATGTTCACCTTTTTTTTTTCAAGCGAACTATAACCACTTTATCGGCTGGTTTTCCAGAGGTCACCCAAAGAGTAAGTTCCGCGTTCAAGCGAATAGCGTTACCGACCTTATCGTATTGATACGCATCGTCCTAGCTACCGACCAAGTACGGCGGCGTATATACGGTGCGTGGTTCTACCCTTGAATATGGTGCTCAGGTGCTGATATCGAGTGTGTTTAGGTTACCCTCATACCCGGTGACGGTATTGGCGGGGAAATCACAGACTCTGTCAAAGAGATCTTCGAGCATGTAAACGCGCCCATCGAGTGGGAGCAGTACGATGTCTCCGGTGTATCTTCAGCAGGAGAGGACCTCTTCAAGCAGGCAATGGAAAGTCTCAAACGCAACAGAGTTGGTCTCAAGGGTAAGCTACTTTCCCCACGGAGTCACAGGAACAAAGAAACAACATTCATCTTTGTCGTCATAGGCATCCTCTTCACGCCGATCTCTCAAAGCGGTCATATCTCATGGAATGTGGCCATGCGTCAACAGCTCGATATTTACGCATCTGTTGTGATGTGCAAGTCTCTCCCTGGATTCCCCACACGCCACTCCAACGTCGACTTTGCTATCATTCGTGAAAACACCGAGGGTGAATACTCGGGCTTGGAGCACCAAAGTTATCCTGGTGTAGTGGAAAGTCTGAAGGTTTCCACAAGGGCCAAGGCGGAGCGTATTGCGCGCTTCGCTTTTGACTTTGCCCTCAAGAACAACCGCAAGGTCGGTTACGGCCTTCATTTCTGGTCTGAGCTGCGCTGACAAACTCTCATTTGTAGAAAGTGACCTGTGTGCACAAGGCCAACATCATGAAGCTCGGTGATGGTTTATTCTTGAACACCTTCCGTCGAGTTGCGGAAGAGTACAAATCTCTAGGCATCGAGTCTAATGATATGATTATCGACAACACGTGAGGCGCCTCTCCCTTTTCCGCTCCAGTCGGTTAACACAGCTTAGATCCATGCAACTGGTGGCCAAACCTGGTCAGTTCGACGTGATGGTCATGCCTAACTTGTATGGTGCCATCATTTCCAACATTGGCGCCGCGCTCGTCGGCGGTCCTGGTATCGTTCCAGGATGCAACATCGGCCGTGTATGTCGCGCACTTGCATTTGGTTCCGCCGGGTACTGATATTTGTTCAGGACTATGCCCTCTTCGAGCCTGGATGTAGACACGTTGCATCAGACATCATGGGCACCAACCGTGCCAACCCTACAGCTATGGTTTTGAGTGCCACCATGATGCTCAGACATCTTGGGTATGTTTTCCGGCATGGCCTTATCATCATAATTCTTACACTCTCCTCGTCTAGTCTCGATTCTATCGCCAACAGTATTGCAAGCGCAACCTTCGATGTCATCAACGCCGGAGAGGTCAGGACTGCAGACATGGGCGGTGAGTAATACCCTGTGATCCGTCAAGACTCGTTTTCATATTGCTTCATCTGCAGGTGCCGCAACGACATCGGAATTCACGAATGCTATCATCAAAAAACTTTAAGTTGTCATTGTAATATTGGTACCACGCAAAAGGTGCGGGACACGGGGTCGACTGACAATTATGCTATATAGATGTGGCATTAGATATAGATATGCTTCGGCGCCGTCACATGCGGTATTCGGAACACTCATTTATGCTATGGATGGTGCATTAATGGATCATATTCATCGCTGTTATATAGTATTCAATGTTGAGTTCGTCAGTGTGATATCATTTGTTTGCCTCATTCATCGTCTGCGCTTTCTCATGTGTACTGGATCGTATTCTACCTGCGCCTTCTACCGTAAACTTCACTGTGCCTTACAACTTTACTTTTAGCTGAGTGATATCCCAGTCATGAAGCCTTGTTGAATGTCTTTCTCCTCGTCAGGAACTTCTAGTGAGAACTACCTTGGCGAGCCCCACGTATCCCATGTGGTCAGGGCTGTTAACAAGTGCACAACTGTCCAAGATGGATAATTGCACAAGCTGCTAAAAACCTCCAGTGCCTTGGCAAACCCCTGGGTGGTCATGGGTTCTGTTAACATATGACTGGCATATTCGCTTGTTGTCGATCTGCGATTGATGACATGCTACCGAAGCAAAGGGTGATACATTAGGTCAGATTATCTATTTTCCCCCTGTGGTTATATAAGTCAATGGCGGACACTTTCTTCAAGGCCCAATGGTCTAGTAGTATGATACCCGCTTCGGGAGCAATCCCCAACACGAGGTGTTGAAGCTGCGGGTGGTCCCGGGTTCAATTCCCGGTTGGGCCCAAATTTACTTTTTGTTTTTTTTGGCTAGCATTGCCCAACCTGCTTGAAACTTGGCTCAAGGACCACGGTGGCATAGTAACGGACGAGGGTTTCACCGTGATCATGATGGTAGCCGGTGTTTGGAAATCTTGGCACCATCGAGCCTGTGTAGATCCCTAGGAATATCATATTACCTCGCTGCGCCGACAGAATTATACATTAGATGCGCCAGCTTAAAGAGACCTCAGTGTCCATGGAATTTTCGAGCATGAGGGGGCTTGGTTTATAGTGTTACAATAGGAGTTAATTATTGATTTGGTATTCACAAAGTCATCTGGGAAGAAATACTATGTTCTTACCTCTTCTTTGATGACTTTGACTAGCAGCCGTATATCACATACCACGATAAAAGTTCGAATACAGTTTACCGACCGCGCCCAGGGCCTACAGAGTGTGCTTGAGAAGAGTTGATCATATCGAGTATTTCCTATGCTACACACTGCTGCATGTGCAGCGCATTGTGCACATGCTCACTATTGAAGTCATGTCAGTTTCTGCATCGGAGTCAACCGTTCACATTATTGAAGGCTAAGGATCAGGCATTGTGGCAGCACTGAGTTGAATAGTACCAATATATAAAGCGAATATAAGTCCTATAGAAGCTGTAAACCATGGTGGCATGCAGAGGATAGTCACGAACCAGCATACCGTTGAGATCACTGAAGACAGACCAAGAAGCTCCTTACCTCGCAGAGTAACGTGGTCTTCATCGACACCGTGAGATAACCTGTCCAGTCAAATGTCGTTGCAACTCACGGAGGTGTTTTACAACAATCCAGACCGCGAGACATGGTGCGAACACTTCCTATACAGTCTTTAGTCGTGAAATCTAGGAATAGGATACGTCGCTCAAAATCAAAGCGCACAAATAGAAGACGGAGGGAAAAAGCTCCTCCGATATTCGTTAACGAGCTCACCGCCTAAAACATGGCTCGTTGTTATTACGGCAATCATTTATTCGGCGGGCCAGGAAGACGATACGACACATGAACATCTTTCTGGATTGCGGATATATGACATGTCACCGAGTGATCGTATGACCTGACAAATACAGTTTGCGATCAACCTCGGGGGATCACACAATTATAACTGTGGCAGTCATTCTATTGAACCGACAAGCTGGTCAAGGATCCCCTACATGGGAGCACAGTTTATTATACGGGAATGCGGGCATAGAAGCAAAATACTCACTGCATCTATTATTGAGGTTGTCGGAACGTTTGCCGTCCAAAGTCCTCTGCCTAGGGAACAGTGGCTTCCTAGACGCATCATCGCCCTCCACCTCGGTCATTGGGCTAAAGGTAGTGCAACCGTGATGAAAACCGATCCGAATCGCACTACGCCCAACGATGCATCGCTTTTTGGACACCACCAAAAAGGACTTGCTAAATATAGAGGTGTTCTACGGATGTTCCATGACAGTAACGTGTCCTCGTGGCAATCCGATTTGAATCAGATTCGCTGCTGAATTAAAATTCAAAGTTCAGGTCTACATCATCAAATGTGTTATCCTGGTCCAATGCAGCTTCGTACTCCTCCAGGATCATCGTTCGTGCGTTCTTGTGTTCCGGTCCTTCCGACATGGCAGATTGTATCCCACCCGGACCTTCGGCTGCTTTGGACTCATGATTGACTTCTAGCTTGACAATGTCACCTTTCACAGCAATCTCAGCGACAGTGCTTCTGTCCTTCTTGCGGAGTGACAGAATTTTTTCGCAGCGCACCTCACCACGCTTACCCCACCCGTCTACATCAGGTCTGAATTCGACGTACAATCCGAAACCTTTGTCATTAAGCTCTGAAGGTGGAAAGCTTTCGGCCAATAATCGGAGGGCGCCAATGACGTGCGAAGTCGTCTGTCGAAATGCACGAGATATATACGAAAACGCTGTACTGGGGAGAGCAGGCAAGGTGTTGTCGAGAGCACGCCATTTCTCGTCTTGTGTCCGATACAGGGGTCTGGCAGAATGTCCGCAGAACGTTAGAACGTGTGTAAATAGACACAGGTTTACATACATCCTGTCGACAATCGTTACGCTGTCAGTATAAGGCACCAGGACCCGCCACGAGGCGTACCTTCTTCCTAGTAAGTCGACATAAGGTTGTGTGCCATCCTTGATAGGTTCTATCTCTTTATTGCGTGATTTGTCCAAGATACCGAGGGACACGCCCTTTGATATCGCATTCATTTCGGTATAAACGGAAGCTTCATGACACTTGAGTATATTCACCATGCCAACCAGCTACGTACCAATGCTGAGCGCTTCCTCCCGCTCAAATCCTAATCGCTCCGCAACCACAGTCGCCCAGGCTGTCATCAATGGCGCGCGATTGACAACCGTAAACTTTGTCTTGAGAACCTAAGAAGGAACGTGCTGAGAACGTTTGATTGAACGAGCAAAGAACCAGATTATACCGCCTCATCTAATACCTCACTGAACTCCAAGCTGCCATACGCAGCAGCTTCGTCTGAAGGTCCATCTGGAAGGAGCTCGTTCAAGTCGTCGTCCCATTTTCGTTTCCGCTTAACTGGCGTGGTCTATGTAGTAATTTAGCACACAAATTATAGAACGGAACGCGTACTCACCACTACCTGCATTGCATTCGCGACCCTCGGTTCAGATGGACCTGCTACGGGCTGTTCATCCAAACTCCTGGATCTGTCACTTTTTGGTTTCGGTTTCGGACCCGAGGGCTGCGAAGTATACCCCGCTTTGCGAATCGCAGCTAGCACGAGTTTCCGTGTTTCCTTGTCTTCCACGCCACTCGCCTTTAACTTGAAATCTGTAAGTTGCGCTAGGAGACTAGTCGTATTGGATTCCTTGTACCTGAAATCATGGTTATTCACACAAACTTGCTAGTTGAGCAAACGAACACTTTGCTGGCTACTGCCATTGCCTTGGGTACAGGCACATTGTTACTGGTGAGGACTTTGAGAAAGGCAGGTAGAGTTAGTTTTTTGTCCATCTCATGAGTGCTTGCTCAGGGTAACGGCAAAGTTTCGGACTGACCGATTTAGGCAATTCAAGACCTTTCGATCCTAACATCACCAAACAATTAAAATAACAAATCTGAGTACGGATCACAATATCTGACGTAAGATGGGTTGTTGCTATGTATGATTTGCCTTTCAAAGCTAGGCCAAGCGCCTAAGAATGGTGGCGCGCCTTGGTGATACGATATTCATAGCGTGAGATGCGCACTCACTGACAAGCAGCTGCAGTTTCCGCGGAACGAGTTCATTCTATTAGCAGTGCACCTAAGCTGATGCCAGGTTGAAGTATCCCCAAGGCGAAAAACAGCCACTGATGTCACACATTGCATAAGCATCAAAACAAATTATTACTTTGAGTACATGCATGCCTTCAAATTTTAGTTCGGCTGCGTCCCAACAAAAACGGATGTAGTAAAGTACAGCGGAAGAAAAAAACTTCTACTTGTCAAGAACAGTGGTCTCCACGATTATTCCAGTCACACGGTATGGGTCTAGTTCATGGAAAAATATAAGTTAATAATGGGACAATCAAGCCAAAAGATTAATACTGACCAATGTTGGAAGCCGGACGACGGTCCTCCAGGTATCCGTAACCCTGGGCAGCAACGTGCCTTGGCACCCGGATGGAAGCTCCGCGGTTAGCAACGCCAGAACTGAAGTCTCCGATGTGGCCAGTCTCATGACGTCCAGTGAGACGGAGATCATTGTCCTCTCCGTAAACAGCGATGTGTTCAGCATGTCTCTTTGAAAGTTTCTCGATGGCCTCATCGATGTACTTCATACCTCCAGGCTCACGCATGAGCTTGGTGCTGTAGTTGGTGTGGCAACCAGCACCGTTCCAGTCACCCGCAAGAGGCTTGGGGTGGAAGGAGACCTTGATGCCCCACTGTTCAGCGATGCGAACGAGAAGGTAACGAGCCATCCAGAGGTGATCACCCATGGAAATACCCTCGCAAGGGCCGACTTGGAACTCCCATTGGGAGGGCATGACTTCAGCGTTGATACCGCTGATGTTCACGCCGGCGTATAGGCAGGCACGGTAGTGAGCCTCGATGAGGTCACGAGCAAAAACTTTGCCAGTTCCTTTAAAGAAGCGAGATTAAAGATGAGGACATCTGGGCGTCTAAAGGAAGCGTACCTGCTCCGCAGTAGTAAGGGCCCTGGGGTCCGGGGAAGCCACCCTTCGGCCAGCCGAATGGCGTGCCATCTGCATCGAAAAGGGTATATTCTTGCTCAAGACCGAACCAAGGAACGGAGTCCTTTGCGAGATCCATGACCTTCTTGGTGTGGTGACGGTGGTTTGTTCTATTGGGTGTGCCGTCATTGTTGAAGGTCTCGGCAAGGACGAGAATGTTGTCGCCGCCTCGGAAAGGATCTTTGAAAATAGCGGCGGGACGGAGATAGACATCTGAGTCACCGCCTGGAGCTTGGTTTGTGGATGAACCATCGAAATCCCAGATGCGGAGCTGGCCAATATCAGTGGTCTTCTTGGTCATAGTCTGGAATTGGAACGTTAATGAATATTACTGGATGGACGATCATTCGGAATGACCGACCATGGTCTTTGAACGAAGGCCGCCATCGCCATCAATCCAAACGTCTGTAGATTGATGAGAAAACTTCTTCTGAAATCGAGGAGATGATCTTACACTCGGCTTGCACTTTGTCACCCTGGGACAACGCAAGGTAAGGAGCAAGGAGGTCGTTGTGGTACTGGTAGGCCATGATTGATCAGAGGGTGCGTTGGAGATCTGAGAGGTCTTTTGACTCCTCTTTAAATGGAGGAGTCAGTATATCTTTTGTTGCTATTTGTTTATTTTAAGGCACTCGATTACTGATTGGATGATAAGAAATTTACATGGTCACAAAAAGTCTTATGTCGACCCTGCACGTCGGATCTACACATGTTTTCAATTGACAACGACGTCAACGCGAGTGCGCTACCCTCTCTCCGTCTCAACTTTACCAATCGGCCCGTTCTACAGGAACATGTGAGCTTCTCCTCATCGGCCGACATTTATGGCTACTTGCTGTGTATGGCAGCGGCGTTCAGCTTCCGCCTTGTCGCTGTTCAATCGTTTTATCTTTAGTCGACCAACCAAAGACCTACAACGATCTCAGTATAATACCGCGGTCAAGCTTGCTATTCCAGGCTCTCTTTGTCCTCGGACGGGCGTTCATCCGGAATCATTCCCTTCCATCATCTTCCGTCCGTCCGAGCTTGTTAGTCTATGCTCAATCAGCTCAACTGTCGATCACGCCACCCCTCCGATGTCGAGTTGGATAGTAGTGGTCACCTGCCAACACTGGTGGCGCAAAGAATCAACAGTAACTAGGAAGAGCAAAGGTCCACATGATCTTCTTTGACCACGGGGTCAATCAAATCATCCCATCTAACCTGTAATTAGCAAGCCAAGTACCATATACCACAACTGTCAGGCTAAATCCCCTCATACCGTACCTTAGAGTTTCAGGACATGGTCACCGCTTCCTCGTCGCCTTTCTTCTTCTCCCACCGGCTTTCACTGCTGCAACATAGTCTGCCCGTCGAGGTTCTTCACCCTCGCTTCCTCCACTCCCAGAAGAGTCCGGTCTGTCAACAATGGAGGCACTTTGCTCGTTATCCACTTCTTTCGAGGAGTCTTCTTTGAAGTAGGAGAATTTACGAGTGCTGCTGATCAATACCTCGATAAACCATGTTCTTGAAATCGCCGCAGGCGTAGCCGAATTTATATCCAGGAGGTGCAGACTACCCGAGGGATCCAGCTGTTCAGTTGATGAGTTAATATCATATTTCGCAGAGTAATTTTGATACTCCACGTACAATGAATACGTTATCTTGTTCTACGACCATATCAATCATTTTTCCGGCAATAATATTGCCGTCTTCGTCTTGACGAGGACCTCCGCCAAGGTTGACCTTAACCTGTAGGTGAAAGTATGTCTAGGTTTCTGCATCAGACGTTCAGAAATAACTCCTACCTTTCGTTTTCCTTGGAGTGGTTCCATCTTTGGGCCCCAAGCCGCAAGTCTGGCGTCCCGTATTGCAAGCTCAATGCGCCTCAGATCCCGTTTGTAATTCAATGTCTGAACAAGATATTGAAGCCCGGATGTGAGGATGGTGAGAAATACCAGGACAGTCTAGAATTCAAAAATGAATTCCGGCCCTTGCATCCGAGTAAAACAAATGATGAAATACCCCTAGGCCTGGCCTGAACCGCGCATAGTAATAACCCGAACCTCTCCATTTCGGTACACCATTTTTGTAAAAGAAGTCATACCTGTGGGCAGTCAAATAAATATTCGGAACTCGAACGGAAGTGCGAACTGCGCCTACCGCTTACGTCCATCGGTATTTTTCAAAATGGTTGCAATGATTCCCAGACGCGCGAATTTTTCATGGATGCCCTTCACACCAGGATTTTTATCAGGACTAAATACGCACTTAGCAACCAATGACATATAACATGGAACCGGTACTCAACTGGAGCTGTATGCTTTTCTTCCTGTATGCCTTGTTAATCTCAACAAGGGTCGCCGTCGAAGGCACATCCAGCCAAGAGTAAAATGTGGTGCCCTTCCCTATGGGAGTAGAGTCTCAATTGTCTGTAGCTAAGCACTAGATAGTACTCGGGACACACCCTCGGATGCTTCAAGAGCAGTGACCAAATCGAAAATTTCATGGTCTTCCTTCCTATCGCATGAGATCTTGTAGTGAGATGAGTAATGATCTATCTTACTTTGGTCCATCTGCTTGCGGCGAAGTTAGAAAAAGTGTGGAACGCGCTTTAAGTCAGAGAATGCACTCATGTGCGCATAGAAGGTGATACTCACGCTGAAACTATGGTGACCAGCACAGCAAGAAACGCGACAAAAACGAAAAGCTTCATCTGCGACTGTCACGGCCACTTCTTGCTGCGGTCGCGAGCGTGCAGAAAAAGCAAATGTGTAGGGCGAACTAAAAAGTTGGAGCTAAGAAGCCATTCCTAAACGTGTCAGAATCCTGGTGTCACGTGGGCGTTTGCTTTGTACCACAACATTTTCATGGATCATGGCACCACGACGTAAATGTCCTGTTTGTGGCTCGAAACAATGGCACAAGGACTCTTCCAGCGGTCTTGTCGCCTGCAGCGAAGGGCATGTCATACAGGTGGGTACGATTCCTTATCACTTGGCATGAGTGTTCCAGGAGTTAACATGATGGACAGAACTTCAGAAATGAATCAGGCGAGACACAGGATCTAGGTAATTATACCATGAGGAAGCGCATTATCAAGGCGGGTCGTAAGAAGGGGGTGAGGCAGAGCAGAGCCGATCCTAAGCGTGAGTCATGCAAAGATCCTCGTAATGCGAAGGCTCAGTAAATCTAAAATAGTCTATCACGGCGAACGTGCGCGCTTTCACTATTATCAATGCTTGCAGCTAGTGCTACGGAAGCAAATCGTAGCATTGATTGGACTTTGGGATCTATCCCCCGAGTTTGAGGTTGGTGTCCTCTCATCGTTCGGAGGCCGTCACTTCATTGATCCAGACTGTATGCAGAGATATATGGGCATTGCATTTGAATCTTCTGCCGACACCACCTCCTGCGGAACCTTACCACCACATGCGGGAGCAGAAGAGTAATCACGGTGACGACACAAAGCGGCCATTAGATAACCCCGAAGAGTCTAGATCCGACGACGATGATCCCCAGTCGTCCTCCTCTAGCAGTGAGGAAGAAGACCCAGAACTTGCAGAACTTCTGCGTGAAAATTCCGAACTAAGTTCTTCTGATGAGGAAAAGCAACATGCTTCTCAAAAGCAAGGGGTTCAGTCGAGCTACCGATTTGTCGGTCCATATGACCGCCCGATCAACTCTATCGCCGTTCTCGTGGTCGCATGTTGGACCATGCGCTTACCTGTGATGTACAAGGATTTCATCGAGTAAGGCGTGGTTTGTATGTCCTTTTGTCTTTTATTGACCTGTACATTTAGCATTATTGAATCTTACGAACTCCCTTATTTGGATTCTCTTCGCCTCCTCCCTTCCGATATGACTCGTCATCTGACGAAGCACGCTGTTCGCGCGCTCTCTCCTCATGTAATTATAATCTCCCAACCGAACTAATCGTTACTAAGAATGTTTGCAGTTTCCCCCAAGCACGCTGTACATTCATCGCTTCGCCTCTCGCTTAGCAAAGCTCATGTATGCGAATTATGGCGTGTTCACACCACAGCTCAATGCATCGCCCATCTTATGGCGAGTTGTGCAACAATGTCTTGGCGGCACTCGTATGTTCCCCTGAAGTTATGATTTGTGCGTGTAATGAATTCTCATATCCCCAGCTAAATTGTATGGGCTCGTAAAGAGGCTCGGTAGTATCCTGTCGCTGCCGTTAACACTTCACCACAGTCTGTCATCCACGTTACATCGCATCGCACCGGGCGATCCCGAATTCCAAACGTATGACAACGTTCCGCCGGAGCTAGCGCTAGTGGCCACAGCAATAGTTGTACTGAAACTTGTGTATGGCCTCGATGGAAAACTGAGGTGATTGTTTCGCTTTTGCGGGACACGCAGCGGAGTTGACACATGTCAGGCTTCCACAGGATATAGAGGATCCCGCATCCGCGCTTCCAGATATCTGTGGTTACCTATCGGCAATCAAGAGAATGGATGAAGCGGATACCCGGTACAGTGAAAAGCGATTTAGCTCCAGGGTTCCTATGTGAGGAAGCAGGCACTAAGGTCCCGTCACGGACTAACAAACTAGAGGGCGTCAGGTCAACCGGCGATATGGATCTTGCGACTATAGACGAATTCCTGGACTTCTGCGAACGGGTGTTGGTAAGATCGCAAAGGAGTGAATCAGGTTAAGCATTTTCTTGGCCGAATTACGTGGTTGTTATTTATGCAATGCCGAATAGATCAACAAATCCTGGACAATTATTTCCCACTTTCGACCGAAAGTGGAGGCGCTCAATTGGAAGCAATAGCCCCTCACAGCATCGTTGAAGGACTCCCAGCCACAAAGATCAACGTAGGCGAGACGACGGTCCTACAGCCTGGGGAATCATACACCATCTACCATTCTCGCGATGTCCTGGGAAACCTCCCAGAGAAGCAGGCGCTCATCATCACGAGATCAGCTAAATGGGTTGGTGTCAGTGAAGATTACTTGTGCGGGGTAGTTGAGCGCTTTGAGCGGCGACTCCGGCGATGGTATTATAGGGAGCGAAGACGAGAGAAGGAAGAACAAGAGTCAGAAGGAGAGGGGGTGTTCGATGGCGTGGAGGATTGAGGAGCGATCTCCAAAAATAGTGGGCATCATATTCAAGTTGCACGCCTCGTGGCACCTCATCATCAGGGTAGTTAACAATGATCAATACACTTTTTTGCATACAGGGTCGATTCACACGGAACTGCCATTGACAGGCACCTTTGATCTTCGTGTGAGGAAGTATATAAAGCCTTGTGTCTATGGAATCCTTGAAATTCCGGTGTCTAGCACACGTTCGCGCTAGTTCACATAAACCAGTGGTTTCTCAAGTTCAAACTATAAGTAGCCGATTTACACAACCGGTGAGAGACGCCGGAAAAGTTGCTAATTCGGGTCCTTCCACCTGCAGCATTGAACCGTTGAATCACATCATTGACATCCAGTTCCATTTGTAATGCTCCAAAGCGTTTAGCGTCGCCTTCTTTTGCATACTCGCTCTTTACATCTCCAACCACGACCAGCATGCGTCGCATGTCCTCTGTATTCTTTTCGAGACGTGCCGACAAGCCAAATGCACCGTCGTCCAACGACACCGACTCTCTCCCTCAAGAAGAAGCTACGAAACGGAAGACTAGAATGTTCACCTCGCTTTCCCGAAAAGCGGCTCCCGCACAATTCCTCGCTAGCGGTTCCTCATCCTCAACATCCTCCGGCTCTGCAGAGCTGCGTACTCCTGACGACGAAGAGTCACCCCGCATAGTCATACCAAGTCAGAAAGGTAGCTGGAAATCATGGTTAGGGGTGAAAAACCTGGACAAAGGTGAAGGAGATACGAAAGCAGCTTCTTGGCTGCCGCCTTTCCCGACAGCAGGCATCGCATTACGTCCTCCACCAAAACCGACATCGAATGAGACGGATAATGCGTCATCCGAATCTGAATCTGAAGCAGATCATCCTCAGGATTCTCCCATCCAGAAATTTGCACAATCTATTACCCAGGCACGAAATAGTATGAGAGTAATTATTCTCAACAGTTCCCTCGACTGTGATCGTCCTTCTTGCCCTCCTCTTTTGGATATTCCCCACAACACACCGTTTCCTCGTTCCTGTCTGCGTGTGGGGCATGTTCGTCGCAGAGACAACCTGGAATCCAAGATGCACAGGGCAGTGCTCTTGAGAAAGTTAGAGTCCCTTTCCCCCTCAGAAGAACGCAGTCTAGCACCCCTTGGTAGTCGGCCCGTGACCTTGAAAGAAGCATCGGCACACAATCCCGATATCGATACTTGGCCGAAGGCACAATCTTTAAGGCGAAACAGCGAAGGTCTCGGCAATTGGGTAGCTCGCCCTTGTTTCGAAGACCGAGTTTCCGTGTGGACTCGCCAGGAACCCTTCGGTGAAATAGTCTCCTCCGGTATCTCTGGGTCGCAGCTTGGTGTTGCAGCTCTCGAATTCTCAGAACCGTTACAAATACTGGCAGGCTTGCTGTCTGACATTGATGATGACTTCGAACCATCTGCAGAGCCTCAGCCTGAGCCGTTTCTACCTCCCTCTGGTAAGTTTTAGTTATTTACAGTTGGTGCCTTGAGTTCATCGTCATTGCAGGGGCCGCAGTCGCATCGCCATCGACGGAAAAACTCAGCCCCTCCGTTGCCGTCGCAGACTTTGAATTCTCGCCCCTTACGCTTGCAGTTGACTCACCGGACGAAACTAAACGGGATACTAGTAATCTCACAATAGCAGAGCCGACCTCTAGACCCGTTATCAAACGAGGTGTGAGGTTCGCAGAAGATGGCAAGGACGATCAAATTCCATTGGGTTATGTCTTACGTATCAAGAAAAGGCGCGAAGAGAAAGCGAAGTTTCTTCGCGAAGAGCGTGAGAAACGAGAATTGGACGCGGGACGGCGTGCACGGGAAGACAGGCGTGCGCGAGAGGAGGAGCACCGTTTGCGGGAGGAAGAACGCCGTTTGCGGGAAACACAAGTGAGAGAGCAGGAAGAGGAGCGCAAGGCTCATGAACTTCACAAGAAGAAATTAGAGGAAGAAAGACGACAACAAAATTACGCCTCGGAGTTGCAGGCTTCGCGGGCCCGCCGAGATGCCTCTAGAACTGGTCATATTTCTTCCTCATCATCCCTGGTTCGGGACATGGAACGTGACAGATCTGTATCCCGTGGCGCTCGCCCGTCTGGCTTACCATCAACCCACCAACGGACAGCAGATCTTAGGGTCTCCTCTGCAAGTCTCTCACCTTACGATCGTTCTCCTGCCAGTTCGATGCCTGCTACCCCGGGGAGCCAGCATAGCTTCTCAAGGCCTCCATCCGTCTACTCAGTTCACACCACATCCTCAGAAGATGCACGAGGTCGGGATGGGCGGTCCATTAGCAAACGCACCTCTGTTGCATTTGATCCGTCAAAGCAATCTTCGTTACCGTTATTGAATCCTCGCGCGTCACTTCTACCATACAACCCTTGGGGCAACATGCCAGTTTCGCCTTTTCCCGTTCCACTTCCCGCCACTCCCATGATGGCCATCCCATACTATTCCTTAAATCCTTTACTTCCCCCTTCTCCTCCTTTCATGATGAACCAGTTTGGCATGGCGAACCAGTTCGGAATGCAACCGTACCCTTCCCATGGTCAAGTTCCTTCGTCTCCACGACCAAACAGCTTTCCAACCCCTAGCTCAGAAAGCGTCCACCATAAATCTCGCGCTGCTTCTCATTCTCCCGGGCACTTTCCTAACCATCAGCGGCGTGCCAGCGATGAAACACGCGGACACCTGAGTAGCAGTCATACCACAGCTGATCGGAAGTACGGCAGCCAAACAGACCTGAGGGACAAAAGGTCTTCCCAAGCCGCATACTCTTCCCACAGCAGTGGCCTTCATCGTTCCCGTCAGCCACCTACATTAGTGCACGCCCACACCGCACCTGGAAGGCCAGTTTCGGCATCCCAAACTCGCTCGACGCCAAGTCGGCATCAAAGTGCATATCCATAGTACGTGCAGGACATTTAATCATGGACTGTTAATACCGCATCAGGACCCTATCTTTGGTGTCACGCTCATTTACATAAATGCATGAATACTCATCTTACACATCGGAAATCATCACAGCACAGTTCTATTCTTTAGGTTCAATCGTACTCTCATGCCCAGCATACGAGCGCAGCGTATCATTATTAATCTTCTGGCATTCATTCTACTTCTACGTAGTACTTCGAGCATATGTTCCCGATATGCTCTTGGCCGTGCCCAACTTCATGCTTTCATTTCATCTAATTTTCATGTACAATATACATCGTTCTCAGTAGGAAATGCTTGTCATTATAATGAGTGCGATACATAAACTTAAATGCCTTCGTGATCATAGTGGACGCAAATAATCGTATAAATGTCTACAATCAACACCTACCCCAAACCACCCCATGGTCCCCTTATTCTTCGAGCAAGCTGAATGTCGCGCTGCATGATTGTTACGCGTTTGGCGTGTATCGCGCACAAATTGCTGCACCACTATTAGGATAGACACAAAAGACATAAGAATGGGACGTACGCGTCCTCAAACAGATGAACCAGGAACGCCTCAGTAGCTTCTTGTAAAGCCATGATTGCTGAGCTCTGCCACCTTAGCCCAGTCTCCCCTCTCTCGTAGTTCGTGTCTGTCATCATATCCATCGCGATTTCACGTACCTAGAGCTCCCATTCAGCACACCTAGGCTGAAGAACGACTAAACACATACCACCCGCGAAAAAGGAAGCCTGCGCAACAGCAAGTCTGTGCTCCGCTGATACTTTCGTATTTCGCGTAATGCGAGAGTACCGGGGCGATACCGGCGTTTCTTCCGCTGTTGATCCTGCTCGTCCTCCACGCCTGCGTTCGAGGCTGTGGGGTTGAGGTTAAGACGCGCATGGACGCGACTGCACGCGTACGTACCTCGTATTTTACCACCCTTAGCAGAAGCCGGGGCGGGTTTCTCCCGACCGGTGCTCTTACGCGCTGTTGGGTGTTTGGGCCGCTTGGAAGGCCCAGGTTCGTCTGAACCATCCTCTTGTGTGGCACCGGTCGGTCTTTTGCGCTTCTGTACGGTCTGTGCCATTTAATTTAACCAGAAACACGAAATAGAAAGGATGAGAATGAACAGGCTTTAGACTATGATGCGATAAATGGCTAGGAGGAGCGGTGGTTGTGTATGTGCGGTCGGGGACAAACTCGAACACACTTTTCCATTTATGGTAAACAATAAAGCGCGTTTCAAAGCGCCCGTAGTACGTTGTCCTGTTACTTTATCGATCATGGTTTCTCCAGTCATCACAGGATATTATCGTTATACTGATATTTTCTTCGAATGGTACGTCCGATCTACTGGATGACAACTTGCTGATGGAAAATCGTGAATCGCACAGGCACCAAGCCTTACCAGAGGCAGATCGGAGTCCCTTGAGGGCATCGTTAGCACAAGATGCTTTCATTCATCCAGATCATCCCCTCCACAAAGAGGGCGTCGATGGAGCCGAACTCTTCTTGGGTAATTGAAATCGCTGCATCGCGCAGCACATCATGCCTTATCTCTATCTAGGGACGCTCCAGAACTTTGAAACACGATTGCTCTTCTCCTCAGCCCAGGTGGAATATCTGAGATACTGGTTACACGCCATGGGCCTCACCAAAAATCTCATATCTCTTCCTTACTCCGATTGTCTTCTAACCGATTCCAGCCTCCGCCACGTCTCACCTGTCATCTTCAAGACCAAAGATGAGCTCAAGGGTGCTCTCAAGGTGATGACTTTGTACCAAACACCTCAACACGTCGTTTCTGATTACAGGAATCGATAGCAAATAGAAAAGAACAACAAGCGTTTGAAGGGAGCAGATCCGATGTTGAAAACGCGTCGTGAGATTTTTGAACGCGTCCGCACTCTCTGGGTAGAGAAAGTTGGCGTTTGGTGTGCTCTGGACTTCGAAGCATGGGACAGGGACCACACCATGCTCACAGAGTTTGGATGGAGCTTTGTCCGGTGGATCGATGGCCAGCAAGTCGAAGAACAAGGTCATCTCATCGTGAAAGAATATCGTCATTATACGAACACATTCGTCCAGAACAATCGCGAGGTAGGAAAGTCGAGATATTGCTGCTTATGACTGACCCTAGCGCGAATAATTTAGCACTTTTCATTTGGCGACAGCGAACTTGTCAATCGGACTACTTTCAAGACTCGCATCCAGAATCTAGTGGCTGACCTGCAAAAGGATGGCCCACTTTTCTTGATCTTTCATGACAATAATCAAGACATCAAGTGAGATGATGATTCAGAGCTCATGCGTCTGACTGTTAATATCTTTGGCAGATACCTTAAATCTTCCACCGTCAATGCAGACCTGCCCAACCTCAACTTCTTACTTCCCGATGTGAAGCCCAACGATGGCGTCTTCGTATTAGATACGTCTGACTTATTTGCCGCGTTGGAAGGTGAAGGAGGGCACAACAGACGTTCGCTAGAGCGAGTATGCAGGCATCTGCAAATTCCTACCTCGTTCCTGCACAATGCAGGTAATGATGCGCATGTAATTTGTTTTGGATCAGTGTGACTCGAGACAAAGCAGACTGACAATATCTCCAGTACACTTTACTGGCCATAAAGGAAATGGCCTCCGGCGACCCTCTAGACATGCAGAGGGAGAAGAGGTGGCCCAACCGAACAGGTAACATCGCGCACCCCGCTGCTCCTCAGACTGGAGCTGGAGTAAAGGTCAAATTCGAACCATGGGAGGAGGATAGCGATTACTCAGACATGGAAGGTGTCGGACCTATTATCGACAAATCTAAGCAGTTGCACCATGAAGTTCAGGCTGACATATCTGCGTAACGAAACGAAATCTCTTAGGATCGCAATTGTACTTTCTAGAAACGCATCACTGTTCGTGCATTGTATCCGTAATAGTACTCAAATTACATGATAGCAATGTGTGCTGTCCTGGAGACTCGCACAGGTGGAGGGGCCTAAGAGGTCGTCACGTTAGTAGTAATAAATTTCCAGCTAATCCTCTTTCTCGTCCTTGGTGTCGTCATCGTCACCGTCATCCTCGTCGTCAGATCGGACATCCGTAACCTCAACGTCCCTCAATGATCTGCGAAGTACGAAATTGAGCAACAAAAGGCATCGAGAGTGAATGTATTACCTTATTACGATGCGCCAGATAAGATAGTACCAGAAAAGATTGAGCAGCTGGAGGAGTGAGATGGGAAAGGCTATTTGATATTTCATCCACCAAACGAGCCAAGCACCAGTTTTAGGGGACCATACACGATTGCTCTCGCTGCATGCAGCCGGTAAAATCGGGAATCGGGTAGGTAAAAGAAAACGCACTCGATGAGATCGAACTCAAACCACACAGATCGAAGGATAACGAGATTTAACCAATGCCGGAAGTAACTGAAGGGGTTGGTGACGGAAAATGAACGCGTAAAAAGCACTCACGTCCATGCGACGAGGAAAACTGCAAGGGAGAACACTTTTAGTCTGTGCCATCCCATGTAATTGAGCAACTTGGAGAACTGTTGACAACATATGTTAGATCGTGAAAAACGCGTTTGGAACGGAAACGAACAGCGAGGAAAGCATCCGGTATATCCATACTCATATAGATCGCGTGCCCGATCAATGTCAAATTGATGAGATAGCCCCATCTGTTAGCAATTACACCAGTGATAAAACCTTGTGACATTTCAAAACGTACCCAATCAGCCATAGGGTGACGAAGTGATGTATGATGAGTTCATTGTAGTCCTTGCGTGGTTTCTCAAGACGTAAAAGCAGTACGATGAGCTGCTGACACCAATAAGCTGCGTGCATGAGGAAGTAACGTTTGAGTTCGGGTTTCATCCGCCAGTGAGGATAATCTGGAGAAGAGTCAGATAGGAACACGTGCGCAAGAAATTTGTGTACCAATCCAAAAGTATTCAGTACGATACCACCATGTCGGAAGTTGACCCATAATGCGCTTGTGTCATATTCAAAAAAGGTATAGTGCAAGATGACTGATGAACTTACGTAGCCCCATGCACCCATGACCGCAAAGTACAATAGAGCATAACCTTGTTCACCGAACCTATCAAGTTTTGCTCGCTTCTTTATGCCGAAGTAGCGAGCGATGGGGTGACAAATGCCAATAGTAACGAATTGGCGTACGAAGGAGTAGAACACTATGTGGAATGCAAGAAAAGCCAAGTCCAAATAGCCTTTAGCATAAAGTGGGTCGTCGGGAGGGGAGTCAGGAATCCGGTAGGAAATAAAAAGAAGCGGGGCGAATGGATTGGAAAGTCGTGGAGCAAGGTAAGGGGCCAATAATTCCCAATTGATGTACAATAAGACGGGTATCATAAGCAACTTGAAGGACGAGACTGTAAAGAGGGTTGGTTTTGAACATGAGATATGAAAAGTAAAGACCGGCCTGGATTTACAACCCATCTAGCGCTGAGAAGGTCTGCGATGAAGCCCCCTTTCTGTTTAGCCATGCGGAAGCTATCGCTGGAAGCAGGGGAGTCACAAGACTCTGGTGTACTAGACCCCAAAGGTCTACCGAGTGGTTTTTTTGAGACAGAGAAGACAAGAATAAAGTAAGACTCACGTTTGGACCATGAAGGGGCCTGTCAGATGATGACCCTTGTCAGTCCTGGATGAATGTAAGAAAGAATATATGGTGCGATTTAAAAAGTTGAAAGATACATACTCTATACGACGCAAAGAAGAAGCACGAGGACGTCTTTTGAGAAGTTTCTCATTGCCAGGGGAGCCGTGCGTCGACATGTCTGACTCTAAATATAATGTGAGACAGTCGGTGTGGAAATAAATGATGAGCAGATGAAGAACTATTGATGTGGATGACATAATCAAGTACTTGTTTCATTTCGGAGTTGAATCCTCATCCACTCAAACAACATTGAGCAGATGATATGTTCTCATCTTTGGGTCTCTTTCAATCATTGTCATGTCCACAGAGAAATGATTGTAATCGTCCATCTTGTATATTCTCACATAACCTAGATCTACCCTCTCATCATTCGCTTAACATTCCCGTACAGAAGGTGCAACCCCTCCCACAAACGCCATCCGCCAATGTGGCGCATCGCGAAGTACCCTCAAAGCGGCCCTTTCATAACCTAGCACAGGGTCCGTCTTCCAGTAGCAACAGGGCTCAAATCGGACCCCCGACACAACGTCTCAGAGTTGGCACCACACAGAAGCCAGTCGCCATTCCTGCCGCATCGCACACTAGTGTACGCATGCATCGACAATTCTAATACTGAAATTCATTGATCGTCTCTTATAGAATGGTGTACCGATTATCAGAATTAATCCTGCCCGATCTCAAGTCGCCCTACCAGTTCGTCAAGCAATGCTAAAGTCACTGTATGAGCACTTTGTCGTCCTTTACGACACTATACTGCCCTCAAACCCGACCCTTGCCTCTGAGCATGCCCTTCGTCAGGAAGAACAAGTCTACAGCAAGTCTACTAAGTTGACTTATCGCAACGTGCGCCCTATCCGTTGCCAGTTCGCACATCTTAAACCATCATTTAGGCTGTCATAAATTCAATAGCAGCTTTGAAGCGACGTCCGATACCTACGTCTATATCACACCCTTCAGTAGGAACTGAAGAAGATTTGGCGGCTCATGCAGAATCCAGGAAAAAATTGGATGACCTCCAGGTAACTCGACTCCTTCTCAAACCAATTGTCATGTCTTTGGAGGACATGCAGACGTGGGGTTTTATTACCGACATGCCTGAAGGGCTTGGGGGTGATCAACCGAGTGCTGAAGGAAAAATAATTCAATGCGAACGATGTACCCAGTCTTACATGGTCAAAAACAATCCTGCAACAGAAGAATGTCAATATCACTGGGGAAGGCTCTTCACGCACAAAGTCAATGGTAATCGATTCTTATAGTGCAGAAAACATTCTTTGACACTCTTTGAAGGCGAGCGTATGCGTTCGTATTCTTGCTGCCAGAAGCCAGCAGAGGAAGGCGGATGTACCAGAGGCCACCACGTCTTTTACGAGTCCAAAGCAGGAGACTTGCACTCGCGTCATGCATTCTCATTTACACGCCAATCAGTCGATGTTATGGAAACAGATACGGCTTTAGATGTTGTGGCTTTAGATTGTGAGATGATTTACACAACTGGGGGTATGCGCGTTGCCCGTGTTTCGGTTGTTGATGGTTCCGGGAAACAACTTTTCGATGAGCTAGTAAGAATGGATGATGGGGTTGAAATCATGTCAGTTGTACCGCCACTTCTTGGTGCATGCGATTGTGAACTTGACCATATTTCTTACAGAGACTATAATACACGATTTTCAGGCATTACCCAGGAAGAGCATGCGCAGGCTACGCTCTCATTATCTTCCATACGAAAATCCCTTGACGCTTTCATTAACCACAATACCATCATCATCGGTCACGCCCTTCACAACGATCTTAACACGCTTCGGATAATCCATCACCAGTGCGTCGATACAGCTGTTATCTTCCCTCATCGCGCAGGTCCTCCATATCGACGTTCTTTGAGGGATCTGTACGTCGTTCTAAATCCAACTCCGTGCCATCTATTTACAAAATTTTATCAGGGCGAAAGAACACCTTGGTCTTACAATCCAGGCTGGTGGAGGAACAAGCGGTCATTCCTCAGTGGAGGACTCTATAGCAACACTCGATCTTGTGAGATGGTATATCCTGAACAAGCTAAAACCAACTGCAAAGACGTAGATACTTTCACTGCCACTACCGTTACTTCTGGGTATCATCCAGGCATACCTCTCAAGTATGAGACATCGACTTCCGCCATACATTACCGTGTCATGCTTCTCTGTGCGATAATTAATTCCAAAGCGGCCGAGGTAACTTTTAGCGGATCAACGGGCCTTGAAATGCTATAGATACAGCCAGCATCACAGGGAAGAAAATGAGTCTAACCGCGTGCAGCTCCCAAACGACCTATAATGTCTTCGGAGGACTCTTGCTCTTCGACGCTATCTGACTGTGTGACCTGATGTGCATTCATTTAGTATTTTTCCAATGTTGTAGCAACGAAGGACTGACCACACGCAGTACTGACTTCTTGGAGGATTCCTGCATCTCTCCTGCGATTATAAGCTCATCCAGGATCTGCCCAGTGATATGAGAAAAACTACATGGTCAATAAAAGTTATCAACGCACCGCATACGCTTTCTGGAAATTGAAGATGCTGATACAAATCAGTGAACAAAAAGGTCTCGCATACAACAACACTTTCAAAACATACAGGTCCAGTTCGCATACCTAGATAATACCCGTTCAATGAGTACATCATCCAAGAAACAGCATGAATAGAAAAAAACGCACATTTCCAAAATAACGGTCCAAAACCTCGACATAACGGTGAATAATCTCAAGCGTGATGAGTTCGTTATCCCCTGAGGCAATCCCACAAACGAAGAACAACGATGCATATCGGCGGTATACGACCTTGGTGTCTGCATCACCGAACGTCAACTCCTCACCTTCTTACATACTGCAGAGAGCAACTCGCCTTTGTACTCCAGGAAATTACACATCCGCGTGCGCCGAGCCAGGACGAGCTGAGTCACGTCCTTTACGATCTTGGCTTTTGTCTTGGGCGGCATGGTAGAGAACCATTTCGCAAGGCGCACTTTGCCTGAATATCTGATACGTCAAATAACACTTTGATGAGTTGGAGGAAGGTGACGAGCCTTGTCGTGATACTAGCAGAATGTAGTTGATCATAAATGCTTCCTGGTGGCTGTGCTAATGTTTGAGGTCGTCTTATCACATGGTGCAACAATACATGTATTCCACAAAACCTAGTACTGGATTCTGGTAGTATTCTCTATGTGAAATGACAATGACTCTCATATTCTCGACTGCAGCTATTGAAAGCCCACGATCCATCCGATTTGATCATCTAGTACATATCAAATCGACTTCGGGTCTGCAAAGGCAGATCTCATTAGCTTCTTGAGTACATGGAAGAGAGAATCGAGGGCGGTCATATTAGATCAAGAAACATTCATAGGAGCCACCGACCACTTCCTTGGAAGTGGTTACGTGGTGGTCCCTCGAACCACGTTTATAGTCATCCCGCCCAACCGTGATGAATTGGAACAGTCCTACTCACCAACATCCACGCACGGCGATGCATGAAAACCGTTTTCATCACCGCTTGGCCAGTGGTGTCTTTTTAGAGAGTGTAGGATCTAGCGCTAGCTTCCGCTTTCTCCGCAGCTCCCAATAGTCCATGATCCATGTCTGCACCAAACCAAAAGTGGCTGAGGTGACCCAGTAAAGAATGACGCCCTGAATGATGGGGTTGAGCTGATATGCAAGAATGGTCGAAGACATACTTACTCCTGGCACTATGGTCGCGACAACGATACGACCAACAGAAATCAATCTCAGCACAGACTTAATGATCTTCTGTGGTTCGATCACAGTCTCCCCTCGAGCGACACGATCCTCTTTCCACTTCTGAACTTTTTCCTGACGCTCGCGTTGCTCGTCGGTCATAAACCAGCGTGAACTTTCAACATTGGCTAGAGTGATGAGACCGAGTGCAATTGGTAGGGTAGCTGTAGGGTCTGCGTGCGCCAGTGTGGAAAGCGTCAAGAACGACTCAGAGTCAAACGGGGTGGGTGCTTGTGATAACCGGTTGAGCACTATTGAAAACCCCATGAACAACGGAACCTGTGTGATTATAGGTATTGCCATTGTGAATCCAGGACTACAACGATACTCCGAAAATAGTTGTTTTTGACGCGTGGTCAACTATGGAGGGTATCAGACTAGGGTGAGAGAAACAACCCGACAACTTACGAGTTGCTTGACGCGTTTGCCATGGGCTGCTTGGATTTGTTCCTTCGTGCCGCGAACACCAATTTTCTGCATTTCAGCTAGAACTAGCTTTGATACACCAGGTTTCAACGAATTTATGATGGGAATGACCTCTTCCTCAGCGCGACGCTGTCTCTGCTTTGCCTAAGTGGAGAAAGTTATTTGACGACACGCGAGCTTTGCAAGAAAGACACACCCATATTGAAAACGGCACGGTCCAGATGAGACGCGAGACGACAGTGCAGATTATAATAGTCGTAGAATACGGAGGGAATGACGATGGTAGAGGCAGAGCGGTGGCTAGATCCAGAAACCCATTTGTGAATGTCTCGATGCTAACGAACGTTCGTCTTTGGAAGCTACGAGGTTCGACTTTCCCGCATGGTCGGTGAAGTACCTTGACTGCTCGTCGTGCAGAGCAGTGAGCGAGCATGAACGAGCATGAACAAAGTTAAAGCGGAATAAGTCGGTGATGGCAACTTGTCAATAACGGTTAATAGGAACGAATTCAGAATTTCCATTTGCGCTCCCTAATTTATGTCACTGCGCGCTATAGGCCTTATACTCTTCACAAAACTCAACACAACTATGCCATTCTAGTTATAGCACCTTCCGAGTCCCATAGGTCACTGCGATTCGAGATCAGATAATCAGACCATGCTTATTGTTGCCAAGGCGTAATGTGCCAGTAACCAATATTCTCCCTCTGGTGCCATTCGGGATCCAGGCAACTGTTTGACGGATATCTGATCGCAGTGAATACAACTTCACGAACCAATGGCACGGCGTGTGGCGGCATCGATAGGTGAAATCATGAAATTCAGATATACACAATAGACTCTGTGTGGTCAAATTGAAAAGCTTTGCGGTGAGAGTGGCTCTATTTTCCCAAATTCACCAGGTGACCGATGTCGCCTTGTCTTTATCGCCAATTTTGATCGCTAAGCAGGGCTAGCCTTTGTGCATAAGTGGCAATAGACATTGGTGTTCCAAAAGTGCCGGTTGCATTAGTCAGATATTAGTATAGATGAATGTTCTTGCTACCCCGACCACCAATTTCGAGTTAGTCTTCCTGCTCAATATCGAGTACACTGAACCAGTAACATTAGATGCAATCTTAGACAAGCCAGTCCGACCACGTACCCCTCTTCAGAACTCCTCTCGGCAGGGCAATACGTTGAAAATGAAAAAGACTCGCCAACAAAACCTCCAGGATTGAATACGTGACATCCAGAGTATGTCAACTTGTACTTCTCATACTTGTCAGCCAGAATCACCTAGGATGACGTTATTATTTAGGGCGTACGGAAACGAGACAACTGCTTACGGCAGTCGGAAGAGGGTATAGTCGGAGCGCGTGGTCAAAGTCTGGCAATACAGGTTGAATATGCGTGGTCAGCGGGGTAAGGTGACTTTGGTCTAATATCGACTGGACCAACTGAGCCCGAGGTCAGTAATATTTGCATGCGGATGCAAATTTTGTACGTACATATCGTCTTAAATCTTCACCAGTGACATTTGGTTTTATGCCAATCGTGTTCCTCAACATTCGTGCCATGGTATCTTCCCTAAATACGACAACCTCCTGACCAAAAAACTTCAAGCGACAAGGATTGCTGGTGAAGTGGACTTTTGGAATCTTGCTGCGAAGATGAGATGTAAAGGTAGATAGAATTGGTCTGCGGGGAAGGGTACTGCTGCCCGTGATATCTAGAGGCCCTGGAACAAAGACAAAATGGGTTTCTCGAGTAATTTGAGGATATGATGCTATTAAATCGGCCAGGGAATCGAAGTTTTCTGTTCAATTAAATTGAATGTGTATCGAATGCGTTTATGAATAAACCAGCACGAACCTTGATAACGCTGGATGTCTCTACCGCCCCCCTGCATTATTGATTTGCTTGTGAAATTACCACACATAACGATGACCTTAGGTATAAAGCTGTTCTCGATGCAATTGTCGAACATTTTCTGAAGTCCAACGAAGGTTTGAGGGTGGTCTAGCCAAACGTCTGAAAGGAAGAAAAAATAGAGGTCGGAGAGTTCTTCACGGATCCGACGGGCGAACTGGGACTGCAGCATGGTGAGCCGAGGTCCGCACCGCAAAGCGAGGATAGCTCACATCTTCAAGTAGGGAAGTTGAACCTTGCCCCAAGAAGTCTATGTGACCGTAGATTGACCTATTCTCCGTGAGCAAGTATAATAACAAATCAGAAGAACATACCTAGCAGTCTCCCGATCCTCGCAAGGAGGTTGTCCCATAGCCACAACCTCGAGGATGCCATCTTCATTGTATTCTCCTTCTACAAGGGCGAAGCAGCCCTCTGTATACAATCCTTCGCCTGGTTCGTCCTAACAAAATCATATGAGCAACGTCATCTCGGGACCTTGAAGTTCTTGCCATTTTGGACAGATCAAGTTCGACGCTTCCGTCCGAGTCCTCGACGCACAACTTCCCTTCTTTGTTGTGCGCAAGCATTCCCAGGAGCAAGAAGCGTTCGCCGGCTCTACCAAGCAGCTGCTTTGTGGATTTGAGCTGATTGAGTCACGGATCAGCGTTGGGCCATCGATATCAGTTTATTGAATACCGTGACAAGATGTTCTCGGTCTCGAGATGGAAGAGTAGACGGTGAGAAATGTTCGTTTCGTAAGATGCTTTGCTTGATTATATGCAGTCGGTTGCGTACTGCCGCTATTCGCGAGTCTGCGCTACCAGCGACAGTGAGAGGGCTAGAAGATCTTGGTTGAAATGAGATCCAAAGCTAAAAACAAGTCATGATACGAACACACTTCTCGAACGTCCCTCTTTCCTGAGACCAGTGCCATGATGGCATTTCAAATGCGTCTACGAAGTAGAGATGGCTATCAGGGTCTAGTAGTTCTTCCGCTTCCCCCGGATTGCCTTGGTCCTGCAACGCGTCATAGACTCTCCGCAAGATGTCTAATGAAACTTTCATGACAGCATCTTTTGTGAGGGTTAGCTTTACTAGCACCCTAATACAACAACGCGTCACCATCTTGTTTGTTATATTCCCTTGCAATGGTCTCGATTGAGAACTCCACATCATTGTCCGCAATATCATGCCTTCCAAGGATTTCCTCCAAAAATTGTAGAGCATCCGGACCCAGCGAATGACTGTATTTTCGAAAGACCTTTTGCATCGTGAATGCAATTAGCTACAAGTATCGATTGTTATGATGGAAGTTTGAACCTTGATTATTGTGAGTTGTCTACCATCAGCCATTCCAGCACGTGTGTAACAAGATATGTAGCGACTTCAAGTTCAAGTGTGTGGGGACTTGACGCGGCGTGTCCACTGTCCAAAGACTCGCGTTCAGAGGACTTGTTAGTAGTACTCACGTCAAATATTAAATACCTTAGGTTGTCCGGAGTCTTGGCAGTCTAGAATGCAAGATACAGTTGTGTGAGATGCAGTCGTGATAAAACTCGTCAAGCAGAAGATAAACGAAAGAAATTGACCTCGAACACCGTATCATATTAGTCACGTGGTAGACGGAAAGTGGTCTCGTTACTAACTTAGGTATGTAACCGTTTTGTGCTTCACTCAGGCGTGTCTGCGGTGAGCCTCAATAATATGTTCGCGACGTTAGACCTCGACATCAGACCTGGATCTGGGATTGGAATGTTTGAGCTAGGTGTGTTTGCAAGGGCTACCCGAACGAGTACAAGACTTATACCGCTCGTATCTGTATCAGGTACTTCCCTTTGGGCAGTCATCGACATCTTGCGGGGACTTCAACATCTATTCCCTCAGGTTGAGGTCAAGTTTGATCCAGAGGACTCTGCAACGACACCAGTCATTCTTCACCTTCGTCCTCATCTGGACCTTTTGTTTTCAGGATACCATCAACGCCTTCATACTATCTGCGTAAGAAAACTCAGGGAGCCTCATCCACCGGTGATGCTTCGCTACAAAGATACAGTCATATCATCTTCTGCAGAACCCTTGGTTAGAGTACATGTTAGCCGTACCTTCGGACCAACATATCCAGGAGATGAGCTAAGGTACCCTGGCATATGGTTCAGCTTCGATGACGACGGTGTCAATGAAGGATTCAAAGGGGGCACTACGCACCTAGAGCAACGGACACAAGAGGTAAAGCGTATCTTTATCAGACAAAAAAGTGTAGATGGAGAGGAGCGCGATGCTTTGGACGAGGTATTACCATGTCCAATCATGCACGGTGACATTTCTAGCGCGGTTATCAAGGTCATTTCTACTTCTAATTCCTGTTTAATCAAACTAACGTCTTAATAAAAACAGATACATGATGGCGTGCACTTCAAATTTTTCTCTTCTCCCTTGCTCCTCCACGTTCGCATCGGAGAAACTACAGCACAAGACCTGACGATCGATCTTGGACCTCCCTCTCGAATTCATCACAAGGAGGACGAACGAATGACTATTCACTCACCGAACCTGCAAGCGTCTGAAGATGATGGTAGCACCGACTGTAAACGAATCTGAATTCTTAAAAAACATTGCCGCTCAGCGTTAATGATCTAGATTTCTATAACTACTTCCATCACGGTGTAGACTTCCTAATATCCGGCCAGACTCATGTTGTGCGAAAGATTATCATACATTCGAATATGGTATGACACGCATTGCCTCTTCATGATCTTTTTTCAAACCTGTATAGCCTGGCTCCCCTCTCTTTCAGCGATATAAACGATGTCCCTGGCAGTTGGAGGGAAAACCTGAAGATGACGAAGATGGTAACTTACCTCACTTCCATTTTTTTGGTTGCGTTTATCTGAGCATAATTCAGATTCACCTCCTCGCAAGCACTTTTATGAAAAGGTTTATCCGTTCTCAGTTTTGCCATGTTTATTTTCTGATCCAAAAGTTTAGTTCGAGACGATCAGACGCTTTCTCAGTCCTGGAGAAATGCTACCTTCCATGTTACTAGATCGCACAGATGAATATGATAATATCACACTGCCTAACTCGTCAACCCGTCAGTCGTCAGTGCTTTCAATGTACCTGTCAGACTGACTGTTCTACAGGTTTATATGGTTATGACGGTGTGATTTTGGAGGTGAATGAAGCATCCCAAGTGGTGACTGTGATGTTGTTTTGAATTTTAATATCGACCCTATAGTTAGGAATAATAAGTTATCCATATATCTGTTGTTGTGAGAATCCGCTCGACATATAAATTCAGATCTGGTGTGACGTCGACCCCAAAGACGGTACGTCAATAAATTACCATCCCAAATTGACGCTAATAGTCAGACTGGTTACGAGTCTGATTGAGTCTCGCGTCTCCTCAGGCTTTCCTCGGTTCGCAATAAAACCTGTCTGAGACCTCCCGAGCATCAAACTGGGGCCCTCCGCTTCCCTTATCACTGCAAGACATCAACGTAAAACTGATTCAAGACTTATTTTCCATCCGCATCCCAGTACGAGGCAAACTCTGTCCCTGTGTCCCAGTCGAGCAAACTCGGTATCAACCTCACCGATTGACACCGATTTGGGTGACCTTCGACACTGTCATCAGAGACTGCTACAAGCGATAGAACATTTGAGGCGTCCCAGAACTAATAGTTCTAATTCGACCCTTTTGATGTCTCCTACCTGTTTGATCAACACCATGTTCTGATCCCAATTTCCTTATTATTCATGTCATATCTTTAAACGCCAGACTCCACATGCAAGTACTCTGTTCTTTCGTCTAGAAGTCTGTTATACAAAGATCTCGGACCATAAAGTCCTTAATTCTTCTAAATCAGTGATCTGCGGGATGCTTTCGGGGTCATTATCATTGGTGTTTCGAACAAGTTGCTTCGTCTTTCCGCCATCCATAATTTCCATACCGACCTCGCAAAAGTGTACACAATGACCCCACCCAAGTTCCTTAGCGCTTGTGACATTGCGCTGGCTATCGTCGATGAAGTAACATTTAGATGGGTCCGAAACATTTGCTTCCTTCATGGCCTGTATAAGACTGAGTCAACATCAATGACTGAACAAGTATGAAGAACTGACATTGTGATAATAATCTGGTTCCGGCTTGCAAGTAAAGCCGATTTGCTGATAATCACAATAAACAAGTCCTTCAATCTGGTCTTCTAAGTTTAATATCTTGAGCACTCGTTGTGCGTGCTGAGGGGGTCATTTTGTGTCATATATTCACGAGCACGCGAACCGACGCTTACGTTCTTGTATGCATTAGTCAACGCCCATACGCGCACCTTCGTTCTGTCCAAATCTTGAAAGAGCTTTCGAAGCCTCGGGTCTGGTTTAATGAGATCATCGAGAGGAAGTGTTCCATCACATTTTTGATCGAAATCCATGGGATCTGAAGCCGTAATATGTATATTCAGCAGCTGGTAGTCGCAGCGTAGGTCGTACCTATGTCATGATGACGCATTAGACCGCGAAGTGCAAGTCCGTACTGAGTGTAGTATGCGTGATGCAACTCAGAGGCTTCATCCTCATCGAGTCCAAGATCGACAAAGTATGCTGCTCTTTCCGTATTGATCATTCAGAGTATTTGAGGGAGTTCGAAGACTGACGAACCATGGATGCGCTGAGCCATAGCTTGGGAAATCTTGGCGCTGGCAGAATATAGTGTATTGTCGATGTCAAACCAAACGATTGATCTAGGATCTTTGACACGATTCAGAGTGCGCGAGGCGATGTGGAAAAGAAAATGAACCTTCGTTAGGTGTATCCGGAGACATCGTCAGCGAGGGTATAAAGATTATGGTATGAATCAGACAGCGTCCTGTTTAAAAGTAGTTTGGCCAGCAGACTGATGTGGTTGTGGCTAAAGCCCGTCACACTCTCCTGCCAGCAAGTCGCTTCTAGCAGATGGGAGAAATTTCGCGGGCAAAACGCAGGGGATCACAGCGAATGATGTTCGGTCGACGACAAATCTGGACACTACTACTGATCCTGCAAATGCTGGTATTCATATGTTCTTCGCATCCAAGGTCGCGACAACCAATTTCCAAAACATCTTTTTCACAAATATGACAGATTCTCTTCGTCACCATAATCACCAGAAGGCCGGGCTAACGGAAAGTCAATTCGTCGACATCATGCATACATGCACACTAGTGCACAGCCAGGTATTGACGCCGATTTAGAAGTCGATTTTGCATTGGCACCACTCGCACTGCAGCACCTCAGACTCAGAACATCGAGGATCTTGTGGTCTTGAATCCATATCACTTGATGGGATCGAGGCAGAATCTGCCCTAATGGAATACAAGAACGAAGCCATGGAAAGAGTGTCAGCAGTGACAAATTGACAATTGAACGAAGTGTTGGAAGGATATCGACCGAAGTTCAAGTTCTTCCACCGAAATCTGCTTGGGCTTTTAATGTTTACCTCTTGCAAGATTTCAAATCAAAAGTAGATCTGGACCTGGCTATAGCTAGAGCATTTCAGAGCACTCTAGAATACCTTTCAAATGTAATTTCACTAAGTGGTAAAATGTCAGTTTCCCAGCTGTGTGACGATGAGAACATCACAGCTCACATGCGTGACGACGGACTGCCGCATCAAATCCATGAGTTCTTGTCGAAGTATTGTAGCCCTGGCAATAAAACCGCTTGGCTTAATCCCACATAATTATGCCAGTGGATACAGAGAAGGAAGAGTTTGCAAAAATTTGTAATACATCCCCATCACACTGAGCCAGGAATGGAAGCACATTCGTGTCAATACAGTCGAGCAGCCTATTAGGAAACTCACTGCCGAGCTAAGTGACTTGTAACAGCGGGTAGCGTTTGAATTGACCGTAGCAGCTTTCATAGCTGAAAGCAAATTATTTCAGCACGACCGGACGAGTGACTTATTTAGAATTTCATTCTCACGCTTGAACTCCGATACCACTCGCCTGTGTACTCGTAATATCGATAGACTCGGACGCCTCAACAGACAGTATCCTCAAGACTGACACTGTGAGCACGAATTTTTGCGTTTTCTGACCTTAGGGGGAAGGCCGGAAGGTCTTGGGACATGTTTATTCCATTGATCGACGATTTTGGTGGAGATCAGAGTTGGATGGCTATCCTGCCTTGTGGATGACTTGAGCTCAGGCAATAACTGACTGAATTATTCTAGATGGCCCGCAGTAGACAACTCGCACCCGGCGTCGGGCGCTTCTCGCGCTCACAGGCTGCTTCACGCCGTGGTCTTTACAAGGGTCTCAAAAAATCCGACAAGCCCGCACCCGCAGAAACTCCCGCCTTCAAGGAAGTGACAGTGGGCGGCGACAAAAACAGCGGCACGCGTCTCGTACCCACCTCCAAAGCACCCCGATTCTACCCTGCAGAAGATGTGCGCCAACCAAAGAAGAGCCGAAAGTCGCCAAAGCCCGCCAAACTTCGCCCCACAATCGTCCCTGGTACCGTCTTAATCTTACTCGCCGGTCGTTTCAGAGGGAAGAGAGTGGTTTTCTTGAAGCAGCTTGAGGGCGGGTTGTTGTTGGTGACTGGACCTTACAAGATCAACGGCGTTCCCCTCAGACGGGTGAACCAAGCATATGTTATTGCCACATCCACCAAGGTTGATCTTGGTGAATTCAAGGTACGTGGATGGCGTCAGAGCAGGTCTGAATTATTGCCAAACTTAGTACATGTATCAGGTCGATGCCAAGATCAATGATGCTTACTTTGCAAAGCCCGCAACCAAATCAAGCTCTGCAGAGGCTGAGTTCTTCGAGGGGGGCAAGCCGAAGGCAAAGGAGGCCTTCCCAGAAGCCAAATCCGCCGACCAGAAAGAGGTCGACAAGGCTGTCATTGCTGCCGTGCAGAAGCAGGAGAACCTTGCAAAATACCTTAAAGCCACCTTCGGCCTGTCGAAGGGTCAGTTCCCTCATCAGATGGTGTTCTAATTATAGGAGGACGCTAGGATCATGGAGAGCTGGGTGGGTTGACGACATCAGATATATGATATGCCATACTGCAACATTTCCATTACTCTCTTCATTGCTTTCTTTATGCAAGTAGGCCTTCATGAATCTGTACTATCAGCACTCTCAGTTTGCATAAGTTTTTGAGTGACATCAGTGATAAATGTGGCTGTGCGCCATTTCACTGCCATGCTGTTTTCTTACGCAACTAGTACGCGTAAATCTCTGCGGCTCCGGGACGACCACCAGACTATAGATCATTAACTCGAGGTTTTCGCGTTCACAACGCTCTTCTATTGCTCTGCTAGTATATAATCGTTGACTCTTCCTCTCCTTTTCGACATTCCTTCAACCTTTCATTCCTGGTCGCCCCTCCCGGCTCTCTCTGCTCTATCATAAGCGCCTTACCCACACAGCGTGTCGATGATTCGAACAGTTCTGCGGCATCGCCTTAGCGCTGTTTTTGGGATTATTTGTCTCGCGCTCTGGTTCTACGAGTTTGGCCTAACTAGCTTGTGGTCATGGTTCACCCTTGTGTCTTCCCTCGCTGCAGTGGTCGTGTTCCTGTTTGTTGCGAGAGCGTATATCGCTCCTTACGTTGTCATGCGTTTTTCTAATCATCTACGTGTGCGAAGCATCAGTCTTCGCTCGATTCGCGGTCTATACTTCCGTCGGGGAAATCGTACGTGGCATGTCGAACGCATTGGATATTCCTACCGTTCATCTGGGGAGGGCAAGCCCAGAGGAATATTACTCAAGATTCAGGGTCTCAGAATTGATATTGAGCAGCTATCACGCGAGCAACCTGCTCGGTCTAAGCATAGGCGTAGAATCACTCTCGTGGACTTGTCGCCCTCCCCTCTGGCCCTGCATTTATGGTCCATCATGTCGACCGTATACTGGGTATTCGACCCGATCATCCGCCCTATCATCCGCATTTCTGTCACGTCTATTTTGAATCAGGTGATTCACCGCATCCCTACTCTGACTCAAGCCCTTCGTCTGGAACTTGAATCGGCTGTGATAGCACACACGGCTATCCCAGATGCTCAACTCGTCATTGAAGGAGCAGAATTAGATGCGCATCTTACTTTCAGCTATCTTCAGGTCCCAGTTCCCCATTCTGACAAACACAACGGTCAAGGGGACTACAGACCGTCTGCTGCAGCATTGGCCATGGGAGCATGGAAGCCTCGGCTTGCGATGGGTTTCAAGCGTACGTGGAGGCGTGCTTGGGATAGCACACTGGGCCAAACAAAGGCCTCTTTGACGTTCAATTTGATGGTCAATAAAGTTATTGGTGACACCCCTTTTCATAGTGAGTGTTCATGTTTGCAATCAATAAATGATATTGATGCTCTCATTTCAGGTCATCTGGGTGGCGAACCGATTATCTACCTGTCTGATATGGCAATTCTCAGTGGGGCTGCTCAATTTAGTCCAAGAGACGGGAAGATAGAGGCAGGGAGTGTCGAGGTTACTTTGCGCATTCCGAATATACATGTCTCCATCGACCGTTGGCAAGCCATCCTTGAAATATTTGACAATTTGAAAACCAAGAACACTCGGTCTCCCGCCTCACCGTTACAGACATCGCCAGTCTCGCTTCAAAGTCCTAAGCTTTCGAGTGAAAGTAGTTCTGCAGTGCGTGTCTCTGGCTGCGTCGATGCTCAATATTTTGACGCCCTCACTTTAGTCATTTAATCGTCCCCACTTTTCATCACCGTCCGCTCGTTCTTGCAAGAAGAAGCCTCATATGGTCAGTGAATATAAATCTTGACGAGGGAAAAAAAGTTCATCATACCGCTATGCAACATAGCCGTTGTCCTTGTTATCCAAGATTCAAGTGGACATATGTTCAATCAACGTCACCAAAATGTTCAAAGGAGACCTTTACAGCGCTTCTATGCAAGATGTATCTTGCGTCTGCGGCCCAAGCGACCCTGATCACAACTCCTCACATCGCGCTTGGCTCGGATCTTATCATTCGCCCACTTCCTCTGTTTACGTTATGCGACTCAAAATCCGGGAAAGTTCCCTCAGTAGGCTCAGTGATGTTTTCACCAGTAGCCTCCAAGTGCTTCTTGTCGGTACCCTAGATGCATCTTTCACGGCGTCGGAATGGCCTTCGTTTTTGCAACATATCTCACCAGGTGATCCAAATCGGCCTTTGTTGATGATGGATCTCACACTCGCTGAATTTGCTGTTACGGACCGTTTGGATGTGGTACACCGACTATTAAGCAGCCAACCAATATCGTCTCCTCCCCGCGCGTCCCTGTCACTCCCTGAGACTTTATCACATATCCCTCGAATTATTGCCAATATTGAAGTTGGCCGCCTTTCTGCACGCCTGATCTGTGTGGATGCTATGAGTTCTCAGACGCCATTTTCCCTAGTCTTGGAGTCTAAAGGTCTCAATGCCAATTGCACCTCGACGTTCCGCACCAAGCCGTCCATCATATGCAATTCCGGTGATACGTTCTCCGATCCGACTGGGTTGCACATGATACTGCAGTGGGACTTTCATATGGAACCTGTCTTTCTGAACGTGAACACAGCTTCTCTTCCGCGGAGAGCGTCAAGACGGTTCTCTACACATAATCCGAACTCAGAAGGGTTTGACAGCTTGCTCTCCCTTGAAGCAGTTGAAGTCAAGGGAAAATTAACTGCTGTAGGGGAATTTATTGACGATGGACGAGCCGCATTCAATTTACTGCACACCAAGTCTTTTTTCCTCGATCTACACTGTTACACAGAAGGGATCATTTTGGAATTGTGGCACCCGCAGTCTGTGGCTGCTGTAATTGCTATTATTCCCTTGTTCCTGGTGAAAGAGAGTACGCCTGCGCCTTCTGATAAACCCCTCATACTACCTCTTGGATGCGCTGTGTCTCTGTCTGTCGCCCGGCTGGTCCTTTTCATCACAGGTCAAGATATCAATCCACACGCCGAAAACGATGTCACATGTGGCGTTGCGTTTAGCACAGGCATAGCGACGCGGTACTGTTCTATGCATCCAGAGCAAGTTCTGTCAGTAGAGCATGCGAGGGCACGTGCGCAGAACAGACATAAGTTATATCTTCCTGCAGACTACCTCGCAGAGGCATTGGTTTCTGCAAGGGCTTCTGCGGTGTCTTCTGAATGTGCTGCTTATGGGAAATTGGTTCTGTGGAACACGTCTCTGCGTTCAGCTGCTGCTGACACGTATTCGATGGACGACCCGTATATCTTTGAGAAAGACGATCCTGCATTCACGGGAAAACAGTTCGTGTTCTTACGCAGAACGGAGGTTGACGTCACTTCCCGAGGGACCAGGTTACAAAGCTCGGGAATTTTGCAGTGGAGTACGCATGCCATATCTGCAACCGTCGACGAAGTCCGGGTTTCCTTTGACCTGTGCCATGTCACTGCCTCTCTCCTTGCACTTCAAGTATTGCGGAACATAATACCTAAGTTACGACCTGCAAAAATGTCCAGTGGCTCACGCGCCCTGAACTTGAGCTTTCGGGGAACGGTCAAGGCACTGCAGATTCGGTGGAATTTGCCAGGGCAGCAGCCTGTCACGCGGATCAACTACCTGGAGGCGACCGCCAGCCCCGGGAGTGCCGAGTGTTGCTTTAATTCATTCGTGCTCTGGGTTCCGATGCCTGCAAAGCCACATCGGTGGAGGGAGATAGAGGAAGGTCGATGGGAAGAGCTTGGGCGTTTGCATAGGTGCACAGTTAGTTATGGAGGTCAACCTGATGACGCTATCCTGGTTGAGGGGGACAGTATCCGCTTCGCAGTCCCTTCAGGATATGTACTTGCGGACTTGCTCCTTGCCGTTACACTGACAGTCAAGGCTTCGCGCCACATACATCGTATGGTCGCCACGAGCATATACTTTCCTTTCCCACTCCCAGAGGCCGAAGGTCCGAAGATTTTGCCGAACATTTCGGTGTCCATCCGTGCCATATGCTTGGAGGCAGCAGATGACCCTTTCGAATCTCAACTAGGGTTGCTTTGGAGAACTGGCCTTGACGCTGCTAAGGAGCGCATTCAGCGGGAAGACGCGTTTGATGCAAAAGTCGCTGCAATATTGGCTGCAGAAGGAGCCAACGCTTCGCCATCACATAACACTGCATTCAGCTCAGACTACCAGTTCGATGCCGGACATTCTATTTCTGTTCGTGAGGCCCGGGAAAGACTACACATGCTTCATTCTCTTGATTGGCTTCTGCGACATAAACAACGGAGGCAAAAAAGGGCAGTCGAAGAAGATAATTTCCACCGAGATTTCCGAGGGCCAACTCCATTGAAGCGCCCGACTAGTGTTCCTAATCTCGTGAACGTCACCGGTAGCCAGCGTACACCACCCCTATTCCGCGCCGTTATTTATGGATTTCAGCTACAGCTCTCCCAGCCATCATTTCCATTGGAGCAACTACCTGATTTCTTATATGTTCAAGGCCAGGGCGTCCCCAAGGACACCTTTTACACGCTCCTTGTTCCAATGCATGTTGATGTCTCCTTGACATCTCTTCGAGTCACTCTTCGAGATTATCCGTTGCCACTCCTGCATATCCCGTTTCATTCTGAAGGCAAAGACCTGCTTGTCCTGAGGTTCATTTCTGACTTGGTCATTGCTGAGGACATGGGACCACCACAATCTGTAGAGTGGATTCCCTGTATCATCAGTGGGGCTCAAGGTGGCTTTGTACCCAGTAGCCCTCTCGTTATTGAAATTCCCAAAACCAGCATGCCTGTCAAGACATACGCTAATCCCACTGTCAAAGTTATGACGGATGGGGTAACAAGCTTTGGTTGGGGTGTGAGCTACAGCGCAACTACTCAAGATCTTGTTCGGATCTTGGAGAGCCTAACATCAGAAACGCGTGATTCGTCTCCCAACATTGGATTTTGGGATAAGGCAAGTCCCATATTTATCCTCACTGCTGTTTCTAGACCTGATTGTGTTTTAGCTAAGGCTCATTTTTCACTGGACTATTGAAGTGTCATTTGCCAACGAGGCCAGGCTCTACATGAAAGGTGCGGCTCGAGGTGCTGTTATCTATCATGTGTTCAAATTTATACTACTGTGCTAGGTACACGTGATCCATACATCCTTCACGATGAAGGTGCTGGCTTTGGACTCTGCTGGAAAGGCAATCCTAAATTACTTATCGGATTCCCGAACGACGTCAATGAACTTATTCAGGTATCAAGTGATACCATGTCTATCATCATTCCAAAGTAATGTCGTCTCAATTTACACTAACGAGAGGGACTGAACATCAAGGGTAGGTTCCATTGCGAGTGGGATGCCTCTCAAAACAAGCTGGATACCACTGAAGCGCACAGCGCTGTGCCTGGTTGCCTCAAAACCTGTGCCAAACTTGGCTCTGGTGTATGTTTTGGAGTTGGTGTTATCCTAGAACGGTCTTGCAGCAGCGAAGATTGTACATCTTGCTGCCCCGGTTCCTCCTTTGACCGTCATTGTCGCTTTTTCACCTTCCGGCCTCATCATGAAGTGCAGCTTGTGACTACGAAAACGGGAATACCTTGCCAGGTTAGATTATTCTTTCGATTGCCTTCCCTCGCTGATTGTTTTTAGACACTTCACGACTCCTATAAGGGCTTCCGATCTGACTTCATCCACCTCTCTGTGTCTTTGACATCTTCTCTGCATTCGAATACCTCCACCGATCCAACAAGCCCGAGCAGTTTCCATTTGACACCACACGCATTTGCTCATTTCTGGTCCTGGTGGGCACTCTTTGACGGCAATTTGTCCTTGCCAGTCAGACAGGGTTCATATTATCCCTCCAAAACGGTGTCCCCCAAGTTTGCTCGTCACCTTGCCACTGTGAAGTACCGATTAGTGGTGCCTCGCTTATTCATATCTCATGTTTACATTGATGACACGAGAGACTCCTGGGTTTCTGGAACCACCTCCTTTGTGGGCACCAAGGCTAACGTCGGCCATTTCCAAGCAGATATGCACCAAAGGGACCAAGAATCTATTGCTCCAGGCGACAGTCAGGATAGCATCAAGGTTGTGCGACATAAGCCCTTCTATGCAGCGGAGGTGGTCATGAAAGACATGGACCTTCGCGCGATGCTGGCCACCTTTTCTGAGCCCCTGAAGCAAGCCATTCCTCTGTCGTTCGAATGCGATCAGAATGCCAATAACTCCACAAAGCCGTCACCAATAAGCACTCCCTCCGACTGGATTGATGCCGACGATTTTGTGGAAACGGATTGGTCTTCCAAACATGAACCAGACATACAGCTCCTTCCATTGTTACTTTGTTCCAGATTAACTTATTTCAAGAAAAACGCTACCTCTGGAGCTATGGAGGGCAGCAAATTTGGTGTAGAGGATACGCACACGTGTCTTCTTGGAAGCGAGCCGTGTAAGCTATTTGAAGTGTTCCGCTTACTCGCCTTTCGTGCCTGATACCCGAATGTAGCTGTTCCACAGATTGAAGTTGACCTCGCCAATCATCGAATCAAGCAACTCCGGGACCTTGCCACCCTTGACCCTCACGCCAACGAAGGGGTATATCCAAATCTTCATCTGTGAAGCAATAACGTACTGAATGAAACGCCAGACCTCAAATTCTCTACACAGGATGACGGCCTTGCTACAAGACTACGTGAATCACTTACGAATGATTGAAATTCCTCACACAGGTTCTCGGAGCAGCAACATTGAAAACTATTATATGCCTTCTGAAACTGTTGAGGCTGACGAATGGGCAGAGTTTGAGAACGTCTACCAATTTCATGCTCCCAAGGTTTTCATGAACGATTCCATCCGTGATGTCCGGCGTTCTTGGTATGATTCCGATCTTGTTACTCATTACAATCCACAGGTCATGCTACAGTACTATAACTGTTCAAAGGCGCGACAGGGATTTGAGTATCATATGGCAACGCGGTTCGTGAATCATTGACATACACTCTTGACTTCCCCTTAATCATTTACGGCGTCTAGTGCTGTCAAGTTCATCAGGGACCAGGCTGAAACTGTTTTGTCAACTGGGCTCCCAACCGATCGTGGGAAACTCAAGGGCCCCGTGAATACAGCTCAGACTGTTCTAAAAAGAATCTTGAATCGGGATCGCAATGACGTCTCGATCGAGGTTGACCATGACGTCGCGGATGGAGATGGTGCCGTCAATCCTCTTGTTGGCTGGGACGAAGGAGTGGCATTGCAAAAACGCCATTTCTGCCTGCTTTTGAAGCCTCAGATCGTTTTGCGCAGTGAAGGAAGTAGTGATTCCGTTTCCGTCTTGGCTGCTGTTCAGGCTAAGCTGCAATCGTTCACGATCATGGACAAGTCTAACCTGGAGGATCCGGTCACCGGTACCATCATGACTAGGTAGGGTTCGAACTTTGGGTAGTCATATACCAAACGCCTCACTTCATGACAGGAGTTACACGACTTTGGACGGTCTCCAGACATTCTGTCCTGTAGACTTGGAATCTTGTGGCGATGGATGTGTGCCACTAGAAGTTCTCATCGACTACCGTTGTGAAAGTGACACCTTCGACCGAATAGTCCCCCAGACAAATGCTACGTGCCAGTACGATCGGTTTAATCGCCTTCGTCTACGTAATAATGTAACATCGGTCACTCGGTCTGTTTTGGACAATGAGCACCGTCGAGGCAAATATGCTCATTTACAGAATGAGATGGTGAGACTAGCGTGTATGACTTTCCCGTTCTTTAATGACAAACTGGCAGGATCTGGTCCATGTCCGTGTTCCTCGGTTCACTGTTTCTGCCAGCGACCGTCATTTCCAATCCATATCTAACATCATCACAAACCTCATACTTTTCTCCGATGCCGCTCACAAAACTCGTTTGGAGAAGATTGAGGCTTTGCTCTTTGCCTATGACTTTACAGACTTCACATCCGCGGCAAATGTTGTCTCGGATCTACAAAGTCGCCTTAGAAACGCCCTTGAGACGCGGAGGGATGCTGAAAATCATGCGCTATCGGCCGTCTCTGAGACCAGGCTGGAAATAATCAAGCTCAAGGCCCATATCTTCCTCCTGACTGAGGAACTTAACCTGATATTCGATGCCATCAAGTTAGCCCAGGATCGAGCCGATGAGCGCTCAGACCAGAAGTCAGCGCTTCTGCTTCTCGCTTCTTCTTCGGAAATTTCGTGGCAAATGCTAGATGATAACCAAGAACTTCTTGCAAAGCTCGCAGTCCGCGACATCGATTTCTCTTGGCTCAGTAAACAGGACAGCTCTACGATGACTAATCTCGTGGTGGGAGACCTTCAAGCATTTGACGGTTCTCCTCATGCTCCTTGGCCTGAGATTGTATCCAAATTTGAGGACCCATCTAATCACCCCATGTGCAAGGTACGCCCTCTGACCTCGCTGGCCTATCTCTTTAACATGATACATTCCAGAGAGGAGTCTTTCTTGATGCTGATTGGGCAGTGCTTGCCCCTGTAGGGGGTATTACTATCTATGAAAAATTCCAGCTTGATTTCCATCCAATCAGACTCCAGCTAGACGCCAGTCTCGGTCAGCGAATCATGGAATATGTCTGGCCGGCGCGGAGAAGTAGGAACAGGGGCATCGACACCGTATCTCCGCGTGATACTCACCATCCCAAACCTCGAGCGTCATTGGATTCTTCTAAACTCATTCAGCCACGCTCATCGCTGGACTCCACTAGTCTTACTCCTCCTTTACGCAAGTTGGGCTCCTCAAGGTCGTTCACAGATCTGCGGAGTACGGCGGCAGATTCCATGATCACGTCGTATCCTGCTGCACAACCCAATCAGCGTTTTTTGACAACAGATGCGCTGGATGAATCTCGTCGACATAGGCACGCGATAATGCGACAGGTATCATTGGAACACAAGACTGATTTCGATGAGATGAAAACACGCTCCTCGCAAAAAAACTTTGTGCTTGTTAAGATCTCAAGGTTAGTTCACAAGAGGTGATGGATTGTGCACGAGGATGCTCACACCGATTTTTTAGTTTGGAGCTGCTGCTAAGCATCATGAAGGCCTCGTCCTTTGAATGCCGTGATGCGCGCATTCGAACGCACGCGTTGGAGATTAGAAACCAGACCTGGAGTGTATGTTATATGATCTATACACTCAATATTGTTGACTAAGTTCGACATTGCAGTTCGAAGAGCTGGTTGATCAATTTATTCCATCAGATCTCACATGGAAAGGCTGGGTCAAAATAGCTTTGCATCAACCATTGGTTCCGGTCTTCCCTGTGGCTCGAGAGTTATTATCAAAAACGAAGCTGACAGCTTCCAAAAGCGTCTCGCAGCTAGATCCTCGAGCCCCTCGTAAGCTGAAACCAAAGCGAACAGATACCAACTCGACAGCCGTACCAGCGAGACCAAGGACATCATCCTCGTTTGGTACCAACCCTAGTATATTTACTGCGATGTCTCTCACGGACGAGCCCAGCGACATGGATGAACCGACTCTCGTACCTACTGTGCCAGATATCAATCGTCCGTCAAGCCGCGCCCGGCTGCTGAGTGTCTTCAGTCGCAGCAGAAAGAGTCTAGACGATGCAAGTGATTTTACTTGACTTGTTACATGCTATTGACTTCTTTGTGTAGTCGGGATGTCAGTCTGTGGATCATGACTCCAAGGAAGGTCTCTAATGGATGTTATATATCTTATTATCTTCTCTTACTTTATTTCGCCTACTGTACGTGTCAGGGCCAGGCCCCATGGGCCCGTGACGTAAAGTTTCACGAACGTGTTGCTATTAATACTTATTCTGCTCCGCCGGCGCTACGGTAATCATTTGCTCCAGACACCTCCCTTAAGTTCTACTTTTCGAGAAAGAGACGGGCAAATGCCTTCAGTCAGGATAAGGAGGACTTCATCTACATATGTTCTCCTCCCCGCCAGATTCGACGATGTTATCGAGCCGTCATTATCGCGGTCCATGACGGTACGCGGACAACGTAGTATGGGCAATATTCCCAAACCTACTACTACCACCACTACTAGTGGGAACAAGCAACGCTTGAGGAGCCACACCACAAGTGGGGCATTTGAGTCCGTCTCCCGCCCTCCCATTAACCGTGAATGGTCTCGGTCTAGAAGCAAGGTCGTTGAGCACGTTCTTGCCTCTCGCAGGCCATCCGTATCACCTCCATCACCTCCGTCACTGTCACACCACGGTACTCCAACTATAGACGGCTATGGGACCATCAGGAATAGGTTGCAGGTTTCTCAGACCGACATTTCGACCCACATCCAATCCGACAGGGCACCCGGTATCATAGAAAGCGCACTCCAACTGCAGCAAAGCCAGCACCTTGACGAAAGTATTGACCATCATGATGATATAGTGGATCATTTGGATGCAATTGGTATTATTGATTTCTTTCAGTGATGTTACATTGTTCTTATGCCTCCAGATCCCCAGGTCGCTACTGTATCCAGCCTGGCCAATGCCGCTAATTGTATTTTAATGCAAGTGTTCTTCATGTTCAGATGGATCAATCAAGTTAAACGATTGTATCAGCCCTCCATCAAACTTCTACTCTCGAAAACCAGTAATTGCGTTATTTTATCCGAGTGGGCGACAAGTTTTAGACATGGAATCCACTGGACATGTCCAATTTGATAGCATGGACGAATCATTAGACAGACATGTCGAAGACGTCCTGACCGGTCGATCCAAGGCCAGACGTAAACTTCACGGTGTTTGGTCATTTTTGAAAACTCGTCAGTGTGTCTTCAGTCATTTGTATTTCAATGTTTGTTCATCTCTTCGCAGCGATAGGCGTGAGTCCGGTGTATAGCAATGCGATTTATTTATGGGTCACTAACTGATTCCAGATCATAACGGGCATTTACGGTTTTCTTGTGGGTACGTAGGTCTATCGTGCTCTATTCTTAGGTGCTGACCTTTCACAGTGTTCTGGGGAGCTGCGCTAGTGTTATTCTTGCTGAAATGGATTAATTTACACAATGCAAATACCCAAGGTTTTTGGGTCGAAGTATGCTCCCAAGTCGTGTGTGGTCCGTCGTTGTATATCACCCCTAAACTCCCATGACCATTTTCCCAGGTTTATTCACCGTCACCGGTATTGGCCTGATCCCTGCGCGTGCTCTCGATACCTATAGTGGGCCCTTGTGATCTTTGATCTCGTCGCAATAACCGATATTTGAAACAGGAATCTGTAAAATTTGGCACTATAAGCATAGGACAACGAAGCTACGAGATAAAGCTAGTCTCCCTCAGCTACTCGACGTTGATGACTTGCCCGATCCTGTTTATGACCCTACCTTTGTTCATGTTCTCACTGAACAGGAACAACAGGATTTACATCATCGTACGTACCCAACTCTGTGGCGGCTCATGATAGGCGTCGCTCACTTCTGTGATGCAGAACAGGTCAAGTTTCGCGAGAGTCAGACATGGTACCGCCCACATGGTACTGTGACTCACCGAGTGAGTTCTTTCATATCTGTTGCACGATAATGCATTGTTGATACCATTTGGAAGGCATTTCCAATCAAGTGCGTTCTTCTGGCTCGGGTTATATCCCTGCTCATGTCCGCAATGCGTATCACAGTACGGCACTCTGGATATGTCTCTTGACCGATGGAAATTCGGCCTTTCAGGTAAATGTCATGAAAGGCGAAACGACACCTACTTACTAGTGTTCAGGTCATATTGTCGAGTTGCATGTGGTCTATGAACCGGTAAGCTCCTTCTGATGCTAAATTTGTATCGACCTAATTCTCTCCGCGCCAGATTTGAACGACCGGCGTGGACCACAGGTACACTCATTCCCGCATCATTTTTGTGCGGCATAGTTGCGGCGATATTGATTTGGCGAGGTGGCCAACTGACTAGACGTACGGAGAAGATCCAAAATACCCTAAGAACAGCACTTGCGATGGACAACTACGATGGCCTTTTGCACGCGCCAACCATAAATACCTCGACAAATCCTCCTAATGATATCCCTGAGCAGGCCAGTACCGCCAGTACAACTGACTTAAACACATCTTCGGAGAAGCATGATGATAGCGGTGCTATTCCTGCTTTTCCAGCAGCGTCGCCTGCCATTGTAGAAGACACGAAACCCATGATGAAACAGACGATTGACAACTTATGAGCCTATTACTATACCTTGTACCTTCACTCATATCTTGAATGTATGTCGAGACCAATATAGAACGTCATGCTAATATCATTCATTCCATGGTACGCGATACGGTACATTAAGGATTGTTGAAATCCGACACTACGAACATAGACGCGCTAAGCTCCTGCCTCACTCCAGAGGCACTTTGCGGGCCCACAAAGCAGCAACTATCTGTTGCCTGTCCATGTTGACGACCAGATCGCCGGACACTGTTTTCTTTTTCTTGCGACAACTACCCGAGGTCAAGTGCAGGCCGGTTCCCCGACAGAAGGGCCATGATAATTTAACCACTTTGTGGGCGCTGTTGAAGCGCAATGTGTAGAGAATTAGGCGTTAGCTCTGGCCCAGCGTGCGGCAGCAACCAAGTTGGCCAAGGAAGCTTCAGTTTCCTTCCAGCCACGAGTCTTCAGACCACAGTCCTGTTAAAAGGTATGAGTTGTGGGTTTAAAGTATACACTTGATATTTCACTTACAGGGTTGATGAACATAAGATGGTCGGGAATGATGGTCAGGGTGGTCTTGAGACGGTCAATGATCTCTTGCTCGCTAGGCACACGAGGAGAGTGGATGTCGTAGACACCAGGACCAATCTGGTTGGAGTAGCCGTATTGCTTGAAGGTGTGGAGGAGTTTCATGTCACTCTTCGAGAACTCGATAGAGATGACATCGGCATCGAGACGCTGGATGGAGGGGAAGATGTCACCAAAGTCGGAGTAGCAGAAGTGAGAGTGGGTCTGAGTAGCATCGCTCACACCAGCGGTGGAGAGCTTGAAGGTGTCCACAGCCCATTCCAAGTACTCATCCCAGTCAGAACGACGGAGAGGAAGCTGAGGCTTGATTAGGAGCGAGTTAATCTGATCACACGAAAACACTTACACCCTCACGAATGGCAGGCTCGTCGACCTGGATGGCAGCGATGCCGGCCGTTTCGAGATCAATGACTTCATCACGGAGCGCAAGAGCGAGCTGCTGTGACTGCAGCTTACGTGGGACATCGTCACGAGGGAAGGACCAGTTCAAGATGGTGACAGGGCCAGAAAGCATACCCTTCATGGGCTTGGTGGAAACGCTCTGTGCGTAACTACTCCACTTGACGGTCATAGGCTTGGGACGGCTGACGTCGGACACGATGATGGGAGGACGGACATAACTGTTGGTAAAACAATGAGCTTCGATTACTCAACTTTCCTCGTAGTGCGATGCTCACCGAGATCCGTAGCTTTGCACCCAGGCGTTTTGAGTGAAGACGAAGCCATTTAGTTGTTCACCAAAGTATTGAACCATGTCGTTACGTTCAGGCTCGCCGTGGACGAGGAGGTCAAGGCCGACTTTCTCCTGGAACTTGACGACCATCTCAATCTCCTTCTTGATGAATTCATCGTATTCAGCCTCAGAGATCTCACCCTTGCCGAGCTTGGCACGGGCAGTACGGATCTCTTTGGTCTGAGGGAAGGAACCAATGGTAGTGGTGGGGAACCTGGGCATCTTGAGGTGCTTAGCCTGGACTTCCTTGCGAATGGCGAAGGGGCTCTTGCGGTTGTACATGTCAGGGGTAATGGCAGCAACACGCTTGCGAACAGCGTCGTCCGAAGTGGACTCGAACTCGCGACGCTTGGCAATGGAGACCTTGTTGGCCTCAAGGGCAGCAGAGACCTTGGGGTCTTGAGAGCCAGAGAGAACAGCTGCAATGGTGGCAACTTCGGACGCCTTCTCAAGGGCGAACGAGAACCAGTCTCTTTGCTGTGCGGTGAGCTTCTTCTCGGAAGCAAGAGTGACAGGAGTGTGCAAGACAGAGGAAGAGGTAGCAACGATGACACGATCAGCGCCAAGAGTAGCGATGGCAGTCTGCGCATACTTGATGGCAGCTGCAAAGTCGGCTTTCCAAATGTTACGTCCGGAAACAACACCAAGAGAAAGCACGATGGGAGTGGACTTGATGGCAGCAAGAACCTCGCCGAGCTGCTGGGGTGCACGGACAAGATCGATGTGGAGGCCAGCAACGGGGAGCTTGGCAATGAAGTTGATGTTGGAGTCCAAGCGGTTGAAGTAGGTGGTGAGCATGATCTTGGGAGCAACAGGGACAAGCTCAGCGTAAGCAAACGCATATTGTTTGTCTAGTTCGGCGCCCTTGTCGAGAACAAGAATGGGCTCATCGATCTGGACGGATTCGACACCGGCAGCCTTGAGCTCAGACAGGAGCTGCTTGTAAACAGGCAGGATCTTAGGGAGCAACGAGATGGGTTGGAAGGTGGGAGATGCTTCCTTGGCAGCCTTGGCAAGGATAAGGTAGGAGATGGGGCCGAGAACGACTGGGCGAGTGACAACGCCGACCTCCTTGGCCTCCTTGTACTCGGCAAGAACCTTGTTGTATAGGAGCTTGAAGTCGGTCTCCTCAGACAACTCTGGAACGACAAAGTGGTAGTTGGAGTCGAACCTGAAACATCAAATCAAATTAACAACACCATTTAGGGTCAGTGAAACTAAGACACGTGCCATTTCTTCATTTCACAGGCGGGGACATCAACGCCGTCAGCCTGGCGACCACGACCCATAGCGAAGAAGACATCGAGGGCAGAGAGCCCAAGACCCTGGTAACGCTTGGGGATGGCGTTGAATGCTGCAGAATGATCAAGAACGTGGTCATAGAGTGAGAATTCTCCGCTATGAATAGATTTATCATATCAATATATATCTTTAATCTTGAAGAGAGCACCAACCTGGGGATCAAGTCGACACCTCGTTCTTTGAGGCTAGTCCAGTTGTACTTCTTGACATCGGCAGCAGCCTTGATCAAATCCTCTGCGGAGAGTTTGCCAGCCCAGTAAGCTTCAACGGCCTTCTTCACCTCACGGTTTGCACCTGTCAATCGGGATCAGATATGTCTGGTTTATGATGAAGATGATCTATGTACCGATGCGGGGGAAACCAAGAACGCTTGATGAAACCATTGTGAGTGAGTTATGGAGGTAGGAAGAAAGGAATGAAGAGTATCTGGTTGCGTGATTCTGAGTTATAAAGGCTCATCTGAGTTTGCGCCTGCCCTGAGTTGACAATAGCAATCGATCAATTGAAAGATCTAATCAATTTCCACGACACACGCCACACTGAACATTTTATCTGCTGGCATTCTCGTGACCAGTCCATGAGGCGAGTTGACGATAGACAATTCCTGAAAGCGTTCGTATGCTTCTCCATCCTCTCCCATGAACATGGGAGTCTGCTTCGCACACGCCTAAACACTCTCCCATTCTATCAACGCTCACTCAATAAATTACCAGCCCTATCAAGTGTCTAGCTTATTATGGTCTCTTGAATCAAAAATCCGATGGCTTGATTACAACTCACTAGCCAGATTTAGACTAAACGTACGCTAGAATACAACTAGTACCAATCAGAATATCTTAAACCGTGAAACTACATTGCGAAATGAGAACCGACGGGGTCGCTTTGCCCTCATCTTGACAGGCATGCGAGCAAGTATCGGTTCGTCAAGTGTTTGCCCCTCAGACAAGTCTGCCACGTCAATGGCAGGCTCATGGGCATGCGTTTCCGGTGTGATGGGTCCCTCGCTCTCTACCCCTGAAGACACAGAACGTGTAGAACAGCTCGAAAGGCTATCCCGTGACTCGTAAAGTCGATAGTCTTGTGGCTCGAAGGTTTGAATATGGAGTTGTGAGGGCGTCCTGTTGATGCTCGCGGGCGGTAGGTCGCTAGGTCGTCGAGATGTAGGCGCTGGGCCGCAATAAACCCACTCAGGATAAGGGGGACCGCCGTCAGAGTAGCAGCCAGATTTCGTCGGTGAGCAGTTAACAAGAGTTGTGTCGCCTACGACTTGATTGAACAACAAATCAGTCAAAGGTGCAGCGCGCCTATGGTAGTCATCGCGAGCAGCTTCTTGCGCGCTGTCCGATGCGTCGCGGAGCTCGGCATCGCTCATGTAGAAGGTGTCAAGTTTGAGGATCTCTTCTCTGAGCTCAGGAAGGCTGATTCGCGAGAACGGTTGTAAACGAAAGATGCGCTTGAGTATCTCATTGAAAGCTTTCGAGATAGGAAGGATCTCGCGAAGGAAGTCCACATTATAGAGATACCCGAGGAAGCCCTTGTCCGAGGGTGTCGCGAATCGCCAAGGATTGCGACCTGAGACCATGTTCACAAGAATAACTCCCAGTGACCAGATATCCGTGTGAAGCGGTGAGTAATGAGGGTACTTCATCTCACGACTAATACATTCTAGAATGTGGTTCATCAGATAGTGCACCTATGCAATTTGATATTGGAACGTACCAGGACTCATATAATATGAACTGCCTACGCCAAATTCCTGACTGATACGACTTTTGGTCGCTAGCCCGAAATCGGCGATACGAATATCCAACCCGCCTTGACAACACAGAATGTTCTCTGGTTTGAGGTCACGGTGGTACACACCTAATTGATGACAGGCGTGTACGCCATCGAGAAGCTCGACGAATGCCCTCTTGATGAGCGGGACATTGTTCTGGTAGACACGGTTCTCGATGATGGCGGTGTAAAGGTCCCCACCTGGGCAGTAGTCGAGTACAAAGTAGATGTAAAGTTCTTCCTCGATGATCTCGTGAAGGGTGCAGATATGTGGCGACGAGCTGGATACTAAGGAGTGCAATAAGGTCTCACGTCTCTGGCATACGAGGCGCTCAGGGGAGAGTTCCGTTTTTGGCAAGCACTTGATTGCATAGTAGACAGGTTCGCATGGGTCTGATCGAGCATCGAGAGCGCGATAGACGTTTCCGTAGGAACCAGAACCAATCATATCGACGAGCTCGAAGCGACCGTTGCCGACGATCTGACCTGAGAAGTTTGGGAGGGCTTCGCTATAATTCATGATGCTGATCAGTATGCTGAAAGTAACGAAGTTGTTCCAAACGAGATGTGATTGTTGAACTTGCTGAGCGTCAGTACTTCTTTGTTGATGAATCGACGTTGAGGTTAGTGTCAAGGGATAAGGAAGGGATCGCCCATGATTTTATACTGTCGGTTGGTCTCACTTGATGTTAGCCATGAATTACCCGAAAAGGCATTGCTCCTAAAGCAATGACGACATACCTGATTAGTCCAACTCCAAATCCAAATTATAGTACAAGTTGCGCTCTAGAACATCTGGTCACGAGTTATCAGAATCTATCCATCGAGACCAGTCGTCACGGGTCTGGTACGGCCCAAAAGCCTGCGGTCCGGATTCCTACAGTGACTCGCTTTTAAGTCCGAATCATCTTCCCAACCCCACCTTGTTTTTCTCATCATGTCTGACAACCCATCATTCGTGCTTAAGGGCATCCTGGATGTTGAGATTCAGCAAAAGCCAATTCCACAGAGTGAGTCTATCTTTGGATGGTTCCTTCACGCTCCCTAAATCGCCCTATCCTGTAAAGTTGACCCCAATGAAGTCCTTGTGGAAGTGAAGAAGACAGGTGTGTGCAGAGCCTCTTTTTCTCTCACAATATGTAGGCTCATTCGGCACGACAACAAGGAATTTGCGGCTCAGACGTACGCCCCTATCTATTGTTCTGAGTCAAGGATACCGAGCAATCTCCTCCAGGTACACTTCCTTGTCCACGGAAGAATTGGAGATTTCGTTGTGGAGAAGCCCATGGTGGGTCAGTTCGATAGGATCCACGGCTGAGCCTCATCGTTATCTATTAGGTGCTGGGTCACGAGGCGGCAGGCGTGGTCTCGAAAGGTACGTACATAACTTGCCTCTTACTCAGAATAACACTTTATCTCGACCTTCAACTACAGTTGGTTCCAGGGTAACCAATGTCAAAGTGGGTGACCGAGTCGCTATGGAACCTGGCGCAACATGTCGCAAGTGCGAAGCTTGCAAGGAAGGTCGCTACCAGGTATGGATGATTGATGCCGCAATTTTGTTTCATGACAATCCCGAGTAGCTTTGCCCCGATGTTATCTTCGCCGCCACTCCTCCTACAGATGGCACTCTTGCTCGTTACTACCGCCTACCATCCGATCTCGCTTACCCACTTCCACCAAACCTCAGTCTCGAGGATGGAGCGATGGTAAGCGGTTAACCACATCACATTTACTGGCATTTGACTCTGTTCTAGATGGAACCTCTTTCCGTGGCAGTCCATGCAGTCTCGAAGCTCGGTGCTTTGCGGTCGAACCAGTCCGTCGCCGTCTTTGGTTGTGGACCGGTTGGACTTTTATGCATGGCAGTCGCGAAAGCTCTTGGCGCTTCCCGTGTTATCGCTGTTGATATCGTTCCTAGCCGCCTCGAATTTGCCAAAGCATATGCTGCAACTGACGTTTTCCTACCTCCTCCTATGGAGAAGGACGAATCGAGAGTCGCGTTCTCGATGCGCAACGCCAAGGCGATGAATGAGAAGCTCGGCATCGCTGATCGTGGACCTCAGGCAATTGACCTGGTTTTGGATGCTTCCGGCGCGGAGGTCTCTATTCAGACTGGTATCCGAATCGTCAAGAGCGGTGGCACCTACGTCCAGGTAGGCTGAAATAGACAGCACTGAAGGGTCCATCTGATTGAGTATGGATAGGTCGGAATGGGTAGCCCCAATGTCAATGTCGATATGTTTGTTGTCATTTGCAAGGAACTCGTCCTCAAAGGCTCCTTCCGATATGGCGTAAGCTCTTTTTTTTGTCATTCTTTCTCTCGGAAGCATTACCTGACACTTGTTGAATGCAGCCCGGTGACTACCCTCTCGCCATCGCCCTCGCTGCGTCAGGCAAGGTTGACGTCAAGCCCCTTGTGTCGCACCGGTATGCCAGCTGTCGAAACATATATCCAATGTTTGTCGTGCTAAATGTTTCAATAGCTTCCCATTCACGCAGGCGCGCGAAGCATTTGAAACTACTCGCAATGGCAAGAGCCCCGATGGTAAGGGGGTCATCAAGGCCATCATCTCTGGACCTGATGTCGACATCAACGAGGCTTGAAAACTAAGTACATGAAGTATTATGCATTTGCAGGGAAAAATAGTACCATGATCATGTGTTTCGATTATTATTTTGTGTATTGTATGCGAATTGCTGCTGTTCAACGAGATATGATGCATCTGATAGCGCGTCAAAGAAAGATTTAGAAAGAACAGCCAAGGAAGGTTTTTCCACGGTGTCTTGCTTTTCCTGCACGTGGCAGCGACGGGATCAAACGTTAACAGGACTTAAGTTACGTCATCATGATATAACTTTTCCCCCGCACTGCGCGAGGAAATACTAAGGACTTCGGCCTTGCGAGCTCGGAGACTCGCGATATTTTACGACTGTGTTTAGTGGGCTCTGGTACTAGAAAATAGGTTGGACACACCAGCCCTACGTTTCAAGCCAGAGTTCCTCCGTTGTCTCTACCGTACATGGCTGGGTTCAGCGTACGGAATGCATACTACCTTCGCGTATCAGCAAGTTCAGTGATACCTCTGTATGTAAGCACACATCCGGGCCTACTACGCGACTTGTTCCAATGACCGCCATAATCAGCTCTACCTCGATGAAAGACATGTAGATTGGATGTCGGACACAGTGCTACAGCATGTTCTGGCTGATCTGCGACCACTGTTAGTCTGTTCGCTCATGGCTCTCGTGAATGTTTCTCAGATCTTTTCAGTGTTCTGCCAAAGTTACAAGCCGAGAAAGACATCCACTTTGGTCCCGGGGCCTCGAGTGGGAGGAAGGGAGCGGTAGACGTTCATCGGGGAGGTGCGGTTCTTACTATGTGTGCGAAACTGCAAATACAGCATATAACCTACCTGCAGAGACTTATCAGGCCGCCTTTTTCTTTCAGAAGACGGAACCTCATAATGTAATCATTAAGGTGCGCGCAAGCTAACTCGGTTGTATTGCTTCCAAACGCCCCCTGACACCCTTCAGACGCGTTCATTTGTTCCAGCACCTCCACCTGCTTTCAAGGCCAATATACCCCCATCACAACCGGAAAAGTTCAAGACCAGAAGTGGGAAGAGGAAAGGCAGAGCGTCGGAGAATAAGGATGCTCGAGCAGCTTCTGGCCGCAAGAAACGGAAGATGAAAGGCAGAGCTCGAGGTTATAGTGATGAAGAGGACGAGGAAGTGGAGGAAGTCATAAGCCTCTCAGATGGCGACAGTGAAACAGAAAAGATACCAGGAGCTTCTCGAGAAACTCCTGCTACGACTCGACGCTCGCAGAGAATGAGAAAGGTTTCTGTCGGGGGCTATCGTGAAGACGTCGAGGACTCTTTGGACATTAGTCCTGATGAACCCTCGGATGTGGAGATGGCTGTTCTAATGGAGACTACCCAGCAAGACGAGGTCCCTGCAGAGCAACTCAGCGACCACGATGTCCTGGTGATGGATCACAGCACTGAAACATCAACCACTGTTAAACAAGAAGATACAGAAAATTCCTTGGAATCCACTATGGAAACCACTCTTGATCCAGAAACCGTCGTAATTACTTCTGAGCCAAGTCGACCGTTCATAGAGATCGATGACGAAGACGACAAAAAGGACAAGCTAGCACTGAAGCTCAAATATCAAGGGTTCAACATCTTTGGCCGTTGTCTCTGCGTAGTCGTGGAGCCATGGCCTCCAATTCGATCTGCTACGCGAGCACCATCCACAATGCCTTTGACAAACGAAGCATTAAGAGGCTCGACTATCGCACCCCCTGATTTTGTGCCTAGCAATAACAACCAAAGAGCCCGCACACCTCTCTTCCTGCCAGAGTTTGACAGAGGTAGAAGCCTGACTCCCGCTCCTTTTCCTCGAGCAAAGACCTTGCCCCCAGTTCCCCTCTTCAATGACTCTGCCTCCGATTCTGATGATGATGGCTGTGATGATCTTATGATATTTAGCCAGGCACTCAATGCAGCTGGTGGCATGCACGTTGCAGCTGCAGATGACGATGATGAAATAGACGGAGCGGTATTATTTGGGGATGCAGATGAGGTGAGGGAGTTTTCGTAGTAAGGCTGTGTACATCGTGTATTAAATATCTAAGCTCGGTCATAATTTTATGCGCGCCCAATCTCTCTTAATATCTCCGACCTACGTGTATCAGAGACTTGTCTGAATCCTGCGTTCAGCATGTCGAAGAGACCATGTCCCCCAGACAATGCACGAAGACGGGTCGAATAATCCAGCATGCGGCTAAGCGGTGCAACTGCATGAATGGTGCGTTTGAGCCGTGGGGTATCATTTGAAAACTTGGATGACGTAGAGGCAGCGGATGAAGGCGATAATTCTTCTGGAGGGATGTACAATCCATCTGTGGAGTACGGAACTACTTCGTCTCCATCCATATCTGCCGTGTCGGAAGCAAGGTCCAAAACTTCGCCACCGTTTTCAGTGAGATCTTTGACAACCTTTCCCATAGTGTTCTCAGGAAGAGATATCTTGAGTTTGATAAATGGCTCTAACACGGGACCCATTCCCGCTTCTTCTATTCGCGTTCGTAGAATGGAGGAACTAGCACCAGCAAGGATGGACGTTGGAATGTCGCGTGGAAGGTTGTACTCTGTGACATGGATCTTGATGTGAGAGAGCGGCAGGGACGTGTGCGGCGAATTCGATAGAGAGCTGGACAAGCCCCGAGCAATATTGGCCATAGGATCCAGCTGATCCCGGAAGGCATCCAAAGACAACAAAGGCTTTCCACCTGGGCCCAGGACAAGATTACCATCCCAAACTGGATCCCCCTGCTCGTCGTCAGCAAGAGGCTCCACCGTCATCAGGATCTTGATCGTGACTGGCTTTCCTGCAACTTCAGTGGTCCAATTATTTACATTGGAGCTAAGCCCAGGTCCCAGAGATTCACGATAGCTGACACGGCGGCTACCCAATTCAAAATTGACATCCCATTCGTCCCGTAGTCTCCCCTCGATAATCTCGAGATGTAGGGCACCTAATCCGTGGACAAGTAATTGGCCCTCCTGCATGTCGACCCGAACAGAAGGGTCCGTGCGAGATAGAGCATGCAAGGCCTCTTGTACTGGGTCGAGGTCAGAATGGGACTTGGGTATGACGGAGGCCGACATGACTGCGGGTGGTGGAACTACCCCTCGAAGGGATGTTTGCGATGAATTAGACGAGCGGCGGGCATCAACGAGAGTGTCGCCTGTGCGAGTGAACTTCAAGCCTAAGATGACTCCGACAGAGCCGTACGGTAGGGACTCGACTTCCTGTGTTTCCGCAGCATATAAGAGAAGAACCTTTGAGATTTTCTCTTTCTGGCCACTGGTAATGTTGAATACAGAACTCTGACGCTTGAGGGTTCCTAGTACACTCGATGAACAATACTCTGCGTGAATCATACTCAACTTACCGGAATACACGCGAACGAACGTCATCCATCCTTTGCGTTTATCCCAGCTCACCTTCCATGCTAGGAGGCGCAGTGGCCCATCAGCTGACTCCGCGTCCAAACGCACATCCATCGGGCTTGCCAGGAGCTCGCCAACGTAGTTCATTACCAATTCTGTTCCAATACTTTTCATCGCAGAACCGCAAAGAACGGGAAGAACATCATTGCTTAGTGTAGCTTTACGAAGATGTGGCATGATTGCGGACCCCTCGAGATCAAGGTACGATGAGGGTCCTGGCGGCAGAGCGAGGAGGTGCTCCATCAATTCATCAGAGTACATCGAAAGGTTTTCCAAAAGAGTTGTCCGAGCGCCCACAAGGTGAGGTATTATGGGATGGTTTTCTGGAAGGATACCGCTTGTCTCGAGTTCTTCGACCGTTCTAGGAAGTGATTGTGTAGTAGAGTGACCGTCTTCCGTCCATTTCCAAATTTCCCATTTTACCAGATCGATCAGCCCTTGAATCCCTGGTTCGGCTCGCATGTAATCTTCGGTATGGAAGGAAGCGACTGGTAATGCTAAAGTCACTGGGTTTGAGTGCAGCCTATGGGTAAGTAGCGAGACCAATGACGACCTGAAAGAAGCACCCGGTCGGTCAAGTTTATTCAGAAACATAAGCCTGGTTGGAACACCATATCTAAAGATGAATTTAGAAACATAGGTGGTCGAAATAAGATATGCGCTTACCGGTCCAGTTGTCGCCAAACGCCCTTGGTTTGTGCTTCGACTCCTTCCACTGAATCGATGAGAACGACAGCCCCATCGACAACGCGACTTGCACTCTCCACCTCCATGCCGAAGTCAGCATGACCTGGTGTATCTATGAGATTAAAGGACCATTTGTCCCACTTGACCGGAATGCTCGCAGATTGGATTGTGATGCCGCGTTCTCGTTCGGCAGGCAGGAAGTCTGTCGTGGTGCTGCCAGTGTCAACTGATCCAGGGGCTTCCAAGTAGGCCGACTTGTGTAGTATGGACTCCGTAAGCGTAGTTTTCCCAGAGTCTGTGTTTTTTTTCAGATTGGTTTATAAGACTTGTCCTGGCAGACGCACCGATGTGGGCTACCAGCGCCATATTTCTGATGAGAGAAGTCTCATCGTGAGACCCAGTAGCAAAAAACCGTCGATTAAGGAACTTCAGTTGGCAATCCCTCACTGGTAGCCATAAGACCCTACAAAGCATGACCTACAGACCAATGCGCGGAATAATCCGAGGAGACTTCGATAATCCTTGTGAATTCAACAAGACCAAACAGTCCCTCGTGCCCTTTTGTCTGGGGGATCATTGCATCGCAATCATTTGTTTGCAAGTACTTTATCTTCACAACACCCATGTCTTCCGATGTTCCGAAAAATTTTGAGGACCGATTACGACAGCGCACTTTTACTACTAGGAACACGAACACACTCGAAACTATACCCGTGAACCATCAACCTCATGAAAATATCCCGAATACGCCGCTTGCAGCATCCACGATATCTTTTCTCTTAGGATGCATCTTTTCTCTTGGTTTGACGCTCTTTCTTGTTGGAGGCATCTCTGATCGCTGGTGGGCCACATACCAACTGGGCTTCTTCCTTGCCGCCTGGTCTGGCTTCCACTGGGGAGAATTCGCGGTTACAGCAGGCTGGAACCGTGACAAATGCAGCGTTGACTGTGTGTTTGTCTTGTTCACTCTGAGATATATTACTGAATGATGTGGCAGCGTTCCTACTTGATAATGGCGCTATGTATCACGTCGCTAACGGGACTGCTCTGGTTGAATATCTAATCACATTGTACTTTAAACCATCGCTCAAGGCTTACCACTACATCTCAACAATTGGTTAGCTGTGATTGACTCGCAAGAATGAAGCTGATGCATCTCCGCTAGGTGTAGTTATGGCTGTCATCGGACAGGCGCTTCGTGCATCGGCAATGATACAGGCTTCGACCAACTTTTCTCATATCGTAGCTCTCCGCAAGCTGCCTTCGCACCGATTAGTAACTGATGGCGTATACTCGTAAGTAAAATTCTCTCGTCCATACCATTACATACACTCAAGCGATTCCACAGGATGTTCCGCCATCCATCATACGCAGGGTTTTTCTATTGGGCGTTAGGGACCCAGTTGGTCTTACAAAACCCTGTCAGCTCAATCGGCTTCGTGCTGGTGTTGTGGAGATTTTTCTCGCGTCGTATCAAAGGTATATTTATTATATCGGTCATGAATGCATTGACTGATTTCGGAGCAGTTGAAGAGACGGCATTGGTTAATTTCTTTGGAGAGGAATATGAAAACTATAGGCGACGGGTCAGCACTAACATTCCATTCATACGATAGACTTGGGGGCATTGAATCAAATATATTTTGGTTTGACGACTGGGGCCAATATCTTCAGGGTGTGTTCCTATGCCATAGGTAGGTCTAAACCATTTCGCTTTTCTTTCGATGTGACTTATGACCGACTTCGTAGAATATATGGGTAGAGTAGTTCATGGAGAGGATACATTAATACCATCCAGATTCTCGTGTAGTTTGGAGTAGTTTGAAGAAATCAAAGTTATGATTTGTACCCTGCTGGTGGGACTTCGACTTTCACAGACGTCTTGATCAGTTGTAAAATGTCATGCGTAGAACATAGGGTTGGTGGAGATTAATGCATACGTGACATGGAATTTTGTATAATACCCACTACCCTTACAAACCACAACCCGCCTACTCTTGAGTGATGGTCGTGCGGTCGGATACGTAGATACCATCCAAGAATTTACGGATATCCTTGTTTCGTACACGGCAGACACCCTGAATGGAGGCGGCTAAGACAGTAATTTAGATAAAATTAGTCAGCAGCGGGACGAGATCATGCACCTGATTGCGAAACATTCTCAATATCATTGCCCTCAAGAATAAGCTCGTCTTTTTGAGCCTTTGACTCTGAAATAGAAACACCACCGAGCATCTTTACGTGTCGTACAGTCTGTTCACTTTGAGCAAAAGCTAAAGAAATGTCGTGGATAGCGACTCACTTTTTCTCCCAGGAAATTACGGATCTCGATAGCGCTTCCACTATCTTGGATGATAGCGTTGATAGGGAAATGGGCATATACAGCGCGCATTTTGTAGAGGAAGCCCTGAGTTCTTAGTGAGCAGCGAACAACGCCCTGCACGTGGGTGCACATACCTTAGTCACACCAATGACCATGTTGTTAATCAAGCTTCGGATTGTCCGTAGACATGCGACATGCTTGCGCCCACCTTGCCACACTGCAAGAGTAACCTTGCTGCTCTTCTTGGTCTTCAACACCCGAATATCCATATCGACGTGACGGACATTCTTCGTAAGGGTACCCCGTGGGCCAGTGACTTTGATAACGCGTGACTTTATTTCAATGGCAACACCCTCAGGGACCTCGAGTTCTTCAGTTTGGAGGACGTCCCGCATCTACGTGTGAAGTCAGTTACTTCATTCGATATTGAGACATCCTCGATGCAGGTAGTCAATCCATCGCCATCCAGAGGTCCATTTCTCGCCAATTTTCTTCCAGAAACATATATGCCAACCCCCTGGAAGTTGACCCAGTCGCATCTGAATTCAGCATGAACTCACCTTGCGATCGTTGGTTTTCTTGAGGTCGGTGGGCGGCTGTGTACGCTCGGGGGTGGACAGAAGTGGCGGACAATTGCGAGCGGAGTTTAAAGTCTAATTAGAAGCGGCTATTGTCAGCCGCTTCTTCCACTCAAACCACCATCATCGTTTCCGTTGGGCTTCGTGGTCGTGTCATTGACAGCTGAGTAAGACCGCCATTGGAAAAACGGGTTTCTAGCGCCAGTCGGTCGTTCAAGAGTTTTGTGTTTTTACCAAGATCTTTACTTCTCCTCACTTTCTGGGTGAGATCGTGCTGCATTTGCGGTGACTGTCTCGCACTTCGTTGAGAATTTTTAAAAAACGACTGTCATGTACTCTCAGCCCCAGATGTACGGGCAGGTGGCTTATGCACAACCACCAAGCTATCATCAACCTGGACCTTCTGCTTACCCTTACCAGCAACCACCACCACCTCCCGCGCTTGTATACTTTGTGGATCCCAATTCTTTTCGCCGTGATTATGCAGCGCGACTGGCAGAACTTACCATTAACTCCAGACCTATCATTCAGACCTTATCGATGATTGCTCAAGAGTATTCAAAATGGGCTGAGATTGTCGCTCAATGTTTGGAAGCCCACATTCGAAGGGTGAGTCATCGTTGATATCGTTTTATGGCATGCTGCTGTCAGTTGGTAGTCGACACATGGCTATATCTGTTACTTTGCTGCGTTGTTCTGCGATTACCATGTACTTAGTTACTAGTCTCTTAGTAGTTTGAGTAAAGATATCCTCGCAAGGCCTGGTGGCCCCGCTGCATGGCGGATGGAGGACATCGTACTAAGAGAATTATGTCGCTCTTCTCAACGTGGCAGCCCAATGCTTTTCTTTTTTGATGGGTTGTATTGTGGACATGAAGCTGACTCATGCTTGCCTTTTTGGTGTGGTTTTCTCGCATGCCTAGGTTCCTCCGTGGATTAAGCTCCCAGGCTTCTACTTACTGGACGCGATATCGAAGAATGTTTACGACCCGTATACGCGCCATTTTGCTCCCTTCGTCATTGGTTTATTCCTGGAAACTTATCAGCAGGTTGATCAGGCAACTCGTAGCAAGATGGAAGAAATGCTTTTGACCTGGCGAACCGCCTCTCCGACTGGCAAGGAACTATTCGGTGTCATTCCACAACTTGCCATTGAGCGTGGAATATGGGGCGGCGATTCGAATACAACAGGGGTGAGTTACTTTCGATGATCCCGCCGCTTCAGCGGACTGAATATACTTCCTTAGGCAACATCCGGCCAGATATCAAGAGCACAGGTCTTGAGCGAACTTGAATTTACCCTGAGTCAAAAGGAACGTGCCCTGCAATCAAATGCTTGGGATACCACTGCACAGAGGCATGTACAAATTCTGCAACAGGTAAGCAATATTTTGCATCGTCACTGTCTGTACTCTTATCTTGAGCAATTCAGCTGCGCAAGCTTGTTGAAGCAGGTGTTTCTCAAGATGAACTCCGTCAAATCCTGACCCAACTGAGATCTCTGTCACAAGCCCCTCAACCTGCCGCGGTCGCTCCTCCGACAACTACGACATCATATCAATACCAAGCTCAGCCTGCATACCCTCGTCAAGCTACGCAATCTGCATTCCCGCCTCCAGTATCACAACACTCTCCCTCTACTACTTATACATCTTACGCCTTGCCGTCCATTAATCAACCTAAATCTGAACCGGTCGACTCTGCATCTCTTTTATCGAGCGTGAAATCTACAGGTGTCCCGTCAACTGACATCGCTGGACTTTACAGTGCTCTTTTAAAGGCTGGCATTGTGGCTGGCACTGGTACGCCCGTTGGTGCTGGAGCGATCGCTACTTCTGAGGACACTGTTACATCATCGTCAACATCATCTGAAACCCTGAGTCGGGATGCTGCAAGAGCATATCGCAAATCAGTTTTATCGCAGAACATTAGGCTAACGAACGCCGATATCACAAGGTATGGTTGATACCCTTTCGCTGCTGATTAGTGTTAATCTGGTAATGCAGAAAACGTCCTAATATTGACCGTTTGTTGTATGATCGATTGCCAGCCCAGTGTAAGCAGTGTGGTATCAGATTTTCGGATGATACACTAGGAAAGAAAGAGCTGGAGGACCATCTTGACATGCACTTCAGACAAAATCGTAAGGCAAATCAGAGCCTTGGCCGTGGACATTGTCGCAGCTGGTTTGTTGACCTTGATGTATGATTTCCATTTTTGTTAAACCCCAAACATACTCACTGTCTTTCACAGGATTGGGTTCATGAAGGTCGTGTGGATGTGAAGGGTAAAGGACGTGCTGACGGTCCTCGGCCTATTACCAATAAGGCTGCGCTTGCTGTAGATGCAGCACGACGTGATGCTGAGCTGCGCACGCAATTCGTCGTTGTACCATCGGGCGACGAAGCAAAGCTATTGTCTTGTCCCATATGTAAAGAGACTCTGAAGACAGAGTTCCTAGAGGATGACGAGGAGTGGGTCTGGAAGAATGCTGTTAGAAAGGATGATAAGGTGCGTCTCAGTTCGTCCACAATATGAGTATCTCAATAACATATTGGCCTAGATATATCATGCAACATGTTATGCTGAAGCTATGAGTTCGATGCATACTCTAGCTTCGAGATTACGCCAGGATACAGGCAATCGGAGCAGGTCTGGCACGCCAGATGCTTCCAGAGCTACGCCCCAAAAGGGCAATTCAAGTATACGGTCTTCCCAGTCCCGGTCACCCGACTCTAAACGCGCTACGCTCAAGCGCAAGGCGAGTGTTGATGATTGCAGTCAGTCGTCTGTCAAAATGGAGAATAATGGAACACCGCCTATGAAGAAGATGGCGCTTGCACCCTGAGAGTTGCATTATAGACTTTCCACATCTTTATTGGAATACTTATTGAGCATCATCACATGTATCAAACAAGCGCATATCATATACATCATGATTGAATTGACTTTGTATAATTGCGAGCTGCCCGAGTTTCTGGAAGTTTCAGCCACTTCAATGTCCTTGATTGTCATCAATACAAACGCCGGTTAGCACATGGTAGTACTTTGTAGTCTTTGTTCCACGCGTTTTCCGCATTGTCCGATAAACTGAATTTTTCACTCTCGGCTGCATGAACTCAACCAACAACTAGTACGTTCTATGCTATGTCATTTTCTGACCTTTCATCACTACAGCAAGCCGGTCATGGAAGTGGTGATTTTAAGCACAGTGAGGACCCTATCGCTCAGTACTCATTCAACTTCAAAGATCCCTTACTGCCCGAAATTGTAGCCCCATCTCCTCCGAGTACACATTTGTTCGAAACGCTAAAGAGTATCGATGAATTCTCGAGCAACCTGACTCTGAGAGATGTCGAAATGCAGGTACGCTATCATGCCTGCCTGGTCTGTCCCAACAGACTTCGTATTGATTGTTTGCACGCCACTCCTAGGCTCCTCTATCAGAGGAACTGACCGTAGTCGTCCTTGATACGAACATACTACTGGACTATCTTGATGTAATACAAGCATTCGTCACGGAGTTCGAAGAGCAGGGACTGCCTGTATTGATCATTATCCCGGGTGTTGTGATTTACGAGCTTGATGGGTGAGTACGGTAGCAAATTGCATGGATCTGTATGAAGAACGCTTATCTGATGAACTGTTTGCTAGGCAGAAGAATCGCGAAAGGCTCTCTTGGTTTGCCCGTAGGGCATCATCATGGTTGCTGAAAAAGGTGAAGGAACGGAGATCAGTCAAAGGCCAGGCCTTGAACGAGACATGCAAAGCTTCGGGAAATTGGAAAAAGAGGGACCTGGATGCTATACAGGTGAGTCTTGTTATAAGTCCTTGTTGCATCCTTGATGATGATTTTGATGATAGGAATTTGGTTCGGAACGTAGCAACGACAGTTTGATCATCGATTGCTGCAAATATTTCCTACGGCAACGGCGAACATTCTTGTGTAGCAAAGACAAACTTTTGATCGTGGAAGCTGAAAGTGAAAGTAGGTAGATAGATTTGATCTGTCATGTGCAAAGTTCTCATACGTAACCGACGCGGGAAGGTATATTGACGATATCACCCGGTCGGGGCACATTCTCCAGCCGTGATATTGCTCAAGCTCTCTTTGGGATCGAGGCTTCTCGCTTCAGGTTCAGCGGATACCATCCGACATACCGAGATTCACTGGATAATTTGATACAGGCGACGCCTGCGCTAGAGCCAGATGATGACGGAATGGATATCGACGATGATGCCTCTTCCGTACCTCGGCTTCTACACCCAAGCCACTCGCTAGATCTTCTCCACCTGCAGGTGATCGATTATTTCACAGGGTTGCTTCTGGAATTAGTTGCTCGTGTAGCGGGCCCTGCCGTGCGGAGTTTTGGCTACAGCGACTCGGTATCGAAACATGCACCTTCCTATTCAAAAAAGAAGTTTGCATCGTGGGGTGCAGTAGAATGTTTGGACTACCTAGGCGCGAAGAAACGGCTACCTAGGACTAGTCCACGGGTGGAAACCTTCATGACACGGGCATACGAAGGTGTGGGGGCAAGGAGAGGCCAAGATTGGTCCCGACGGGATTGGGAGATGGCGTTAGAGGGGCTGAGGGAAATAGGCGATGACTGGCAAGAAGGATCTATCCGTGAGTCGGTGTCTGCCGCAAGACTTCACATGAGTCGTGTGTTTGCTATGCCGATGCGGCCGACGGGATTGTGACTAATACTGTCATGAGATAAGCAGACCGTATTGTTTACAATGGGTATATGTTGACTTGATGTAATGTTACAATCGTGGCCCAAATTTGGTAAGAGTGAAATGAACTTCTGTTCTTGGTTGCGTTGTTTGGCAAGTTTCTCCTCTTCACTCTATTTTCCCTTCTTTCTCCTGTTCCCCTTCATGGCAAAACGACGTACGATTTATGTTCTCCTCATCCTCCTTGCTCTTGTTCTATTCGGCACCGTCGTCGTCTTGTCTTCTATCTCCTACTACCTTTACATCAATGCCGCAGCATATATTTCAAACAGCGAGGTCCCAGTGTTAAGCAACACAACACGCTGGAATGCAACGGAACACGGAAAGCTTGAGAGGATACCTCGTATCATTCACCAGACTTGGAAGTCGGAGACACTTCCAGCTGATTGGAAACGTCTCTCTGAGGCATGTCGAAACATGATGTCCGACTAGTCCGTATCCGTTTCATCTCCGCTACCCAAAGTTCTTATCATTATTCCAACAGTGACTACATGTTGTGGACTGACGCCAGCTCCCGCGAGTTCATCGCAGAGCACTACCCCTGGTTTCTTGACACGTTTGACGGCTACAAGTTTCCAATTCAACGAGCTGATGCTATTCGTTATTTCGTCCTTTATCACTATGGAGGAATATATCTCGACCTTGACGTCGGATGCTTACGACCTTTGGATCCGTTATTGATATTTCCCGTCATTTTACCCAAGACAATACCTGTCGGCGTTTCCAATGACCTCATGTTTGCGGAAAAGGGTCATCCTTTTCTCTCTCAAACTATCCACAACCTTATCGCATTTGACCATTCTTGGATATTAAACTATCCCACCGTCATGTTCTCCACAGGACCCATGTTCCTCTCTATTCAATACAGCCTTTACACTCCATCACATCCTATCACGCCCTACGAACCAGGAGATGTCCGAATCCTCCCCAAATCCCTTTACGGCAAGAACGCTAAACCAGAAGAAGCTCCTCATTCATTCTTCGCACATTATTACGGTAGCAGCTGGCATGCCGACGATGCTGCACTAATCGGCTTCTTGAATACGTGGGGGAAAGGATTGATGTGGGTGGGTTTGGTCATACTAGTCTATGGCATCTACAAGCTCGCATTCCCGAGCAAGCAACGAAAGTATAGTCTTAGGAGAATTGGAGGATATGATGTCCTCTTACCTAGGTGGACTCAGCGTAACGGGCGCTGGCACATCGACATGCGGTGGTCTTTCCTTCCAGCATCTGGTGCTTCTACGCAACCATCATCTCCCGTCAATTCCGCTCCCCAGTCGCCGTTGGAGGAACATGTTTCATTACTTCCCCTTTCTTTTGAATTGAGACCGGATTCACCCGTATCCTCTGACATCTCATCCTCTGTGGACATGTTTCCGACTTCAAGTTATCGTGCGCCGTCATCTATTCTTGATGTTGTGCGTCGCGTGCGAGACCGTGCCACGGGTTATTTGAATCCATCTCGAGAATCACTTGCGTTACCACGCGCCCCATCTCGCGGCCGGAGGCAGCGGTCTAGAGGAGTCTTGTTTTTCCTCCCGGCTATCTTTACTCAATCCCAGAATGTGGACATTCTCACGCGCAGCCCACCCCCACAACCATTTTCCGGACGGAATTTGCCCCCGTCTTCTCATTTGCCCCCCGAGAAGCTGTGGCAAGGAGTTGAGAGTAGAGTTGGAGATGAATTAGCTGAATTTCATCAGGGCTGCTCTCAATCACCTCGGCCACCGTTAGAGAGCCGCCTTCCGCATTCGTCTTCGAGTCCGCTTATTGATCTCGAACAGCAAAACTCATAGCATTGTGATGAAACACTTGACTTTATTTGATGTTACTCACACTACTCTAGTAAAAACGCTATTAAACCCTGCTTCACCTACGGCTGTGAAACGCGTTAGATACCCATGTCTGCTTTTGAATGATCATTTTTACGTATATTTCTTTGATATATTGCATGGGACATGACCTGATAATACCTACGCGGCTGTCTTTTTAGGTGGCGGTTTGCAACATTGGAGTTCTCCAGTTCACTACGTTCTATTCATATCTATTACTTATTGGTACAATTGGGAGCTATACTGAAACCAGCTGCTGAGTGATCCGTGTGCGAAATCTTGACTTCACGCAGTGGTCTGAACGCCGTTCTAAATCTAAATCTGAGTTCTGCTCCGCCATCGTGTGCCAAATGTTTTCCAGGTCCGTATAACAATAAAAACCATTCCTAAAGTGATACCTAGATTCAAATGATATTCAAAACACACGAGCCTATAACCGTCGCTTGCATGCCTTTTGACACCTGAACACTACTATAAGTATTAGCTGTATTAGAATCTAGACGCGGTTTTGAAAGTATTTCTAGATTGCAACGAGGTGCAAGACGACATTCCAACTTTTTTTAAGGTTTGAATCAAAAATTCTGAATGCCGAAAGTTATCCACTTACTGATATGGCGGTCTCATCGCGATGATTTTCCCGGTAAAACGGCGACGGTTTTCATGGACGCTGACAAAGTCAACATCGCTAATGCGCTCACAGCATAAGTAACGGACGGCCCGAAGGTCCAATATGATGCGCATGCTGACGAGCGGCGATCAAGTCAGTCAGCCTAGTCTTTCGGACATATAACTTAAAGCTTACCAAGCAACGGTCCTATTGCGCGGCCCAGCTGACCTGATGATCGGAATTCACCTAGTGCCTTGCCCTTGGCCAATTCAGGGTATTTAACAATGGGTTTGCCTGTGTCTTCGTCGAAGCCCTCGTCGCACTGGAGGGAGGCGTGTGCAGTAAGCGAGCTTACGACTGTTGCAGAAGTGAAAGCCAGACAGACCGCTGCGGCTTGCAGCAGTCCGACGGCGATTTTCGGTTGAGTGGACACGAAGTGAGGCAGGATGGTTAGGAACACAAGGCCTAGTGCGCAGCTTGAGACCCCCCGTTGTGCCATTTTCCCCTCTCCTACTTTGGAGATAGCACGACGGACGTATCCTCCCTGTAAAAGAGCACTGATAACGCCAATGGAGCCAATTAATGCTCCGTTCTGTTTGTTATTCCAATCGAACACTGGTCATTGGAGTTTTAACGCATGATGTCAGGAGCGTGTCGACGATGACGTACGATCGAAGGTAAGGAAAGTGAGGGTGAACTCTACACCTGAGAAGATTCCTAAAAAAAGGAAGTGGAGCTTGCGTAAGAGGCGCAGAACCTCAGTCCTCTCTTGTACACTCCGTACCGCAGAAGCAGCCTTCGATTTCTCGTTGACATTAACTTCTGACTTGTCCGGTTGGATATTTCGGGTTTCGGGAAGAGCAACTATCAGGAACAAGGTCTCTGCGATAAGCAGCACGAGCGTCAATAATGCCGGGGCCGCGTAGACGTTCAATTCCATTTGTAGAGCCTCTACAAATAGGGGAATTGGCCTCGAGGCAAAATAGGCTCCGATCGGAGGCCCGATGCAGAAACAGATGGCAAATGCGATTCCAACGTGGGCAAGGGCTTTAGATCGGTTCGCAGGCGTAGAAACATCGGAGAGGATGGCACTGTTGACGGTGACGGTTAATTCCAGTTCTTGGATTATGATGAAGAACTGACGTGGCAAGTTGCACGTTACCTTCACTAAGACCCCCTATGACGCGGGAAAGCATATAAGAAGCAAAAGTGGTGGACTGGATCCAGCTGGTAGATAATTGGTTCAGGAACTCTTCGATAACAATTGACTTGAGCACTCACATGAGCGCGGACAGTATGTTTCCTATCATACTGACCAAAAGAACGTTTCTACGCCCATAGTTGTCAGAGAGTGATCCTATATGTGGCGATACCAAGAACTGTAGAGTGCTGCAAATACTAAGTGAATACAACCTGAAATCAACTGGGAACCGCGACTCGGAGACGTACGAGAAAGCAGAACCCATCAGACCACCTTCGAGGAATTATCAGATCAGCATGAACCATGTCGTATGGCTTAAACTAGACCAACCAAGGAAAACTACATCCCATCTCTGGGAGTTTTGTGGTGGCTTATAGAAGATGCCTCGTACCGCCGAAACAAACCGCAGCGTTCTGGAAAGGAGGCCATTCGGGTCGGAGATTTCTCTCTACATAATCACTGAAGGAACTAGAGACACATGGTATAGGGTCCTTACCACCGTATACCACTCGATTATGCGAGGGAACAAGGGTAGAGGGATTGTAAATGCTTTGCTGAGGTTTCAGACTCGTTTCAAACAGAGCATGACATTGGCACTCACCAAAAAGATCAAGAACGAGCGACAGAAAGACTATACGTTCTACTTTCCCCATATTCTCTTTCAGAGGCGCAAGCTTAGAGGATGATATTCACGTCCCGCGTCTGAACGCGCAAGTGAATGCGATAGGCCACGTCAAAACTTTGGCAATCTAAATGACGGGGCTAATGGGAAAATTGACTCGCAAACCAGTTGCGAGTATTATACCAGCTGAGGCGCTAGTTGTTTTGGTGAATTACGCTGAGGCAGTAACATGTAGCAGTTCATCATATATGCACATCGGCTACGTGGGTATTTTTGCCCGAAAGGCAGACACAAGAAATTAAATAATCCCCATGGACACCTCACAAGGACACTACACAAGACTTTCTGCTGCTATGAATCCAACACATTTGATGCTTCCATATCTGTGTCGTCGACATCCAATTCTGCAACATCTCCTGCTACTACACCTCGGAACTGCTGGTCTTCAGAAGCCTGAGTAAGACCAGTTTGGAAATGTGAACTTGTCTCAGTCTTGGTAATCTCTCGCAATGCCATCGTGGCATACGCGGCCGTCCCAAGTGTCAAGTTGATCTGGAGCGCGCGAAATTTCCCATCGTCAACGATAACTGGTGGGTCAAATCCAAGGAGCTTGTCTTCGTCTGCCTGTGCAAGCGGGACGTCTGGGTCTGTGTACCTAAGTATAGACCACGAGAGATCTTTTGGAACCTGGATGATTTTTCGGTAGGATCCATTCAGAGTGTACTCTCTGGAGATGTCGTGTCAGTTTCGCTTATGGTGGAACGGGTCTGGCATACTTTTGTTTGCGGATGAAGTTATCTGGGTCGAGTCCATCCAAGCGCAGGAATTCCCGATAGCGCTCCCCAAGCGTACCACCTGGGTAATCAACATCTCTACCCGGGAGTGGCATTATTACATCGAATATCGAGTACCGGTGGGCATCCTCTTCAGTGAGTATTTTGATACTTGGGGCGATGTAAGCAGCCTTGCTAGCTTTCTTGCGTTCACGAGAGCTCATGCCTCAAGTGACAAAATTTCAATTAGAAAAACATAACAAATAGAAAAGGAACTAACCCTTTCCCTCTGTGGTGGCTTGCTTCTCATTACCCGCTTCATCGTCCACTTCCATCTCGTCATTTTCTTCACTCCCTCCCTTGGTAGCTGGTTCGCTCTCGAAGACGAGATCACCAGGTACCGCCTTATCAGGACCATGTATGCGAATTCGCTCCGAAACGATGGCATTCCACACGTAGGATTGGTATGCATGGACATACATGAGCCGCAAGTTTCGAGGAATCTAAGTCAAACCATATGATTAATAGCAATGTTTCTCAAATGAAATCCTGACGTACCGTAGACAGGGCACCCATTGCATTCCTGGTTTCTCCACCTTGCTTCTTGTAGCTCTCGAGAATGCAGCGCTCCGCGACCACCCGTCTGGGCATCAATGCCAGGGCACGATCCAAATTACCATCCACTAACCACGCATCACGGGCTGCGACAACTTCGGGGTGTTCTCCAGGCCGATTCTGGAGGATGAGGGAGACAGCTTTGTGCCAATCAGATTTCAGAATCGCCAAGCCGATGGAGTGAGTTGGCACTGCAGCCGTCCCAAAGCGCTGCATCCCTGGAGTTGTACTTCAGACGAATCAGTAGTTTACTGAATATCAAACTCACCGTAGTAATTGATGAACCCTTTATGCTTGATGGAGTTCATGGCACGGTCAAGAATTTCTACATTTTCTACCTGAACGTTGCTTTATAACCTTGTCAACCAAACTTCGAGCAGTACCACTTGGAACATACCGAAGTGTGATAACGAATGCATTTCCTTTCAGCATACCCAGCTCTAAACCAGCCTTGCGATAATTGAAATCCGCTATTCTGACTCCACGGTCGCCACGCTGGGATAGTATATCTTGCATGGACCGCCTGCTGAACTGATTTGCAGATTTCCATATATCTTCCACGGTTCTGTTACCGCGTCGCAACGACACGCGTTGGACAGTGACACCGCGTTTGTCTTTTGTCCCTGCAACAGCCAAGTCTTTTATGTTTACATGGAGAGTACGTGATAAGTAGCCGAGAGCATCTTGGGTATCACGATTGGTTTTCTGGAGAGTGAAATGGATATAAGGAGGATGGTTGCCCCTATCCAAGCGCTCGCCTCGACCTATGAAGATATCGGAAAAAAGATAAGAGATCTCTTATAACAAAAGATGAAACATACCTCCACGGCCACCGCGACCACCGCCGCGACCACCACCGTTGCGTGACCATTTTATAACTATGCAAGATCCATCGTCCCCAGGAGTCGACATATCAGTCTCGCTGTCAAGCTTCCCACCAAATAACTCTCGAACAACTTGATGCAGAGCCGTCCGGTCTGTTTTGGAGGAAATTGGCTGCCAAGGGGTAAGGGCCTATAGTAAGAGAGCCTAGTAATCTCGTCTCACCTCACTGAGGACTTTTCTGTGATCTTCTCTTTCTCCTCCCTGCCGGCCACCACGACCTCGTCCGCGACCACCGCGACCGCCACGACCACCACGGTCACCGCGACCGCCTCGATTCTTGCCTCTTTTCCCTGTATCATCGCTCTGCGACGCATCCACTTCTTCTGATGGCTTCGCCGCATCTGGCGTGTCAGTACTGTCCTCGGTAGTTTTGGTAAGCCGACCTCCCCAACCACTATCAGTCACTCTCGGAGGCTCGCGTCCTTCAAGGAACATTGTTTTCAATTGGTCGATAGAAGCCTCACTAAGATACGGAGCTAGTTTTTGTGTAAATTGATCGTTCCAGGGTGTGTCCGTCAGAGTGGAATCATCTTTGTCCTTCACTTCGGTGTTGGCAGATAGTTCCTCTGTAGTATTCGGCTCAGCGCTGGTGACAGGCTCCTGGGGTTGGGCCATTGAGGCCTCGGCATCGGCAATGCTAGAACCTCCCTCGTTGGTGCCTTTCCCCTTCTTCGAAGATGACTCTGGCATGTCCAACGACTTGAGATGAACAACCTGGTGATCTTGATTCACTTCGAACACCATGAAGTCTGTGAACCTATGGCATATATTCATGTCCAATTACAGTTCCATTATGAATAAGAACACTTACCGCTGTTTTATGATACCGCTAATGGGAGGGACGTCCCGGCTTATATACTCTGAGATCCCAACGTCGGTCTGAAGGACCTGGCGAAGGCCATTTGATGAGAACGTAGGTGCTATGCCCAGGAGAGCATGGCTAGGAGGAAGGACGCTTTCAACTGCAACAGCAACAGCCGCGCTCGCGAGCGGGGAGGTATCTGCGATGGGCCCATCATCGGTCAGCTCGTCGAGTTTGATGCGTTTGGGTGAACGAGTAAGTTCTTCATCGTCTTCACGTTCCCGGACAGCTGAAGACGACATTTGGTTGATCGAGAACAGTAAAAAGCCTGAGAATAGATTAGATAGCAAAAAACCAAATTTATCATAGATTTCGAAATCAAGCTCGTTCTGCTAGTAACCATCATGTCGTCTCCTCATCTCCAGACATACAACGAGCGAGCAAGGAAACACACCAACAAGGCCGCAAGTGCTTTGCTCAGGGTCATGGAAGAAAAGCAGTCGAATCTTTCTGTTAGCGTCGACGTGACTAAATCCAAAGACTTCTTCGACATCATCGAGGCAGTTGGTCCTCATGTTTGTCTTATAAAGGCATCTGTTACTTCTTCCGAGCTCTCACTTGATGCTTATGGCGCTACCGAAAGACCCACATCGATATACTCGAAGATTTTGATGCGACCGTGATCGACCGCCTCCGAGAGCTTAGCGAAAAACACAAGTTTTTGATATTTGAGGATCGTAAATTTGCCGACATAGGTAAGGTGTTGCAGATTTCGGATGACAATTTGCTGAGTATCACAACTCTTAGGAAGCACTGTGGCATTGCAGTATTCAAAAGGGATCTACAAGATCGCGGACTGGGCTCATATTACCAACGCTCATGCTGTTCCGGGGCCATCGATCATCACTGGCCTCGCCTCTGTCGGCATTCCTAAAGAGCGGGGGCTTATACTCCTAGCAGAAATGAGTTCCAAGGGTGCACTGACCACTGGGTCATATACAGAAGATGCAGTTCGTATGGCTCGAGCGCGCAGGGATTTTGTCATCGGCTTCATAGCTCAACATCGCATGGAAGGCATCGGTGCATCCGATACCGACAACATCGCGGAGGAAGATTTCTTGGTCCTCGCGCCAGGAGTAGGCTTAGATGCCACAGGCGACACTATGGGTCAGCAATACCGCACTCCAGAGCAAGTTGTATTTGAAAGCGGATGTGACGTTATCATTGTTGGAAGAGGAATTTATGGCAAGGGTGAAAATGTGGATACACGGGAGGTTCTTAAGCAAGCTCAGAGATATCAAGCTGCTGGTTGGGAGGCATACAAAAAGCGCGTTCAGTGCATATAAATAGCGGGGTGTAAATAATAACGAGCTTACCTGGAAATACCTCCATTAGATTTTACTTGATGGCACTGCATGTCTTTATCCGACACCACCACCATCCAGTGTCTCTGTTTCTTGTCGTCTTCTCTCATCCTCTGCTTCTCTTTCTTCTGCCTCTACGACTTCGACATCGAGAGGAAATGTGAGTATTGCCGCAATACCTGTCAGTTGATTCAACTCTATGTTCTCATAAGTACAATAAATAAATATAACATGTTTAGACACATACGTTGACCAGATTCGTGCATGCTCGAGAACATGACGACTTCTGCACCCTTTTGTTGCACTCCTTCGACGAGTTCGACATATGTCTTCCGCAACTTTGGGTCACTTGCACTGTCCGAATCGCTTGAGCTGCAGTACGCCAGTGTGTGACACGCAATCATCTCACCGGAAAAGCTCGTCGGAGATGAGGAGTGTCCCTATGGCTCCACGATCTGCCGCTAAACGGACATGATCAGGACCATACCACGCGCGCATCTCATCCACACCAAGCATCTTGAAGAACCTGACAAAAGTAATCAGCACGACAGTACAGCTGCCACCATGGATGCTTACTTATCAAGAACTATTCCCTCACGCGCAAATTTTGTTTCCTTGAGCTGTGCAACGATCTGCAAGTCCAATAAATGCGCCTATGCGACAAAGTCTTATACCAAAAAGCCTACCTCTGGACTCTTGAGAACTTCGACAAGACTGTGGACGTGTGCGCTACTAACGTGCACTTTAACGGTCTTTTCTCGCAGGGCCTTGGACAATGTCTTGTCCCCCCTCCTCCCTGCTTCTGTCATGATAGCATTGAAAACACCTTCTCGTACCCAACCTGGGCTCGCAAACACAATTGCCCGCAAACTAGGTGACGTATAAGGTATGTGTCGCACAAATGCATCGTAGAGTGTGGCATAAAATTTTGCCATCGCCTTCTCGTATTGGGACGTTCCAGGCGCAGAAGCCTTGCGCGGTATGGGAACCGATATCCGATGGGTGACCAGTGTCATGTGTTGTGAAAGAAGACAAAACGCAGCTGTCCCTTCTCCGCACACAACTGCGCCTACCTCCGCACCGCGTCCTGGAACACAAGCTTCCTCAACGCGAGCAAGTGCCACACTGTCCCATCCATCAACCTTCTCGATGCGTACATCGCGGTTACTCTCGATGTCAAGCGTATGGTACGCGCCCATCTTCACATGTCGGTTTTCCAATGCAACAGGGCCGGAGATATGCAGTGCTGCAGTGGTTGTGGGTGCTGCAGATGAAGATCCTGCAGGAGATGAAGCTTGATCCGCTGATGATGAAGGTGCTCCTGATGAGGAGAATTCGACTCGGGATACGTGGATGGTGAGGTTCAACTTCACGCGATGAGATTCTGTAGATCCAGTAGCAGATACACTCTGTATGCGACTATTAAGAATTTAGCATGTGAGAGAACCGCTGATTGCACAAATGTCCTACCGAATGGCTGGTGCTCGCACAAGATCACCTTGTTGTATAATGTTGTAGAGATGCCACATATCTTCATCATCCTCTGGTCGGAGGTTGACATAGCCCTGTTCAAATCAATCAATCCATCATTCACTAACAAACATTATGAATGACTCACAGTCCCGTTCTTGTCGACAAACTTGCCGACAAGCTTCATGGTGGAGAGTGATTGACGTAAAGTCCTGAACTCTGCAGGGGGGCCTAAACAAGTAATCGCGTGTTGTATTCTTAGTCACTTATTGATTCACTGTCCACTGAGCTCGCTGTTGTCCTCACAATTCTCCAGCTATTCACAGCTTGCAAGAGTGAGCAGTGGAAATGATGAACAATGTGTGAGTCAGAAATGAGCACACAACAACTTCTGTTAGCTCATCGTGACCAGAATACACTCGAAGTTGGACTCTCTAGCATCGCGTCTCGTACAATCAAATGATTCCCGAGAGGAAGATGAACAAGACGACGATGCTATCTTTGCAGAACTTGAAGCAGAGATAGAGAACGACGCTGATGCGGCAGTGCGAGATCGGGGCATAGAGCAGCTCAGGCTCGAGTGAGTCGTGCATTTCATTGGTTTTCACTATCTGACAAACGATGTAAATATCTACAGAATGCAAAGAGCCAAAGAAATGAGAGAAAATGCCCATGGGAGATACATGGAGATCACGAATGAGAAAGAGGCCATCCGGATAAGTGCGTGAGTCGCTCGCTCTGTTCGTCTCGTTCTTTGCTACATCATCGTGCTTTTAGGAATGAGCCATACTGCGTGATTCATTTTTACCATAGTAATTTCAGGAGATGTGAAATCATGGACAAGCACCTCGCAGCGAGTAATGATTCGTGCCTCGAAGGAACTAGATTGCTGATGGATTCATATCAGCAACTCGCACCAAAATACTATGCTACGCGTTTTATCCGTGTCTTCGTGGAGAATATGCCATGGCTGGTTGAGAAGCTTGCCATTCAAGTCCTTCCATGCCTGATGTGCTTCATCGACGGGATCTCAAAAGACCGGTATGTCTTATGAGTTCTTATCGGTGTCATACAGTCAATTCATTTATTCCTAGTCTTATTGGGTTTGAAGAACTCGGTAATAATGACGCGTTTGAGACTGCGGTTCTCGAGCTCAGGCTAGCAAACAGTGGTATGATCTTCTCTATACATCGTCATCTATGTCTGATCGTCCTTCGACAGGTGTCCTTCAAAAAGCGCGAAATGCTTATGAATCCGGTATCACATACAACGTCTCATCATCTTCAAACACAAATAAATTACGAAGAGGTGGACAAAAAGATCAGGATGACGACGAGTTCGATTTATGATGGTTTGCTCCATCGCTCTACTTGTCATATCGTGTTCCTAATGCTACGTGTAAATTGTGTCGGTCACTCTTCACCAGGTGTCTTGTACCTCCTGATAGCCCTCACCCTCGCTTCAGCATGGTTGACGATGGGTCTCGGATACCCCAATTTATCAGCGACCTTGGCTGGAGGGTTGTGGATATCTGCATTCGTAAACAAACATCAGTTGGACGCCAAGCAACCAGCTAACCTACACTTACCAGATCCATAGAGATTATTTAGCTCTGGTACGAATGTCCTTATAAAATCACCTGTTGGATCCGCCTTGGAGGACTGTGTATAGGGATTGAAGACCCGGAAGTAGGGCACTGAGTCCACTCCAGTGGAGGCACTCCATTGCCAACCGCCGTTGTTGCTTGCAAGATCACCATCTATGAGCGTTTCCATGAAATACTACGAATGTTCATCAGAGAAGCTCATGGAAATGAAAAGACGGACTCACGCGCTCTCCTAGCCGCCAATCCAACATAAGATCCTTTGACAGGAACATAGCGACAATCATGCGCATACGATTATGAGTCCAGCCTGACAGTCTGATGAATCGGTATTCCGACTTGAAAGGATCGATACAAAGCATACCCATGACTTTGATCTGCCTCATTGTGGCATCGACGATGGGGATACCGGTTTTTCCTTCTTTCCAAGCATTCAGATGCTTCTCGTTGACCTCCCACTTAACATCAGCAAACTTCTCCTGAAAGGGTCGACCCATGGATACTCGTGGGTTGTATGCGAGGACGTTGGTGTAAAAATCTCGCCAGGCTACTCCATCATACATCAATTCTGCGTCCAGGGCATTTAAAAGAAACGAACCGAGTTCCTGCACCCAGCGACCTACGCCAGACGACCTTCCAGCCTCCACTTTCTGAATCCCGAGGAGCTTCATAGTTTGCCGAACACATTCCCTGACAGAAATAACCCCAGCAGATAGGTAGGGGCTCAACCGCGACGTTGTGTCCTTGTCCCCTCTGTCACGAGCCTCGTCATACAAGAGGATTCGGCTGCGTTTGTCGGAATTCTCTGCTTCGTGGGCCAGAGGATCAACTGCTCCAAGCTGGGTTGCACGCGCTTTGGTGTACAAGAACCGAAAGAGCATCTGACGAATGTTCAATCATGATCCCCTCTTCTAGTGCAATACTTACCTCTTTAGCAGAAGATGTTCCTGCTGGCCATATCCTGGCCATATTGGCAATCTCTTCAGGATCAAGCTCGAAGCCATGCACCGACACAGGTAAATCAACGTTGAATAACGGCCCAAACATGTGATTCTCCCTGATTGTCGAGAGATTGGCTTTGGGAGATGAGAACTCTTTCAGATAATCTGAGACGTTCGCATTCAAAATGCTGATCCAGGTTCGTTGATACGGCGAGTAGACCTGAAAGGCATACGCTGAGAATAACAACTTAAAAGCAAGTCACAGGGAGAACATACCGTGTATACCCTTCCATCCTTCGTTTTCACGATGCCTGGCTCAACGATACACCTATCGTGCACATACATAGGCCTGATGCCCACGTTCTGTGCTAAAGAGCAGACTTCGATGTCACGCCGAAGTTCATCAACCTCGTATTCGATGTTCGCAAAGAGTCGAGTGGCCTGGAGAGTCTGCAGGATCGAAATAACCCGATTTGGCACTGTCTTTCGCGGCGTATGCGTAATTGTGTAAAGGGGAATATTTAATTTTGCAAGCTCATCCTACAAAAGTATAAGTTAGTCTCCCGTAGTGGTACAGGTAACACAGATTTGTTTCACCTTTACTCGGAAAAGGTTACGAAGAACAAAATCGATTCTTGCTTTGCTCCTATCGTGTGCAATATAATCCTGGGGACTCAAGACGTGCAAGACTACAAGCGGAATTTGATCTTCCACTGCCTGAGCAGACGCGAGGGCGAGAGCCTTGTTATCGGAGACTGGAATAGGAAGTTGATCAAAATGGATAATGTGGAACCGAGAGGCTACACCTACTGCGCAGATCTCCCATCCTCATCCAGTAAACTATCGATTGTCCTTTCGAGGGCTTCTGTACAACATTGCGCAATACGTCCAGGAGCCGCAGGAACGGCGGGTCAGTCTGGACGGTAGCTGCAGCTTCTGCTGTTGCAATCTTGATGGGTGCAAAGGGAGAGTTGGTGGTCCTGCCTTTCTTTGACATCGCAAGTGGACTCGGGCTACGAACTCTCTTCATCATGGTCGTAAGGAAAGAAGAAACGTGGGCTTCTGCGAGTCCGAATCACTTCTGTAAATACCCGGCGATTAATAGTCCACATCGTAATTTTCTGCCCGAGATCGACCCAGGTCGATCGTATGACATCATCCTAGTTCCGGTGAACTTGCAATCTTTGAAAACTCAAGTCAAATGTACACACAATGTCAATGGATGCTAATTGTATTTATTAATTATCGGGACGAACTGATATGACTATTGAATATTGACTGCCGAAGACACAATGCATGATGCAAATGCTGTGAACAAAGTAGCAAGAAGGTTCTGCACATAAGCCGGGCGAAACGAACGTATGGGTTGTAGGTTGACAAGTAACCAAGAGATTGTCAATTTGGCACACCGAGGATCCTGAGTACGTTAGGTTAGCGACGAGCGAGCACTAGTACTGTCCTTGATCTATTTTCTCTTTGATTTTTGCGCCTATAATGAGCGTCTCGAGGAATCCATCCACTCTTCTCCAAACAACCTCAAGGTTGTCAAATAGCGCTGTCTAGGCATCGCCAGACAAATTGGAATTGGATAGTAAGGCATGCAGTTGATAGGCCACGGCGAGGGGATCCACGAGTGGAGAGACCTCTGCATTCGTGCTAGTGATATTCTTATTGGGAATGATTTTAGAGAAAGGTTCGCCGTTGGTGCCGATTGAACTGGCGTGACAAGTCATTTCAATGGTATGCAAGTGCCGGCAATGTTGTGCGAGGAGGACTCGGATGAGTCCTATAAAGGTGAGATGATGGAATCGGCCAACGACTCCCGCCTCAAAACAGGAATTCCTCGAGCCGAGGGAAAGATTGGGCCTTTCTCTCGAGTGAGACGTCGTCGATGACCGATGTACAAGCTTCAGAGCCAACTTGAAGAGTTATCCAATTTTGTTAAGCGACTCAACGACTGTAACAGCAACAGAGCAACCACGTCAAAGGCAGTGGCACAACGGGGGTCGTTGAAGTCCTTCATACAAGAGTTCGAATTCCGAATCCCCAAATCGAAGGAGACATAAGTTAAGTTCTGATTTAGTGGGAGCATGGATATTTGATGGTACGAATAAGTAGACTCGTGACGTACGAGCCAGGCTGGTCCCACCTGTCCCACCGAGCCTAATGAATAAGGTCTTTGCCGTTTTGAGTAAGATGATGATGTTTGCTCCTCCATCGCTCGTCCTCTTGCCATGTTCTTGCTCTCTCAAATATTTTCTGATCTGCCTGAATCAAAATACAAAAATCGGGGTTTTCGCTTAGAATTCGAACAATCATGGGCAGACATTCTGACCCAAGTTTACTAGTTTGTCCAGATTTCACGGGCGAGCGTTATTACGCCTCTCGCGCACCTTGCGTATCAGCCACAGTCACCGATGGGCCCAGGGAGCCGATTCTCTTCGGATAGTCTGGGTTGCAACCAACGACAACCTATGTCTACGATGGCGTCAATAAGTGGTCGAAGACAACTTCAAGCCGAACAGGAACGTTTAGCCGAAGAAGAGTTAGGGCGGCCCTTCAGCAAGATGAAAGGAAGAAGAATCGTTTCAAGCACACGGATATCCTCATGCGACCCGTCTGTCCTCCTCTTACCATGGGCATCGGTTTAACTCATGTGCTTGTCTTCTCGAAGCTCATCAACGCCCAAATCGACACCTTCGCGTCTGTACTACCAGCAATCAGCCACCGACCACGGGCATGCTTTTCCTCAATAGTAATTTCATCATCGTCGCTAGAGGAGTCATCCTCCTTCAAATCTCCACAAAGTGGTACACGATCAATGTGAGAGGCGAACGTAACCGCCTGGCATCCTTGCTTGTGGCGCACAAGTGTTCCGATCAACTTTAATGTCTTTGTCGAGTATAATCGCACTCTGCATCACAAGTTAGCTCGATTCAAATGGCATGGACACCTGGTCAACTGACTTGCCGTCCCATCCCCCAATGGCGCATACTCTCCCGTCACTCCGTATGGCAATAGCGCCATTTCCTGGATGTTTGGTCTTGAATGCGGTTCCTGCAGGAGTGGATTCTGAGGTCACTTCCTGGGTCTTCTGTTCAGAATCTTAAGGGAATCCATGCAGAGCTACCCAAACACCAACCAAAAGATCATATCGTCCCACCAAATGGTCTGCAGACACTGTTAAAGCAACAGTGCAGTCTGAAGAAACCGCCATAGCCATCACTTAAAACAATGTGTTAGAATCCCACGGCAATGTTGCATATACAACGAACCTGATTCTACATGAAGTTTGGATTTCCACACGACTTCCCATCCACGGCCCTCGACAGTCTGTTTGTTTTCGGGTGCAGTCCGCTTTCGCAGGACAACGTTCCCATCTTCGTATGCGCATAACAGACGCAGCTCTCTTGTCGACGTAGAGGACGAGGGTGCAGACAACGCAGAGTAAAAAAGGTGCATTGACATGATGATGCCGGATTTTCTGCCTGACCTGCCATCCGAGAAGGCTGTTGCGGAGGTGTCTAGTGGATCACCTATAGCAGCGTGAAGCCTTTGACACAATGGAAGTGACCAGATATCTGCCTGGTCAGTTCGTACTGAGATCACGCCGTACCCCACACCAAAGAGATTACCTACAAGAGCTGATTCTACGAGGTTCGGGACGGCAAGTAGACCTTCCTGCGCGCTCGTTCCCGCTAGGTTTAGTAGAGAGAACCTGCAGTAGTTGAGAGCGTTGACATCCATAGAGTGACATATCGTTGGTGTCAATAGATCTGACAAAATTGCAGGTCCTTGTCTGATGGAAGTAGACTCTTCGGGTCGCGTCCAAACGTGGAGTTTATTATCCCTCCCATGTCTAGTCACAGCATCAGAAGACAATGCCAGGACGAAAAAGACAGCTACTCACGTTATAATTTGAGAACCCCATTCTTCAATGCCCAGCAGTGAGTCGGTGTGAGCTTTCCATGATGCGAGTGGAGGTGACGATAGCTTGTCCTATGGTGTCTCCAGAGTAGATTCTCTCATTGTCCGTCGAAATGAACAGAGTGCTCACTGCGCTGGAATGTGAGCGTAGCAGATGAATAGGCGAAGGTGCTGGCAGAGCCATACTACGCAATAGCGCGGAAGTTGCCGTGCTTGACAACTTTGTGGCTTAGCTGCTAATGGCGTTCACGAAGGATTCCGACATCATTGACTGACCACAGCAGCCCCACGTCATTTAGTCTTCAAGCTGAGCGCTGATTCCCCAACTACTCGATGTTTTTATTCAACGCTGTTACGATAACTTAGGTCGCCCTCCAGTCACCCGCCAGTTTGTGACAGTTTGGGAAGCATGCCTCGGAACCTCTGGTTTAGCTTGGCACCTGCGCTCACAGTCTCGCTTAGTCTCCCATAGGACATCATGATCAGACCATGGAGAAATTATTCATTTGCGCCAACTAGGTAAGCTGTTGGGTGTAGATTATACATCCACGTGCAAGTACGGATGTCTCAGTTGAGTGATTACGATTCAGACTAGGGGGCAGCTTTCCATTCAATTCTAATCATGCATGACGTCGCTCGGATGTCTCAGTTTAATCCCATGCATATTGGTCGAGGTATTTAATCTCGCATTCTGGCTTTCGCATCGTTCTACAACTTGACTTACAACACCATCTTGCATATCCATTCAACTTCTCATCACTCATGGCTTTCGACATGCTGCACCTTACTTCTGGCAGGCTCCAGAATTCCGACTTTACTACCTTACATTCACTCTACGGGTCCAGCGTCTCTGGCGCCGAAGCCATGCCTTCCTTCTCTATCGTCACTCAGGACACTTCACCCGACACCTCCCGCATTTCTGCACACTCCAATAATTCATCTACCAAGAAACTTAAGCGCAGGCATGCCAAGCGCGGGCGCTTTTCCAAAAGGAAGACGGCTACGAGTCTGCTTGAAGATGCTAGCGCATGCGACCCTTTGTCTCTGAATGCTCTTGCTAGCCTTTCCTCGAAGTGGCTCAACCTGTCTTTCCTAGACCGCTCTCCTACCTACACGGACTACTTCGTGAATTACTGGCGACATGCACTAGCAAAGGAGCAGGACATTTTTGTGGATCATTTTACTACTGTCATGGCAGCTGTCCACGAAGATTTACAGGCTCCCTCAACCATTCTCTCGACTCAGTCTTCGCCCGTGCAATGCGACGAATCATCCAAATACATTCCATACGAAATCACCTGTCCCTGGGGCAATGAGGAGAAATGTCGCCTAAACGGGATCAAATGGGACGAATGGCGTTGGGAAGACGATGAAATTTATATTCCAACGGGCAAACATCATGACTATGGAGCTATTGGCGAGCCACCAATATATCCGCTGCGCAACATGGGCACCCATTTCCAGATCGTGGCACCAAAGCCGATTCGTGCATGGAACAACATATCCTGGCTGGGTCATCCACCCGTTGCTGCTGCCGTCTATGAGACTTCACAGACCCCTCTCATGAAGAGTATCTATCCCTCTACTTTCACGACGCACCACCCGCACGCCGAGTCGACCGACATCGATGACTCTACCAGCGCCTCTCCCTCATCCTACCTATCTGCTCTTGCTGCCGCTTTTCCACCTGCTGGCAGGCATATTCCTCCCGTGCATGTCGATGATTCCCATCTGACCATTTATGAAACAAAACCGATTTGTGTCGAAAGACAACAATCGAGGGATCACAAGCTGTTCCAGTTTTTACGTGTACGTCCCTTCTCTTATCTCGCGTCAGTGATTCAAGTACTGATTGGTGCTGTGCAGATGTCTTATGATCAAAAGTCACTGAGCTTGAAAGATTAGTTGGACGGATGAGATCTCATTCGTAACGGATGATTCGAAACTATATGCATGATATTTGTTTGTATATCAAGTATGGATTGTAATGATCAAGGACATCAATATTTAATATTCACTCTGCATTCAATTTTGGTTGTGACGCCGTTTTTCTTTCCCGACTATCCTCTGATCCCGAGTTCAGGCATACCTTTGCATACAAGGGTCCCAGACCGCCACGTTCAGGTATGTTTTCCTGTTGTTCAACCAAGACAAAATCTAATTTGTACTTTTATCGTCCTATCAAATGCGTTTTTTGCTCGGACGTTAAACTCTTACGCCTGTGTTTGCGATCATGCCTTTGCATCCACATCATGTGTCCTTTGACATGTACTTGTGCCTTGTGTCCTCCGACATGCGTTTTGCGTTTTCCGACATGCGTTGTGTTATGCGTTCTCCAACATGCGTTTTGCCTTGCATTCCTTAAGATGCGTTGCGTTCTGCGTTTTCTAACATGCGTTTTGTCCTACGTTCTTCAAGATGCGTTGCATTCTGCCTTCTTCGACATGCGGCTTGTGTTATGCATTCGTTAGCGTTATGCGTCTATTTCCATTTGCGTCCATCATTAATGCAACTGAATCTCAGCTCTAATGATCGTGACGAGCCTCCTCCGACCAGCGTTCGAAGCGCTTACACTGCTTAAATCTCCACGTAATTGGAGATGGGCGCGTTCCCCACTGTTACTGTACGAAACAACAAGCTGTTGTGCGTCAATCGGAAACGCGCCCGTTTCACCAGTCAATCTCACTACACATACTCGGGCTGTCCTGTCACCACCCATGGGGCGCAAACTGTCCTCGCGCACAGGCAGCTCCTTCCGATCTCATCATATGATTTCGCAGTCGGGAATTTTAACTTCGTATTCATGGCCTTCTTGTTAAATACCCAAATCTTTCACTCAATCTACCTTTCGGCTTTAATCTCAACGTCTCGGTCTAGAGCCTGTTCGGGCTTTGCCCAAATAGACACTTCACAAATTCCCTCTCATTGTGTTACACCACTCGTGTGCCGCTTGGACTTGCTCGCTCGTTGTCTTAGACTTGTTCACTCTTCGTTGCTGGAGGCTCAACATCAATGTTATGTGTCTCTGTGATCACTCTTCGACATATGAGCATAGTGGTTGCAAAGCTGGGTTTTGTATGTACGCTGCTCTGAAGTTTGAACGGCGATCAGTCTTCGAGTGGGCGGGGACAAGATTTTACATGGTCACCACAATTGGAACACTATATTCCTGACGCCTGATGGAATCACAACAAGCCAAGTCTAGAATCGATATGCAATAAATCAGCACTTCACAAAGCAAGCTTTCGACCAAATTAGCCTATCCGAATCAACACAATGCATTATTTGGAACGCTCACCAAAGCCAGATGACCACCGACGACTGGGCGGGCCCTAAATCCATACACAGTGCCATCAAGCGTCTCATACCAATCTCCCAAAGGCTGGTTACTTTTACCGTCGGCAGCATACTTGTAGACAGAGTCAATAAACATATCTCGCGTCGTCGTGTTAGTCATGATGGCAGCAGTCCATAACTCCCAGTCGGACTTGGTGTATGAGTGGCTAATGAGTTTGTTGGTTATGTTGTCCGCTTGAGCAGAGAGACGACTTACCGAGTGTCCAAAGGGACGCCATAAGTATCTTGAAGTGATAGTTACACGCGTGAACCATCATTGAGTGTTAATTGATTCACTCACTGATGGCGGTGGCATACCATGCGGTTTCTACAAAGTTGTTGAGGATTATCCAGAGCGAAGTGACAGCAGGACTTACGCATGTCGTAGACAGATTCCGGGAAAACATTGGTGCCAAGCAACTTATCTGCATACAGGTTATACGACAAGCCCCAACTTGACACCGTCAGCGATGGTTCCGCAAAACCGCATATTTCATACACGAGACCTACGAGCTTCCATTTCCGTAATTCAAGGTAAGATGCAGCCCATCGCTCGATGTGGCATAGTCAAGTATTTGCGGAACATAGTTCTGCACGATTGACTAAATATTCGAAGAATAAGTTTATTTCAATATAGAACTTCAACGATGACGTACATTGTAATTCTTTTGATTGATGGTATCAGCCAATATACCAGAAATTACAGACATAGCCTGGATACCTATCACGCCCTTAATGGCTAGATTGGTTTGATTGGCGAGGGCCCCCGCAAAATCATCTGTGCTGATCTGATTTGCAGGAATGAGGGCTTCTGCGACGAGGTATCCGGTCCATTGGCGAAGAAGGTCCCTCTATAGGAAGTGGTAAACATATGGGAGACGAGGCTCCTGATGAGCAACTGACATATTGAGCGATCAAGGAAATGTCATTAGACTTCTGTGTGTAACTCAAAGCCATAATAAGCATATTTCCGCACTCTGAAAGCATGGGCGCTGAGAAATCGTGTCATATGCACAGAAAAGGATATCACCTTCAAGAGGCATGGCTTCGTCGTCACCAGCATTGTGACCCGTGGCGTTGGGGTATGATGAACCTAATTCATGATAATTGGAATTAGGGAATCTCGACGATTTCGGTAAAAGACTAACCAAGATCGTGGACGGCCCAAGCATTAGGATATTGACCGGTAGCTTGGTACTCAAGGAGGCCGAGCAGAAGATATTTTCCAAGCGTGGGATTGGTGTACAAGAGAATGGGCCACGCAGGCATGATAACATCCACGGTGTTCACGTTCTGCAGTTGTTAAAGTGAGCAACACACATCTCCAAAGCATACACTTACGCCATCACTAGAGATCTCTGGGAGTTTTCATGTTAGATCATTATTTTAGTTAAAGGGAGCCATGCATATTACCCTTCAAGAATATCAGAATATCATCTGTGTTCCAACTTCCATCATTTTTCTTCGACAACGTGAGTTCCAAGGCTCCGAAGGCCTGACGAACCGACAGCGCAACGACAGCAGCATAATTACTTGAAATGGAAGAGGCGTCGCTCTGGATCTTCCGGTCGAATGCTTGCGCACGTCCCAGAGCAGCAGCATAGTCTCCGACAAAGTCAGAAATCTGGAGCACAACTTCCAAAACTAGCCTTAATCAGAGACTGAGGACGCACCAAATCCGCGACGCTTGAGTAAAAGCTCCAGAAGTAAATACTTCGGGGTTGATAGACGTCATTCGCGATGATGTACTGAATTGCTGGATCTCTCACATGACCCACCGTGTAGATTACAGGGACAGTTGCAGTGGTCGACACGGTGCCAAGGTCGTGAGCGAAAGCAAAGACTGGCCAATTGTTGCTGACGGCACGAAAATTGGTGTCCTCAGTATTGGCAAGCACACCGTTGTTGATGAATTGAGCTCGAACAACGGCATCTTGGCCAGTTTGATACGTCACAGAGGAAGACTGATGAAAAATCAGTATGAGAGGACAAACCGAGTGACAGAGGTGCATACCTTTGGAGTAGAGTAATAGGCTGCTCCCTCTAAAGAATGATCTGAGTCAGTTAGTCAGTAAGTTGTGCTCGTGACCCACGTTGTATATGACCATTATATTCAGTATACAACTCCTGATTCTCAAGCATGACCTGATGAGTCAAGATGTTGCCCATAGTAGTGGTCCAGTTGACTGTCAGAGAGTCATCTCCAGATACCCATTCTGCGCTTATGTCGGTGTATACGCTGACAGTATGCGACCCTCCATCATTAGACATTGCTGACAGTGCCAGATACGAGAAGGGGATGGACTGCTTGAGGAAGTCTGTGGGCTAACAATAACTTGCTGCGATGTAAAGGCAAAAACACCATATATACCTCCACAGGGCTAAGGAAGTTCACATTTATGTCTACTGGCCCGGCAGTCATCACGAAAATACTTTGCGTTGAAGTGAACTGTGTAATGCATATCGGTGTGCTCTCATGCATAATACGATCGAATTACAATCACCTCTAGGCTTTTTTGGGCGGCAGATTTAGCGCCTGGAACAACGGGATCACCCATGAAGGTATACGTGGCACCATCGACTCTGATATAGCCAGCCCATCCGAGAGTCTGCACGAAAATGTCTTGGTCAATGGTTCAAATATGTATTATGAACAAAATTTACCGATCCAGTCCAAAACTGGGGCCAGACACCGTTTAGCGCTGTACCAGCACCTTGGGGCAGCCATACAGACAGATAAGGCGACCGGACTGCGAGTGGGACGGATGCGGGATTAAAAGGAGTTGCTTTCCAAGAGACAGAAGAAGCAGTCAGCGCTAATGTGGCTAATGAAAGAAACTTTGTGCCCATGGGTACACAAATGAGATGGTGAAGATCGTCAGCAGGGCCTCCACCCGATCGGACTTGGCCATTTTATATCCAACGCGACCCTAGATTCAATGTAAGCGGTAGTGGTGGTTTCGAAGCGTCATAACCTGCTAAAGACCGACCATTTCTAGTAGTTACTTAGCGATCCTGCGCATGCGGCACCGACGGTCGTGTATATGTTCTTCCGCTCCATCAAGACCTTACGTCAAGCTCCACACCTTAGAGTCTAATTCGCATTACTGCGTATCCTACAACATGTAGTCCTTGTCAAGTCATTAGTTGTGCCCACAGCATGTACTCCAACGAGGTCGAGTGACACCGCCATCTCCTGAGAGGGGAAGTTCATATCTGCAATGTGAAGTACAAAGAAGTCGACACTAACTTCGTCTTCCGGAGCATCCTGCGAACAGAAGCCATAACAACGGTCCCTGCGATTCATTTCTGTGTATTCTCACCACTGCCAATCTACCGGATGAGAAACGCAGAAAGAAACGCAGAATGATATCTTCTCCACAGATAGAACCGATCAGGGTTGCGCAGCCTAGTTGGGAGCAACATATCATGAACAGATATGTCCACCTGTGCACTCGTAGAATACCTCGTGCCCTAGATAATCAAGCAACAGCTGCATTGGCGCAGAAGGGTGCCACCGCATAGATGATGATATGATCGTGAGATGCAACGTAGTAGCCCAGCCAAAGGTATACAGCCGCCGCCGTTTACGTCATGTGACTTCGAACCCAAAGAAGCGCGCAAACGGTCTTGCACACAGCACCCTTCTCATAACGAACCTTCCGCAGACTGGCTGGCTTGACGTCGTACTCAAGCACTGTTAAATGGACCTCCCTACACCTAGGGAACTAGACCTTGAAACCGAGCTCAGAAAACGGGATGCTCAGGTCGCTGAACTTACGGTAAGGCTTTCCCTTTCCAGGCGCCGATTGTAGCACGCTGTTGTATTGATAGACTCGGTCTTGTTTTGTCTAGGACGAAGTTGCACGTCTTCGTGAGCACCTTGCTGCTCAGAGTGGCGCATCGACTACGGACCCGGTTACGTTGCCTCCTGCGCTAGTCTCTCTGTTGTTACCGCATATCAACAAGGCGGCTTCTAGTGAAGGAACAGGAGCGGCTTCTTCGTCGAGTACTGTTAACACCGCGCTCACACAAAGAGTGCGCATACTGCAGGAAGAGAATGACGAACTATATGAGATGCTCAAATCTGGGGAGACTGGGAAACTTAAGGAGGAAGTCCGCGGACTCAGACGAGTGGTGGAGAGATTAGAAGGGGCTTTGCGAGGTATGAGTTTATTGACTCCTTTCGCTTTAATTGTTTCTTACGTGCAGTATGTTTTATTAGAATCTCATCAAGTAATTGCTTCATTGTCGTGAGTAACCTGATAAGCGTGGTGTATGTGTTCACTCACGCACAGACACGACAGGTCGGAACTAGACAAGTCCTATGAAAGCTTCCATACTTCTCTGCGTCAAATGAACGCTAACCATCACTCATACGTGACTGCCCCTCGAGACACATATCACTCCGCATCGACGAGTAATGGAGTAGTCAAACTCCCCCCTACCGGACCCAGAGCTCACAAGAAGCCGCGTCTGTCAGAGCCCAAAGTGTCGCCGGCACGTTCCAACATATCTCTTCCGCCAACAAAACCTCACATTGGCAACGCACGTCAGAGTGTTCCCAGAGATTACGAGGCTCCTCGCTCGCCTCGCCTCTCCCCCACAGAACCGCGTACGAAAGTAAGTAATGTGAAGATGGAGGTCGATGAAGATGCGCGGACACGTCCACGCTCTCCGAATGATAGGGACCGTGAGTCGCACCGCCGGGACAAAGACCGGGCACGCGACCACGAGGGGGAGCACAGTAGGGACAGGGACAGGGAGCGTTTTCCGCGGCGCAACGGTGGTGGTGGTGGCGGTGGTGGCGGTGGCGGCAGCGGGGGACGGAGGAGCCGAGGGTTTGCGGGTCATTCGTATGCATTTGGGGATCGGACGTTGGCGGAAAGAATGGGACTTTAACCAAACACTTGACATTCATGACCTCTGCATCTTTGGACCTTCAAAAACATGTCGTTTTGGTTCATAATAGTGTATTTGGTGCGGTGCTCAATTAAATCAAAAGAATTGTATCAATAGCTGACTTGACTTTTTTTCTTCTTTTCGTTACAGCTGTAGCTGTATCCCTACATGTTCCAATCTCTGTTGTCCCACAGATGATGATTGGTATTATTTAAACATTTCATTCTTTATACTACGCTGCGCATAGGCGGCACGTACCCTGAGCTTAATCGCTCGCCGTCTCCGGGGAACCGCCAAATAAAATATCATTTTTTCTTGAATCAAGCTCGCACCGTCATGATTACTAATGAGTCATTAATATATGACCTTGGTTCATTTCCTCACTGCAGTGGTATTTCGATCATGATTGTGCCTACATGTCCGTGCCCGACGCCTTCGCCATAGGGCTTTTTATTCTAAATCCTGCTTCCGGCTCGCTTCCTCCAACAAAGAAAATTTATTGTTTGCCTCGTTGCAACGTCAAGAATATTGTGAATGACGTCTTTGTATGTCACTCCGGCGGAATGACTTGGCTTCTGCTTTCTCTGGAAAAGTCTGAGACGTTCATATGACCAACGTTATCTTCCGAGCAAGGCACTCCGCCGTAAGGTTAGACGCTAAAACCTTTATAATCGGTGCTTGTGGCGGGTGATGCGCGCCGAGTGGAAGTGTCACGCAGCCGAGTTTGACTCGACTCGTTACGAACTACTGCGCTTCGCGTTAGGGGGGTTCGCATAAAAATTTAAATTGAACTTTGGGTGCAAACGCAGTTTGACATTTGGTATTACGAGTGTTGTAACACGATGAGGGATATATTACAGTACTGAGTAGTGGTACCGATGCATGTAAAGTAAGTACGTTGGGTGGTATTACATCAGTGAGCGTGGGGCTGTATACTAGAAGGAACGAAGAGGACAGATGGGAGTGCATCGAGCGCATTAAGGCGCGGCTGATGAGCATAAAGGAATGATAAATATTAAAGAAAGAATATACGGATATGTGCAAGGAAGGTCGTTGGCAAGCGATGTCGTCCCAATGATGTTAAAAGTCGTGTGTACAATGGATGGCACAAGACGCAGCCTTGTTTAAGGTTCATCAAGATGGAAGGTATGGTCGTGCAAAGCTCAGACTCGGCAGTCTCTGAGAGGAGTGTTGTGCATGTTAAAGAATTGCATGCAGGTGACTGCACCGGGAGTCTGAGGAGATGATTCGCATCGTGTCCTCGAGAGGGTGGGCGTGAGGTCGAAGACAGGGTGGTGTACGGGAGCGGTGGCTCGTTTATTAGGGAGTGACCGTACGACAGACCTCTTATCGGTTGAAGTGAGCATGAATTCAGGGATAGGAGGAACTGGTGGTGGTGGAGACGCGATTGAAGGGCTAGGTGGCGGGGAGCGATAACGGTTTGATGAATGACCGAAGCTACGCCTGGTAGCGCGAGTTGGAGAAGAAGAATTGGAAGAAATAGGGAGTGATGATATTGATGAGTTGCTTCTCCTTCCTAAAGCACGTTTACGAGCGCCGAATTCGTCATCTTGGCCAAAGAGACCCTCTTTTGCCTTTCTGTCTAATCTGTCATATGACCTGGACGCGTTCAGAGTATTCTGAAGAAGTGGTGAGCCTATGAGGCGAGGGGGGATTGGGGGAGAGCTATTTGGAGGAACGGTCAAACGAGAGATTCGGTGAATGGGTGGTGGTGATGGTAAAGGGGTTGGTACTAGCTCAGGGGAAGGCATTGGAGGAGGAGGAGACTGAGAACGGCGAGTAAAGGACATGGTGATTTGAATGGGAGTACATTTTTATTGAGGTGGTTTTTATATAAAAGGATGTTTACATGTTGTTCCGAATGATTCGAATGCAGTCCGAGTCACGACGTAATTGTTTACCATTGAGCCGGTAGTAAATTACCAAGTGGGGATATGATACTCCGAACGACTTACCGCCGAGTGAGTTACCGTTCAACGTGTTTTTCGAAAGCGAGTTACCTTCATGCGTTCTTCGGTACGATAGAGGATTACGGGATAGTACAAAGCAGTCGGAGTAGTATACAGCATGGAAACCAGGGTAAGACGTGGACACTGCCTACAGTCCGATTTATTGTAACGGTTTAACAGATCCTCCTTCTCTAATTAAGATGCTATCGATTCGCATATTGCCCCATGATCATCATCTGTCTTTGGATACGTGAAACAGCCCTACAGAAGCAGTTCCACTCATTGTCCAGACACATTGTCCTCTCATAATGTAATGACACTCTGTAAGTTAACTCCTCGGGAAGCCCTCGTACCTTTCATGGTGACCCTCAGGCTTGTATTATCCAATTGCATGCCAGCGTGTATTCCTTCCTTTCAGCTTAGCGATTCGCGTCCATAGTAACACATACTCGTATTCCGCGGTTTCCTATTCAACAATAACCCTGCAGGCGCACCTTTTGCCGCCGGGTGAACTTGTGAAGTGGTACGTCCTTTTGCATTTCGCCCTAGTGGCGCGGCCCAATTGTACTTCCGCTTGCATGCCAGCCTCCAGTTTCAACTCGTGACCCACGCGAATATATGTGCGGCGTCAAGATAGATCCCTGTCAGCCCCCGTATGCCACCAACTCCGGTGGTTGACACCAACCTAAGAACAAGCTTATCTACCTTGCATGTTCTCTCATGTTTGACATTCTGCTCTACTTTCGTCTTCTCTACGTTTTCACCATGCTATTCTGCATCTTCGCAACGTTGTCTCTCCTTCCGCTCCTTACCCTTTCCGCTCCTTCAGTCCAACTGTCTTCTAGCTATGGAAAATCAACACATTCCGAGGTCGGACGCAGCACAACTCCAAATCCTGGACCGCTCGTGATGACCTACTTTGTCGACTGGGCACCCCGGAATAACATCAACTTTGCCCTATTCGACTGCATCGACTTCGCATTTGCTCTCCCAGACGCAGAGTTCAAGCTCGTCTTTGATTCCCCTGATGCTTCTAACTTACTCCACAACCTCGTAGCGGACGCACATGCTATGGGAAAGTTGGTCAAGCTTAGTGTCGGGGGATGGACAGGCAGTCAGTAAGTGCTACTACCCCTGGCTTTTCCACCCCGTTACTAGTAGACTTTTAGCTATTTCTCGCTAGCCGTGTCCACGCCCGCCAATAGGAACACCTTCGTCAGTAACATCCTCACTACCTACAACCAATACAACCTCGATGGCATCGACATCGATTGGGAGTACCCCGGACAATCAGGCAGACAAGGCAACACCGAAAGTCCAAGCGATGAAGAGAACATGCTCGAGTTTCTCAAGCTTCTTAGGTCGACGCTTCCCCCGATGGCCAAAATTTCGGCCGCTGTTCAGGACACCCCTTTCGCTGGCCCTGACGGTCACCCTATCCAAGACGCGTCTGGTTTCGCAGAGATAATTGATTGGGCCTTGCTCATGAATTACGATGATTTTCAAGGTCTGTTTTGCATTTGAAACGAACGATAGAAAAGTACTGATTTAAAATTATAGCCGTAACCCCCCCTGGTCCGAACGCGCCCTTGTACGATGGGTGCGGAAATTCTACTCAGCCATCCCAGAATGCAGTAGCCGGATACAACGCTTGGACATCAGCAGGTTTCCCCGCGAACAAATTAGTTCTTGGTATCCCAGCATACGGCTACGTAAGCAACATCGGTATAGATCACCTTCGACAACGCCGCTCCCCCGAAGCCCCACGTCTGCACCGCCTCGCCAGGCGCACGACGGTTAATTCTGACGACGACCATCAAATCCAGTTCCGAGATCTCGTGACCAAGGGCGTCCTACAACGCAATAATGACGGAACGTATGCCGCCGTGCCTTCAAGCGGCTTCCAGCGTTCCTGGGACCAATGCTCCGCGACGCCTTTCTTGCATTCAGACGCGCAGACTATTCCGTATGACGATCCTGAATCTCTCGCTATGAAAGGCGCATTTGCGAAGAAGACGGGTATGCTTGGCGTCAATATGTTTGATGTGCATGGGGAAACAGACCAGTGGGATCTCATTACGGCGACGCGGAATGGGCTTCTTGGTCCAGCCTCCGTTTTGACATCTTCCTCGAGTTCGCCGTCTGTACTGTCAATGCCCGGGGATCAGCAGGCGCTAGGAGGACCCTTTGCGTGAACGGTTGCCTAGGGATAAGCTGTGCGAGGAATCGGGGGCTGCCGGTGGTATGTGGAAGGAGTTTCACATTGTCAGTTTGAAGATGGTACCTTTTTTTCATATCGCCCACGAGTGACATGTTCTAGGTATTAAGAGTCATTTATATCGATGACATTTGGTTCTTTCTTGATTCGCGATCAGGGGAAATGAAAAGATAGATTACATGAGAGCGATTTTAGCGTGGTAGGTTATTTTAATGTACACAGCACTCCGAGGTGCGGATCGGCGATAGGAAAATACCGCATGCTACATGCTACCCTTTCGATAATCCGGTCCCGGCCCTCTGCTTTTTCTGGGCAGTGATGCGCCCATTCAAGTTGGTGGAACCGAAAACAAAGTTCCGAACGTCTTCGCACATGATGTGACTATCACGGGGTGATTGAGCATGACCAAACAGGACAAATAGATTGGTAGAAGCAGGAGCAGAAGGGAAGACAGAGAAGTGAGCGCTACTAGTGTTTTTGTTATAAACCATTGCGTTACAGGACGCGTGAGTGCTTCTGGTGCGATTTAGGTATGTTGCTCGGCGGCTGATGGAGCTGCTGCTGGGAAAGCCATGTTCGAAGTTCGAGCTGTTTAAATATGTTGACTCAGCCGCGTGGGACAAGAGCGAGGAAGACGTGACAAGAAGTCATGGAAACAGGGAAGTTGTTTGTGTTCATTTGGCGACACCCTCCCAAATCAACAACGCACAACGACAGCATGTAATATTGCCAATGTTTACTTGCATGCTGCGTGTACAGTCAGTCAAGCATGCATACTCTGAATATCGAGGTATGTGTTCACGTAATTTGGTTGGCACGTTGCCTACTGCTGAGCTGAAACCTTGTCTTTGTGTCGGCTATTACAGGACCCGGCCCGTGCGTATGATTTATCGGAGACCTGGGACGTGGCATGTCTAAATAGATCGGTTGACGAGGGGGAGGGCTTTGTCTTTGGCAGGAAACAGTGAGACAACTGTCAGTGAGTTTGAAGTATTTGATCTGCCTAACAACTACAAGTCACTCAATGAATACCTCTCCATCGCGATAAACCAATCAACGTATCACAAGCAACCGTTATATCGTACCTCCCACCTTCAACCCTACTCGGTACGCCCCTCCTACTATCCCTCAACCCCAATAACCTAACATCATCCTCGAATTCCTTCTTCTGATAGACATTGAACCATGGATTCGCCCAATCGCAATCCGCGCCATCATCATACCTAACTCCCCTCCTGACCATAGCCTCCCTCATGGCCTTTGTCAGATACTCCTGCACGCCCTCAGCATAATCCGTGGGGGCTCTATCCAGCACCGTCCTCCTCATCAACCGAATGTCGTCATCCAGAGCTAACAAATCTGGCGGTGAGAGTTGGAGTAAGTCGCGCAAGGTTGCGCCGCCGATGGATGCTGGTGCGGGTATCGTGTTGGAACCCCCAGATAATTCTGTTTCTAGCCGGCATATGACACCGGTCAAGAGGGTCACTTCGCGTTCTTTTCGCTGAGCTTCGAGGGAGAGTCTTTCGACGTCGCTTCTTAGGCGTTGTAATTCACTGTCAAGGGCGAGTGGTGTCATTGAATTGGTGATTTGGGAGTACTAGGGCTATGCTATGGGTTAGTGCATGTAAGTACGAAGTAGTGAAATATACGAACTCGACGTAGACTGGAACTACGCTGAGGAGATGGTATTGCGATAACCAACTGATGGATCATTGTGATCTCCGATGTAGCTTTAGGGAAGAGACGCCCGACAAACTAGTGACACATTACAATGATACCTGTAGTCTCTAACATGACTGATCACGGTCAAATTGACGGACCCAAGGACCATTCAATTTTTCACACGAAATACTATAGCTAGATCTCAGGCCGCGGAAGCAATCTACGTGACTCTCATGTGCGCGTCCCAACCAGCTGAACTCCATCTATACGAGTCTATGCTTCTGCCAGTGTGCGCATGTCAATGGCAGTCTGCGTGCTGTGCGCTTATCCATGTCACTGAACTCCACTCTTTGCGATGGCAGAAAATGGAACCACTTACTGGGACGAATCAGCAACAGAACAACGTTGGCGGTGGATGTCCTTCTCGGTCTGCGGAGTTCATACTCTAGGATATACTACTCACTGTGCGCTTCTACTTTTATCTCCATCTCAAAGTGGACTTTTCAAATTCGACGCTTGGATTGCAAATTTCGCTCATTCTATTAGTCAGTTCTCTTCAGTGTCCTCGCCAGCCTACACCTTTCCTGTTCGTTCACCGATCGCCTCTGCCTGTTCTTTGTGATCTTTGGCGACATTTAATGGATGTTAAGGACTTACTCTGCAAGAGACGTTCTCTGTACTTGACGCGACATTTAAACAGTACATCGGGATCCATGGTAAACGTCCGAAGGTGAGATTGAGTCTCTATACCCAGATCTGGATTGGGGATCAGTGACTTATCACTCAATTATCCGCAGCTTAGTATTGTGGCAGGGAAGTCAAAATACGTACAGGCGATCTCACAAACCTGCATCAGGCGGTCGCAGGTGTTTGTTCGTGCGAATGGGACACACCTCCCCGACTTTACCCCCAAGACTCATCTGCAGAGCACAATACAGTACGGTTTCGGCTCAATACAAACTGAACACTGATAAATCAAAGGTTTTGCTACTTCCACTCTCAATTTGGGGATGTGAGCCTGAATCGCTGATGATAGGATGATACAAAACTACAATACAAAATCGAAACTATATCTAGACCCCGAATTCTTTCAACGCCTTTGAGCTCAAGTCGAAGCCAACCGCTCCAACTCTTGAGCTACTTCACGCCAATCCGTGTGCACCTTCCAGTAGCGTCGATGTGCTTCTGCATAACGTCGGTTGGATAGGATGCATGCCAGATCTTCCGAGTCACCGACAAATTCAACCGCGTTCTCAATCCCAGGACGACACTCCAGGATCCAACACATATTTTCTTGTAGACACGCCAACTCCATTTCTCCGATGATGTCAGAAAACCCCCAGGACTTGAGATACCTGAGAGCGTCGTCCACCCAATCTTGGCTGTTCCACCAGGGAACATTGTGTATGATGTCAACTCTTGGGAGGATCGTCTCCAATTCGGTAAGCTCTGCTTGGCTCACACTTCCAACAGAATAACTTCCGCGCGAGTCCTCCGAGTTTTCGAGAGGTTGGTTGAGTTTGATATCGATGGTGTAGTCCGTTTGGTTTCCTACGAGCTGATAGGTGTTCCCTATGCCAGGACTGGTTTCGACGTAGATTGCCCAGTGGAGGGGATAGGGCCGCAGGGGCTCTTTCTCGCCTCGCCAAAACTGGACAACTTTAACGTTGTAGAGTTTAGGTGGGACTGTCTCGACTTGAGAAGATACCTATGGGACTTGGTGAGTCGCAGTTCGCTAGATTCAAGATAGTGTGCTCACCGCCGAGAGCTCAGCCGACATATCGAGCGAGGATGGGACATTGTGAGGTTCGAGTCCATAGATATTCTGTTTCATGCCCAAGCCCATCAGGTCAGTAAGTCGCAGTTCGCTAGATTCAAGATAATGTGCTCACCAAGGATTCGTATGACATATTGAGCAAGGATGGGAGAGTATGAGGGTCGAGTTCATCGACAACCTATTTTATATCCAAGCATTTGTGGACTTTTGCTTGGTGGATGCAGCATGCGCTTCCACTAACTCGAGCTGTGATCCTGTGGACTACCATCCCTTTCCTGATTGAGCAACCGTACAATAGCTTATTTTAATGCAGGTGGACGCCACCAGGCTAAGCACCGCTAGGCCTCAAGTCCACACCAGTGCGTTGGCCTTTGCTCATTGTTGATGATCACATAGTGGATTAAGATTAAGCTGAAATCCACATGTTTCGTACTTGCACGTGAGTATGGTAGGCTTCTGAGATTATGGGCTTGTTAACGCCTTTGGATAACAATATAATGTTTTGCCATTCACTTCAATCGAGAGAACAATGCTGCTTGTGCGAGTTTCAATTTTGTGTTTGGATGTCACCTTGGTCTATGTGCCATTTCTCATATCATCTAGATTTTAGACCTGCTGATGCCATTAAAAATGTTCGAGTTGAACAGTGCACTCATTGTTATTTTGAAAGTGTATTGATCTATGAATATTCACCCTTAACTTTGAACCTGTATAGTGTTAGCTCTGGTTGCTGGTGATTGACTAGCGAGTGAGTTGATTTGCTGTTTCAAAGATCTGTCCTCCCATCTACTGGGGATCCAGCTGCCATTGGGCATAGTGATGTGCACAGCCTGGCTTGAAGCTGTGGGCCGAGCTGCCAAAGTGACAGCCTGACCATGGCTTTGGTCTGGCTTGGAATTCTGGAAAGCCAAAGCTGGCAGTGTAGGAAGTGTTGGATATTCAACATCGTCACCATAGATGTACCTTTGTATGATCACATGATTAAGGTGAAGATGAGAGAAAGATAATATCAGTGTCTGTCATGAGAACTGATATTAAAGCTAATACTAGGTAGTCTGTGTGAGATGACTATGAGAGGGGAGAGAAAAGATTATGTGAGAGAGGAGAATCTTAAGAATGAATCAAGCATAGTTGTTGGTTTGTTTTTTGTGTGGGAAGGTCTGATTTTGCCTGACCAGTGCAAGAGAGTGGGGGTCTAGGCTGATCCAGTGAACCGATGAAGATGAGGAATCTAAACTGTAGGGAAAGTTGGTGCTAAGCCAAGAAAACACAGATAGTCCCAGGTGTGAGTAAAATATTGACCCAAGGGCAGCTGTCTGAGTCAAGGGAAACCTCTCTTATAAAAAGAGGGACACCAAACTACTACTAAGGTAATAGGACTTTGGAATGCGTGAGGCGAGAGTGATGCGAGAAACAATATATGGACGCACAAGTGCATAGGGCGAAGTGTGAGATACACGACATGAAAGTAGTGTGCGTAAGCAAGAGCAAAGTGCAAACGAGCGATTAAGACTAGAGAGAGATGAAGCGAGACAACTGATATTACCCCAACTAAGGTTGGCTGATGATGATGTGAAGGGTGGACAACTAGTGTGTGAGACTTAGATAGTCACTGCAACAATGAGTAAAATTCTCCTGTAGCTAAGTGTGCAGAGAAAGTGGGTGGAAAATCGACCCGGAATTTAGAGTAGAGGAATGGTATAAGTAAAATAGTTAAGCGCTGCTAGGCGCACAAGTCCGATATGATGAGCCAAACAAGCTAAAAATAGTATGCAAAGTAGGTAAGATAGGCCTCATTCAAATACATGTAGATCACATGACTTTTCATGACATTTGCATTACAATGTCTAAGGATGTTTGTAGAGACACTTTTAAGAGAATCCATTCCATCAGATTGCTTGCATGCATGGTGCAGGCAATCTGATGGAACAGAATTTCTTATTTTGCATTTGTGAATGAGTAGTAGTCTTTACAGTGATCGAGGTACTACTGTCTTGTTACATTGTGGCTGTACAGTGTGACAACGGTGTCAATGCACCAACAACTCAACCTGTCACCAAAACCATTATGCCATGCAAAAGGCCTTCTCAAATTGCAAATTAGAGAAAGCTAAGCCACACAAGCCATGAGAATGTAAGAAAACATCAATTTTCATTGTGCTGGCTGGAGTACTAAGACCAAAATTAAACTAAAGATGACAGGTCACACAATGTAACAGAACATCACAAAAATGTCACATCATGTGATGTAGATGGGTTTGAATGAGGCCTATCTTAATAGGGTCTTGGCTGCATGAGTAGCATAAAGCCATGTGTTAGTGAGGGAAAACAATTAAACAAAATGAGAATATAGTGAGAAAACGCACCAATGAACATCTAAGGACATAGAAAGGACAGATGGATGTGCAGATGATGCGAGGATCATTGCGTGATATGCAAGATGCTGTGTGCAAAACCTGTGATAGAAACTATATGTGCGCCAATGCACAAAACATATCCTATGGATTAGAGCTGGTGTGTGTAAGGGAAGTGGGAGAATTCAGAGGGAAATGTCTGTGGAGACATGAGTCTCTACTCCGAGAAAAGCCGAAGCAGTGAGGTTCAAATCAAAGAGTTTTGAGGATCAAAAAAAACACAGACCTTCAGAGCATGAACTGTCTGAGAATGAACATGCACAGACCAAGGGGTCCAAAGAACACATGAACCCAGACCACCTCAGTGAAAGCTCACAGCAAGAGAAGTGGGTCCTTCAGACCCAAAACCACACATTTAGAGTTGAACACTAAGATTATGTGACAGAAAGAATATTGTATTGTGAACAGGAAATGATCAAGAGCCAATAAAGTATCTGCAATGGATAGGGAGAGTATTAAGATGAAGGGGCGGCACGAGATAAGTTAGAAGTGATGATTATGTGTGAAAGAGTCCATCACTCTGTCAAGATCAAGCAAACACTGAGTGTTTGCAGAGGACATTATGAAGAGGGGGAGGATAGTATCAATGCACCACCAATATTCCAAGAAAGCATCTGAGGACCAGCATCCTTGCGTGGACATAACATCAGGATGAACCCCCTGCAGGAGTAGCTCCATTGCACCCCTAATATGAAAGACATGACCAGGCGGGCTTGGGAAGACTTGAGAAACCCAGATCTTATTGCAACGAGCAAGAAATGCTGAGCATGTCATGGGGAGCCAGCCTGTGGAGGTTTAATAGGAGAAGAATCGCTTCTTGGACCTGAACCAAGTGGCACCCCAGCAAGGACCCCGAAAAATCCTTGTCACAAGTGCACTCAACAGTGCACCCCTGTCCAACGGTGACCTCCCGCCCAAGCAGATCAAATCCAATCCAGTCAATACTAACTCAATACACACCCTTTATCTAGACTATCTAGAATTTCCCCCTCCATGCCCAATGAAAGGAGAAGCTCGAGCATGGGAGACAATACTCCACCCACCTCACACACCACCTCCCCAACATATGGCCTCAAAACCCGCAGGACAGTACAATCACCCATCACCCAAGAAGCAATAGAAGCCCTGCCAAATAGAGTCAAGGATGCGCCCAGCAGTAAAACCTTCCTAGAATCAAAGCTACTCTGCCACATTGGTCAACCTTATACGATCAATCACTTAATTTTGGCTCTTTTCCAGATCACACAGATGTCAAATATGACCCCAGTCCCAGTAACTGCTGCAATTCGGGCAGTAGCCTTTGTCTTGAAAGAGCTCGACATTGACAATACGGCGGAAATGATTTCACAGCAAGTTCTGTGCTCACTTAACACCAAACTAATGGATACCAACCTCGCCAGTATGATATCAAAGCAGGTCACCAATGATATCATGGCAAAACTAGTAGACCATGTTGTTGCCGCCATTTCCCTGCAGGTCACCTCAGTCCACAACATCTCTCAGTCACTCACCTCCACACTGGATGACACCAGAAATCTTCACACATCCATAGGAAGAGAACGCACTGAGAAAGAAGACAACATCAAGACCACTGCAGACCGTATCGAAGATGCTGCCGACGCTCTTTATGAATCGGTTGAAACATACCAGAAAGCGCTTCACACACTAACTCCCTCTTTAGATGCAACCCAAGAAAAGATTGACCAACTCTCCACACAGATCTCTAGGACCCCCACACCAACTCAAGGAACAGTACCTCCATCTTACAGCTCAGTAGCAGCGACCTATCTACCTCCGAAATTGACCAAGCACTAGGAAGAGCAGCAATTCGTGCTCGCTAGATCCTACTTGACCCCACCCCAGGCCAAATTCTATTCCCTCCAGGCACACCAAACCATGACATTGCCGCCAAGCTCAAGGATGCACTAGAGGCCACGAGAGACAACACCACCCTGGAGGGAACCATCTGTTCAGTAACGGTACTATGTAATGGCAGCCTAGTAGTTGAACTGGAATCCAAATCGCTAGCCAAATGGTTGAACAACCCATCCAGTAGAAACGCACTGGAGAGTCACCTGGACCTATCTGTATCATTCCGCCAACATCAATTCTCTCTTGTTCTCAAATACTTACCAATCCAAATGCAGATCGAACAGAATGACTTCCTTAGATGTATAGAACATGAAAATCAACTTCCTACTGACACCTTAGCCTCCATTAGATGGATCAAACCTCCTCTGAAACACTCCCCCAAACAACGTAAAGCCTTTGCCCTCCTTCAAGTAACAGACGTCCAAACAGCAAATGACATCATCTGCGAAGGTCTTTGCATGGAAAACGAATGTATTAGTGTCAGAAAGGACAAATGAGAACCACTACGCTGCGCTAAGTGTCAGAAATTTAATCATATTGCCAAGAACTGCACATCCCCACAGGACACCTGCTGTTACGACTTGGATGGTATCTGTTGGCGACGCTCAAACAGAGCGTGTGTCGTCAACGGTCAAGGACGTCCTTGGGCTAGCCCAAGGTTAGGGGTCTTACTTGGCGAGTCTTCGGCAAGTAAGATTTAACGCCTATGTCCAAATCGGGTAGCTTACGTCAAGCGGATGCTAGACGATGAGCTGTATCTGCCAAGACTTACGACACCCGAAGGTTAATCGTAAGGATCGTCATTAATTAGAAGGACAGAAGTCCGACTAGTTAACAGGGGCTTTGCTTGTCGACGAAGTCGATGAGCAAAGATCGAGACTATAGGCTTATCCGCGATGAGCAGATAAGAAGATAGAATATAGACTGCTGGCTAGGCAGAAAGGATCACCCTGGTGAGAGTAGGAGGTCAAGAACCAAGTAGATTCAAGTTAGGGAATATAGTACATGGTAGTGAGTTTATATAGAGGACAGGAGAAGTATTAGTGGATGATAACTCGTACTACCAAGAGAAGCAATCGGTAAAGGGCATAACCATAAAAGGAAAGCATGTTCGCGTTGAGACATGGGCGAGGCAGAACGTGCTGGATAAGAGAATGAGTCAATAATTCGAAAAATAAGAAGTGAAACGCGCAGGGGCACGATCGTGCAACTGCAGAACTATCTATAGATCGCATGTGCGACTGCGCACTGAGTCAGAGATCAAGAAAGGGAAAAGGGCAAAGGGGACTGTCCACAGGATCAGTCAGGTGGTGGAACGGAGCATGGGTATGCTTCGTCAGCGAAAGGATCCGGCCAGATGTACTGGCTCTGCTGAAGCGACAGATAGAGGGCGAAAGGGAATGCGAGGATGACGAGGATAAAGGGTATGATGTGAGGGCTGATACTAGAAGGATGAGGAGAAAAATGGTAGGGGCCCAAGCGTCTAGATGTTCTTGTAACACCTGCAGCACTTGTGGCAATCCCCACCACACTTCAGAATGTAACTCCTACCACACCACGCGCTGCAAAAACTGCCACAGTCAACATCACGCCAGTTGGAGCTGCTCATGCCCTGAATTCATCAAATGCTGCAAGGAACTCGACGACAAATACCCTGAAAACTGGATGCCTTACTTCCCAACGGGACATGCTTGGACTCACATTGCCCAACCCCCATGACCAGCCAACTCACCCAGACCCTTGCCCTTGCCACCACCATCCCAGCGCCCCACTTCAGGACGTCCCCACCAGACGACTATTGCCTTTCCCAGTCAAACTGATTGAGAGAACTCCCTAGTACCACCACAGGATGAAACATTCCACACTATCATCTCCTCCTCCACCTCTCATTTCAACTTTGGAGACAGCAATTCCGACAGCGACCTCACCCACCCTCCCTCTCATGTCTAATAACGCCCACACCTCAACTGCCTGACTACGCATCTGGCAGCAAAACCTAAACACATCTATGGTTACCCAAGCCTCCCTCCTTAATAGCCCCACACTTGCCAATGAATGGGACCTTATTGTTATTCAAGAACCATATATAAACTTCCTCCGTAATACCTGCACAAACCATCGCTGGCACATTCTTTATCCCTCAAATCATCTCACTAACCCCCAGCAATGCTCTTGTGCTATCACACTTGTAAATACTAATATTAACACTAACTCCTGGAAACAGATCCCATTTCCCTCCTCTGATGTTGTCGTCATGCAACTCTCAGGCCCGTACAGCAACTGCTTGGTCTTCAACATATACAATGACTGTAATTCGCAAGACATGTTAATGGCCCTCGACACTTACTTTGAGGACAACATCAGGACCATCCGACCAGTGGACACTGACCATATGCTATGGTTAGGCGACTTCAATCGTCACCATCCTCTCTGGGAGGACACTTGCAACCATCATCTCTTCAACTATGCCAAGGCAAGTCCACTCATTGATTTAATTGCTAACTATGGTATGATACAGCTACTCCTCTGTGGAATCCCCACCCTCCAAGCCAACTCCACTAGTAACTGGACTCGGCCTGACAACGTCCTAGGTACAGAAACCATCCTGTATTCACTCATTTCCTGTGACACAGACCCCAGCAATCACAGCCCTCGCACTAACCACATCCCCATCCTACTCACCCTAGAACTCAAAACCATGAAAACCCCGAGCAAACCCCGGAGAAATTGGAGGGACACCGACTGGGAATCCTTCAGCGAGCACCTCAATGAATCACTCCAACCATTCCCACCCATCCCTCTAGCATCCAAAGCGGAATTCCAACAGTCTACCAAATGTATCACCCAAGCCATCAAACTTCATCTTGTCCGTCCTACTGACAAGATCTTGGCTCATGACTTTGATTCCACCATCCATAATCTTGAGACTATGCAGAAGGTGGCAGGGACAACTGGTGATCATAGAAATATGGTCATTTGAGATGTGACAGGTGAGATGCTCCGTGTTGTAGCAAATGTTTTTGAACCTAGGGTGAGTGATTGTACTGCATTGGAAATAGGGCTTATCTGTTTGTATAGAAGGTTCAAATTCCCAATTCTCCTCATGGCATGTATATTCCTAATGCTCCATTGATGGATGAACTCACTGACAAATGGCCCATTGTACCTGATCATGAAGATGATTTTGCTTGAATCAAGGATACTCACAAAGCCATTCCTCTTCCTGTGTTTGAAGACAGAAAAGCTATCCAGCCATTGGAAATCAACAGAACACTTGAGGGAACTTTGGTGGAGGTTCATTTATCCATCTATCACTGGCATTTTTCAGAATATGACAGTTTTCAAGCAAAAATGGAGAAAGTAATCATCCTCAAGACTAGTGCCAGTATCCCAGCTAAACATCATTTGCTTGAATCTAGGGAGGAAGAAGAGCCACCGCACAAGAAATCTGAGATAGCTACTGAGGCAAGTGGTTCAAATGTCCAATATAATGTTCTATATGTGTATTTGTATCGTGTCTTTGAGATGGACAGTGCTCTGAGTTTTATTGTATGTGTATTTGTGTCCTGTCTTCCAGAGTATTTTTGTGTATTCATGTTGTCAATGTTCTGTATCCGTACTGTACCAAGTTTATCTGTGTATTCATGTTGATAATCTTCCATAATTTTCCATAATTACACAAGATGATGTTCATGTCAGGTGACTGACAGATTATCTGCCATCCAACATGACCTTGCTCTGCAAGGTAAAACATCACGTGATGAGTGTGACAAAGTATGACAAAAGCAATGAATATGTATAGGATATTTGTAGTGACAAGATATAAAAAATCAAAGACAGTGTAGAGATTCACATTATTACAGGCTTGCAATGCATTAGACTTCAGTTCATACCACCCAGGTTCACAGCACCAACTCGCAGCATCATTCCCTGACCTTTCCCCAGCTATTTCCATATCGGGCAATGCTTTCCTGCATCATGTGACTTTCCCATGCCTCATGATGCCCTCACATCACTCACTTTCCTGTGCTTTCATCGCCCTATCATCCAGGAGCATCCATCCACTGTCCAGCAAGTCTCACTGGTACATATTTTCATATTTTATTCAGAATGGCACCATATTAGAGCATGGACCCTGACTTACATACCCTATTACATACATTATCTCCTACTCAGTGAAGATGAGGAATCTAGACTGTGGGGAAAGTTGGTGCTAAGCTAAGCAAACACAGATAGACCTGGGTGCGAGTGAAATCGTCGTCCCAAGGGCAGCTAACTGAGTAAAGGAACCCCTCTTTGTAAAAAAAGAGGGACACCAAACAACTAATGAAGTACTAGGGCTAAGTAATGCGCAAAGCGGAAACAATGCGATGTACGGAAGGCAAACACGTGCGATGATGCGCGAGTGCGAAAGGCAAAGGTCGAGGTGCACGACGCAAAGGTAGCATGCACGAGCGAAGGTGAGAGACAAGCGAGCAAGAGAAGCAAGAGAAAGATGAGACGAGACAAGTGTTAACACCCCAACTAAGGTTGGCTGATGCTAAGACAGAGACTGTGAACCGAAGCACGTGACTTTAAATAGTCACTTGCAAACAATGAGTAAAATTCTTAGTATCTAGAGACACAGAAAGTGGGTGAAAAATTGACCTAGAAAATAGAGTAAAGAGATAGTATATGTAAAGATGGCTAAGCACTGCTAGGCACGCAGGTCCAATGTAGCGAGCCGAGTAAGCTAAATATAGTACGCAAGATAGGTAATAGGGTCTTGGCTGCGTGCATAGCGCTAGGCCGAGAATTAGTGATGAAAACAATTAGTCAAAATGGGAATATAGTGAGAACATGCACCAATGGACATCTAAGGACATGGGGAGGACAGATGGATGAGTATGCGAACGATGCTAATGCGGATGCGCGAAGTGCGAGTGGCTGCGCGTGGAATCTGC